AGGCTCGCAGGGGAAGCGTGGCTGGGCGCCGAACAATAAAGCAATAAATCTACCGAACACAACCACAGTGCCCTGGCCTTCTTCCCATTGGAGTTAATTGCCTCCTGTCTCCTTGAGATACTTTGCATGCCCCTCAACCCCACTCAGAAAAGTTTGCTCTTTAGATGGCGGCTTCTGGAATAGAAACAAGATTCCACAGAATCTCCTGGGCTTCCCTCCTCCCCTTTGTGGGTCCTATTGCTAGTCCTTTCCTCCTGCATCTTTTAAAATAATCCAAATCTCTTCCATCTCCATTACTGTATATCCAAAGCTCACCATTATTCCAACCCCACTAACGATTTTAACTGTTTACAATTGTTTTTAAGATAGATTATAAATTTCCCCCATTCCTTATAAAAACTTTGGTTTTCCTGATTTCTGATTCTTCCAGTCATTTTTGCCATTTCGGCCTAGTCCATCAACTTGATCTGCCATTTTTCTCTGGTGGCGACTTTATCTTCTTTCCATCTCTGGCCCAATAATAACTGCGCAGCCATGGTCATGCATGTCAATAGATTTTTCTGCTCCCTTGGGATTTTTTCTGTTGTTAAAACAATCTAATTTCTGACTTATTTATAACGGCCCCCCCCCCCCCCGTGTTCAGATCCTAGAATGGCTGGGGCAACCCAGTCAGATGGGTGACATATACCGGTAAATAAATTGTTGTTGTTGTTAGATGTAAGAGTGCTAGTACATTTTTGCACGTGGCCCCATAGGATGCCATGCCAGCCCCTCCTGAGGTGGGGAATGCCCTTTGCCATGCTACCTGCTACCTCCAGGTCTTGTAACGTCCTTTGGCATCGCTTGTCTCCCTTGTCCTGCCTTTGACCCTTGCAATAAAGAGTCAAATACAATCATACCTTGGGTTACAGATGCTTCAGGTTGTGTTTTTTCAGGTTACGGACCAGCCGAAACACAGAAGTACCGGAACGAGTCGCTTCCGGCTTTTTGGGGTTGCGCATGCACAGAAGCGCTAAATCACACTTTGCGCATGCACAGAAGTGCCTAATTGCAACCCATGCGTGTGAAGATGCGCCACTGTGGGTTGCGAATGCTGCGGGTTGCGAACGTGCATCCCACACGGATCATGTTCGCAACTCAAGCGTCCACTGTACATGGGTAGGCAAACTAAGGCCCAGGGGGCCGGATCTGGCCCAATTGCCTTCTAAATCTGACGGTCCAGGAATCAGCCTGTTTTTACATGAGTAGAATGTGTCCTTTTATCTAAAATGCATCTCTGGGTTAATTGTCTTGCCTGGTGTTTTTGCATGAGTAGAAAGTGTGCTTTTATTTAAAATGCATCTCTGGGTTATTTGTGGGGCATAGGAATTCGTTCATTCCCCCCCCCCCCCAAAAAAAAAATATAGTCCGCCCGCCCAAGGTCTGAAGGACAGTGGACTCGCCCCTTGCTGAAAAGGTTTGCTGACTCCTGGTCAACTCCAACCCGGATTGCTCTCCCAGATTCTGCGATTGGCAGCTTGGCTCAGCTGGTAGCCAGTCAGTAACCGCAGGCCACGCTCCAGCTGCTGCTGCTGCTGCTACAGGTGCCAGTAAGTCTCGCATTTTCAACCTCTTCCTTCTCCATTGCACTGGCTAAATGATTCATTGTTGGACTCCCATCGCTGAGGCCAAATGTACCTTTACAGAGCAAAATATCCTTTCGAATTATACACCCAGCACATGGAACCTGACAAAGGGGCAATACGAGTGGACTCTCTGTGCCCTTACCACAGCAAAAAGACTGATACGGGTGAGTTGGAAAAATAAAAATGCGTCTCCCTTCTATGATTGGATTGAAGACTTATACAAACTCACCACATATGAACAACCTGCAGACAAACGCAGACTTGCCATGGACAAATTCAATGATACAGTGGTACCTCGGGTTAACATACACTTCAGGTTACAGTCTCTGCTAACCCAGAAATAATACCTCGGGTTAAGAACGTTGCTTCAGGATGAGAACAGAAATCGTGCTCCGGCGGCATGGCAGCAGCGGCAGGCCTCATTTGCTAAAGTGGGGCTTCAGGTTAAGAACAGTTTCAGGTTAAGAACAGACCTCCAGAACGAATTAAGTTCTTAACCTGAGGTACCACTGTATATGGAATCCATTCTTTCAAATACTGTTCTTTTTTGGTGATCATTTGTAGCCGAGTAATACTGTCTTCCGCGAACCCGGTCTTAACAGTGAGTCCGTAAGTTACTCTGGAGGCCAGTTCTGGATCCCCCCGTCCTTCCACAGTGGGGACATTGGATTCCGGGTGGGAGTTGATCACTGTGAGGGTTTGCCAAGCGTGCCTTCCTCTTAGCACATGTCTTCCTTTCGTCCTGAGTTTGATCGTCTTCAAAGCCCATGACACCTTTGGTAAAGGCTGTTCTCCAACTGGAGCGCTCGCAGGCCAGTGTTTCCCAGTTGTTGGTGTTTATACTACATTTTTAAAGATTTGCCTTGAGAGAGTCTTTGAACCTCTTTTGTTGACCACTAGCATTACGCTTTCCATTTTAAAGTTTGGAATAGAGTAGTTTCTTTGGAAGACAATAATCAGGCATCTGAACAACATGACCAGTCCAATGAAGTTGATGTTGAAGAATCATTGCTTTGACAACGGTGATCTTTGCTTCTTCCAGTACAGTCATACCTCATGTTACATTTGCTTCATGTTACCTTTTTTCAGGTTGGGTCCCGCGGCGACCCGGAAGTACAGGAAAGGGTTACTTCCGTGTTTCGCCACTCGCGCATGCGTAGAAGCACTAAATCGTGTCAACATGATTCATGGTGTCAACATGACTGTGATGTGTTACAAGTCATTAACTCCAAGCCTCATGTCCATGCCTCAGAAAACACAAACCACCCCAGCTTTCAGAGCTGGCTATCGTGGCTTTAATCTTTGTGCATTGCTACACTGTATAAAGCACTGACTTTTATATATCTATTTTCACTGCCAAATGTTGCAGGGGGCCATTTTCCGCAGTTTGGCGCTGCTTTAGAGTTAATCGGATGACGTCAGGTTTTCGGTTAGGGCGCCAAAGGCTCATATTGTGGGGCGCTGTGAAACGTGCGGTTTTCACTGCTAAACATTGCACGGGCCATTTTGCCAGTGCTCGGTGCAGGAATCCCTTTCTCGTAATATCTTATACATTTTAGACAGCACTTTTACATTATGCAACAGGTCTCTCTCCAGTTGTGATATTTGGCAAAATCTTGATCCTGAGGGTTAGGGCGCCGAGGGCTGATTTTGTGGGGTGCAGGAAAACATAGTGTTTTCACTGCCAAATGTTGCATGAGGCCTTGTTACAGCATATGGCTCTGCTTTGGAGTTAGTCGGACAACCCCAGATTTTTGGCGAAATCTTGAAACTACTGTTTAGTGTGCTGATGGCTCTTTTTTTGGGGGGGGGGGGGAGCTGTGAAACGTATTTTTACATGGGCTCTTCCTGGAGTTTGGCACCGCTTTGGAGTCAATCGGATAATGTCATATTTTTGGCGAAATCTTTACCCTGCAGGTAAGGGTGTTGAGGGCTCATATTGTGGGGCGCCATGAAACGTAGTTTTTTCACTGCCACATGTCACATGGGGCCTTCTCCATGCACGGTTTAGGGAGAGTTCTTGGATGAAGAGACCAGGCAGGACAGACGATGCCCAGGCACTAATGTGAGCCCATTATGGGGCCCATGAAACCACCAGTTTCTTCAGGGCAAATAACACTCACTATAAGTCTAAGAAATAGGACAATCATGACTCAGGATTGTTAGACAGATGAATGAGAAAGAGAATTTTGCTGAATGAGCCAGCACCGTTGGGTCAATTAAACTCAATTAAAGACACAATTGAGATCAAGGTTATCAGCAAGGAGATCAAAGTTATCAGCATTTACCCCACGGGCTGGAAAAATAAACAGCTTTAGGTTCCTTTGAACAAGTCTGAAACTGGAGGCCAGAAAGTTTGTCAGAACATCTCCCCATTGTTCCTGATCAGATTTGTAGCACTTCAGAAACCTGTCTGAACAGAATCCGCAGCAGAACTAAAATTACTGTGTATACATGCACGATCTCTCTCTCTCTCTCTCTCTCTCTCTCTCTCTCTCTCTCTCTCACTCACACACACACACACACACACTGATGTAAAAAATGGGGATTGGCTTTTGCTGCCCAAGTCCCCTAAGTCCATGATCGGTCAGAGAAGAATGGATGGAGGCAGGATCCGGTTGAAACCAAGACAGATATTTATTTTTCTGTTGCAACAAAGTTCCCTCCCTTCCTACCAAGGAGGAAGAGACCCTGAACAAAAATGTGCAGGAACCTGTAAGTCCTTTTGACATTGCCCAACCACCTTAGCCAAAGACCACCCCAAAATCAGCATACATACATCACAGAAGGAGGCGGTCTACAGCAGAAATCCTGTCTGCCAGGATACCTGGTAATGGTCACTGATTGCATTACCTGGGCAGTCTGGCCATTCTTTTGTGATGGTTAATACTTTAGTTCCTGAATCCAGGTCACTGGCTAACCCTATTCAGACACAAATACGCCCTTAAGACAGGATGCATAAGTAAAAAGACAATGGGAAGGCTTTCCCCATTTGCCTCCCTTACTGCAGAGGAATATTTGAGGTCATTGGGAGAGTCAAAATGGCTTCAGGATTGCTCTCTCCGTGCTATTTTAGATAAATTGTTTATATATATTTAGATATGTGTGCATTTATGAATATTTATTCCCTATTTGAGACCTTAGAATTCTTACAACAACACACACCTCTGTTCTACATCTTCATGTTCTACATGTTTCCTGCTTGGCAGGGGGTTGGACTCGATGGCCCTTGCGGTCTATTCCAACTCTATGATTCTATGATTCAGGTTCCAAAAAAGCACTGCTGCTAAACTAAAAAGGCTGGATTCTCTCCCTATTAAGTCCAGGCCTATTACCTTTTGCACTAAGAAATGTGAGTTTTCTTCTTTATTTACACCATCCAGCTTGCAAGTGCTGCTGTTCTCTTTCTCCAAACAGGATTATTCCTTTTCCTGCCATGTTTGGACACCTACCACAAAATAGACCTTCGCCTCAAAACCTTAGAGATCCCTTTCTATGAGGTAAGAGAGACACAGTCAGCCCCTTCTGCTCTTTGAGCTTGTTTGCAGGAGGCAAATGCAGTAGAAGTTTACTTAGGTTCACCATTCCAATTAATTAGGAAGCCCCTGGTTCAAATCTCACCTTGTCTATGAACTAACTACATTGCTTTTTGGCATGCCATTTTGACTCAGCCTCACCCCCAGCCCCACAATAATTATACTGATCTACCTAACGGGACAGTTGTAGGATTACTTAACAGAAAGGAAGGCTGTAAATCAGTGACAGAACATCTGCTTTGCATGTGGAACATCCCAGGTTCATTCCCTGACATCTCCAGCGAAGGTTAGGAATCTACACAGTCTGATGTTTATTTGGTAATACAGTGGTACCTCGGTTTATGAACTTAATCCGTTCCAGGAGTCCATTCTTAAACCAAAACCGTTCTTAAACCAAGGCGCGCTTTCCATAATGAGGCCTCCCGTCGACGGTGCCCTTCCACCGTTCGGATTCCGTTCTTAGACCGAGGTAAAGTTCTCAAACCAAGACACTATTTCCGGTTTTGCAGAGTTTGTAAGCCAAATCGTTCTTAAACCGGACTGTTCTTAAACCAAGGTACCACTGTACCGTATTGGCCCGAATATAAGTCGCACCCGAATATAAGCCGCACCTTTAAATTCAGGGCAGGGGGGGAGAAAAAAAAGACAATACCCGAATATAAGCCACTCCCTTAAAATTCTGCAGGTGCTCACAGCCATTCTGCAGTATCGTAAAAGCCCATTTTTGTAAGGTCACAAATTTAAGCCGCACTTTCAACTTTTCACGGTTGGAATTTGGGGGGAAAAGTGAGGCTTATATTTAGGCCGATACGGTACGTAGAAACAGCTCAGTCCAGCCCAGGGCTGGAATCAGATTTCCTGTTATTTTTCCATTGACAAAACTGTACTTTATTGTTATGGATTTGGGGGGACCCTCCAAAAAACAACCACCCTAGGAATGAATAAATGCTAGGATTCTGATTAATTGGGATATGGATTAAAGTACAGGCTGCAGAGCTGTGCCAGACAGGGAATCCCTGGGCTGGCTTCTACAAAGCAGCCTGGCTGGCTTAGTGAAGAACAAAAGGTGTTGTTGGGCCACTGGAGAATGAGATGTTACCAAAGTGATGGGGTGTTTGAGGGGACAGGAAAAGGGATTTTTGAGCAAGGGTTGCTGGGAAGGAAAAGCAGGAAGAAGAGCTGAGATCCATCTTTGGAGGAGGCTGGCTGCAGAGATGCCTTGGGCTATAGGGCCACACTTCTGTGGGGTACAAACTCCTCTTGAAATGACTGTGCAGTAAGACCTGGACTCCCTCCAGGCAGACTGAAGGTGTGAATAGGTGAATAAACCATATTTCTTAAAGCCACAACAGTCTCTGCTGCGTCTTCAATTCTCCAAAGGAACGCAGACCCTGGGTGAGTGCCTGGGACCCCATGGGCTCTTGCCACCACTCAAGCAGAGAGAGGGGCAGGCACGCAGCTTTCATAACATTCTATTGTAGGGGTCAGTAAGGTTTACCTCGCCTGGGCCGGTTCACTCCTGCAGAGATCCCTCTGTGGGCTAGATTGCGCGCGCAAGTACGCACGCCTGCGATTTCTGGCGTCTGCACAGACGCGATTTCCGGCGCATGCGCAGATGTGATTTCTGGTGCCATCCCCGCGCCGCATTGCACCCATTTAGTGCAGCACACCGGGACTCATTGGTTAAACGACCCCCGTGGGCTGCTTGTGGCCCATGGGCCTTAGGTTGCCGACCCCTGTTCTATTGGATGGTCACACAATGCCTTCTGCTTGCCCTAGACCATAACCAAGGACATGGCAAGTCTAGAAATAGATACCATCTGTTACTATCGAACGGAGAATGCCACACTCGTCACGACCACCCTCGCCAACCACTCAAAGGCAATCCAGCTGCTCGTGCCAACCATCGCAAAGCGCTTTCTGGCACAGCGGTCGCTCACAGACATCCTGATGGAGAGGAAGAGCATCAGCCAGGAGATAAAGGTGGGTTGGCTGTAGCGCTGTACAGAGGACATGGTGGGGAAGTCCATCACTCAGGGTGGGAGGCTTGCCCAGTGGCTGCTACAAGCAGAACTGGGGAAATGGTATGGTAGCCAATGAAAGGACACGAGGGAAATGCTTCTACCTTGCTATTGGGCACCTTCTCCTTCCTGAAAGTGGCTTTACAGTACGTAAACTCAAAACTGCCTTGCAAGATCCACCCAGGGCAGCATTTCCTTTCAAACAACAACAACAGGCAACCAGACACTATACTGCCTCCAAACACAGGGTTGCCAACTGACCAGTGAACCAGCTTACTGTGGTCTCCTGCACCTTTAAGAACAGCTTGCAGAAACTAGAAAGTGATGCTTTGAATAGCTTGGTGATAAATGCAATATTTTGTGAACTGCACATTGTCTTAGTCTATTCTGGTTGATAGGGAGAGACAATTGTATAAATATAAGATTAGCTGCATGCCCTTTTAGTGAAGTGAGTGGCTAGAGAGGTCTTTTTCTCCCTCTCATAGCAGACCTTTAAGTGGCCCAGTAAATGATTGGCAGTTAGGTTTGGGGCAGACAAAAGGTAATAGACTTTGCTCCAGTTTAGGTAACTTTAGAAAGGAATCTGACAAATTAAGGATTGACCTATAATCAGCTAGTAGCCAAGGTGGGAGAAAAGGGAACCTGTTTGAAAAAGCTGTAATCCTTTATTGAACAGCTCTTTGCTAACCTAACTCACGGTAGCTTTACTGCTTGGTTTGCATCAAGGAGACAGCCATCACTACTAGAGCACTTCTCACTGGAAATGTTAGGACACTGCTGTTTTTGCATTTTTAAGTTGCTCATCCATCATATAAAGCTGCTGCCAATAAGAAGACACTTTTTTTGCAGGTGGCTGTGGACGCCATCACCTGTCAGTGGGGAATCAAGGTGGAAAGGACAGAAATGTAGGTATGAAATGTGAGATCTGCAGAAATACTTAGGTGACAAAATATCAGGAGAGGGGTCTCCGAGACCTTTCACTATTGTTAATGCCGCCCCTACGAGTGTAATCAGTTTTTGTTATTTCTCCCCTTGAACAATCCCTGGACATAGGGGTCACCCTGGTACAAGCCACCATTTTGTGGGCCTCCTCCTTGATCCTTCTGCTGCTGTCTCTCGCAGAGGCACAGCTAGCTCTTTGCCCATCTGTTTTGACATGGCTGTGGGTGAAAGGGGTTGATTTCAATTACCAGTCATGTAAGAGGAGCTGCTTAAAAACTGGCAGCTCAGAGCACCAAAAGTTGCCCCGTTCCTGCAGTTTTATGGATCTACATATGACCAGAAAGGCTACAGCTGACCAGCTCTCCATTTGTTTAGTCACCTTGGACAAACATTTGAGTGGCTCCCATTTTGCTATGATATCCTCAAGGCAAGGGTGCCAGGTGGCAATTGGCTCCACAGCCCCACCAAGAGCGGGGAAGGGAGGGCTCTGGCCAATTACTCCCATCCCTTCTGGCAGCCAGGCAGCCTTGGGTGTCTTCTCACTGATCACAGTGGGGGCAGAATAAGAATTGCCTCCTGTCCTGATCCCAGCACTGAATCAGTTTGGCGCCATCCAGAAAAGGCAGCTGTGAACCAGATGTATTGCTCAGCCTTCCTGGTCTGTCAGTTTTCTGCTGCTTCTGCAGTCCTGCTGGGGAGGTGGAACAGGATGAAAAAAGCTGAGGTTTTATTGGGTTGGTGGGAGCCAGAGTCCAGCAAAAGTGGGAGGGCAACAGGTTCTTGATTCCAGAGCTATGGGAAGTGTTTGTGTATTTATGCAGCCACGGAGGACATCCTAGGGCCATTTAAAACTTCTTCAGGGCATTCCCACAGCAATGGCAAATGTCCCCTTTCCTGATAGAACAAATGAGAATGAATCTGACACAGGGATACATCGCACTGCCAATGTAAATGTCGCTAGAGTTGCTAACAAATGAGTAGGCAACGAGAGGGATATTCAGCCACTGACTGGCTTTTCACAAAACAAATGAAATACCGTGAAAATCCTTGAAACGAGAAGTAATCAACTAGAAATATTATCTTATAGAAATAAACTAAATAATAAAAATCAAATAGCTTAAGGTAAAAATTAGAAAAACCTAGACTTAATAAGGCTTTGTTCAATTCTAGGTTTTTCTAATTTTTACCTTAAACTTTTTTAAACCTTTATTTCATTTGTTTTGTGCAATTTCTCGGTTCCGTGACTGTCTTTTTCTACTAGTGACTGGCTTTTCAGCTGGCACCCAAGACAAAGGTCCCATTTAATCTGGTAACTAGCTGGCCAGCTACAGCTAGCACACCCCCCCCCCCCCCGGTGTAGTACAAAGTTTCCTTCCTGAGCTAAGTGGTTGTACCAACCACAGTGGCTATGTTCCCCCTCCACCCTCTGCTTACCAGCTGCTGGCAATCACAGGTGGGCAGAGTGCTGCCATGCTCAGGTCCTGCTTCCCACAGGCATCTGGTTGGCCCTGTGAGAACAGGGTGCTGGACCAGATAGGCCATTGGTCTGATCCAGCAGCCAGACTCTTCTTGTATTCTTAAACAGAAAATCATTTACAGTGGTACCTCTGGTTGCGAACGGGATCCGTTCCAGAGGCCTGTTCGCAACATGAAAAGCCTGCAACCTGAAGCACCGTATCTGCGCAGGTGCGCAGCGCGATTTGGTGTTTGTGCACATGTGGAAAGTGCAATTTAGCGCTTCTGTGCATGCGCGAGTGGTGTAACCCGGAGGTAACCCCTTCCGGGTCGCTGCAGGACACACCCTGAAAAAACGTATTATGAAGCAAACGTAACATGAGGTATGACTGTACGCTGTTTCCAGTTTGGGTCTGCAGTCCCAGATTTCATTAATTTCAGTAAAGATGTGCGGTTGCCAACGGAGCTTCAGGAGTCCCTGGCTGCACAAGCCGAAGCTCAGAGACAGGCCAAAGTGAGGGTAAGGCAATACACTGACACGGTATGTTTTTATTACTGGAAGCTATGGGCAGGAGGGAGCTATGGGAGAGAGATGCTGTCCTCCCAAGCTTGCTTCTCTTCAGGTCTAATCAGACAAGCGTTGGCCATGGTTCTGCCTGCATCTCACAGCACACGGGAGTGGGTCACTGGTCAAAACTAATTCTGTTGGTTATCCAGCTTTTGTTAATCTAAAGCAGGCAATCTCAAACTCAGCCCTCCAGATGTTTTGGGACTACATCTCCCATCATCCCTAACAGGGCCAGTGGTCGGGATGATGGGAATTGTAGTCCCAAAACATCTGGAGGGCCGAGTTTGGGGACGCCTGATCTAAAGCAATGAGCCCTTCTCGTTTGCACTAGTTAATTTATAGGCACTTAATGTAAATCCCATTTCCTTTGGCTGGAAACCTAAGAGATGGAGGAGGTACAACACGCAGGCTGTTTGGGAGCTGCACTGGAAAATGGAAGCTCCAGACTGTTTCAATTCTACGCAGCACAAGAATGAAATAAATTTCTTCCACGCTAACCCTGCATGCTTTCCTTTGGGCTGTCGGAAACAAAATGGAAATTGAAGCGATGTATTTAATTAACACTGGAGGGCTTTTACTCAGTTGAACTTGCTTCTGAGGAAACATTAGAGGTGGTTTTTGGCCTTGAGGGTGAGCATTCAATGTAGCACTATTTTAAGTGCTGTGCAGAACCTGTTTTCGTTTTACTTCCAGCTGACGAACAGCGTTGCTTCTACAACACTGAAGGGCACCATTATGGAAGGAACCACGGGCGGTACTCAACAAAGTTTTACTCAGGGTAGACCCATTGAGATTAATGAACACATCAAAGTTAGTCCCATTGATATCAAGGGGTCTACTCTGAGCAAAACTTCGTTGCCTCCTGCCCCAAAGGAAGATCTTCTAAATACCTTGTGTTCTAGGTCATAGCTGCTGAAGGAGAAAAGGCTGCTTCCGAATCGCTGAAGGTGGCAGCAGAGGTGCTTTCCCACACCAGCCGCCCTCCAGCTCCGCTACCTTCACATGCTGCAAAGCCTGTCTGCAGAGAAGCCGTCCACCTTTATTCTTCCTTTCCCCCTTGACCTCATGAATCCTTCATCAGGAGACAACATGAAATCCACAGGCTGCAACCGCTCTTCAGATGTCGCCAGCAACCCAGAGGCTCCAAAGGCGAAGGATTCCCCAATGTTGTAGGACTAAGCCAGGGGCAGCATCTAGGCCTCTCTGTCTCCTCGGGCCGTAACCCATTGCCTAGTCCATAATTCGTACCCACCTGCTTTGCACCCTCCTGAAGTGTTTTTGCCTGGCTGAAATGTGCCCTTGAACTCACCTGGATGGAGGGTGAGAAAGGGGATGTTAGTCTGTGTAGGAACTGCCTATTGGATGAAGGCAAAATTCGTAGCTGTTGCTCTGCCCGCGTTCGCCCTGGGCCCCATTCACTACTAGAATGCGGCCCCTTGGAGGCTGCTTATGAGGCAATGTGGCCCTTGGTCTGAAAACATTTTGCCACTCCACTACAGGAATTCAGCAGAAGAATCTGCAGAATCTGCATTTCAAACTGTAGCTGATGTAGTCATGGTTGATTCTCTATTGGGCCCCCTGTAATTAAATCTGCTTAAACTTTTAAACTCCTGAACTAAGAGGTCAGCAGCTGGGCTACATATGATGAGGGCGGCTGCTTTGCCACCAAGTGTATAAAACAGGGAACTGCAGCCAGTCCTAGCTGCGTGTGGGGAGTGCATCCCAGCCCCATTTTTTCAAATGTGTATTTGTTTCTTTCCACATTATATTTTTAGATGCACAGTCAAAGCTTACTAGGTATCTAACCACCCCCATGTGATATTATTCCCAGTTAAAATCCAATACCGAGTTCAAATTATTATTCTGCTGTAAAGCTCACTGGGTGACCCTGAACCAGTCACAATTGCTCAGTAGAGACATCACCTTGCCAACAAAGGTCCGTATAGTAAAAGCTATGGTTTTCCCAGTAGTGATGTCTGGAAGTGAGAGCTGGACCATAAAGAAGGCTGATCGCCGAAGAATTGATGCTTTTGAATTATGGTGCTGGAGGAGACTCTTGAGAGTCCCATGGACTGCAAGAAGAACAAACCTCTCCATTCTGAAGGAAATCAGCCTTGAGTGCTCACTGGAAGGAAATCAGCCCTGAGTGCTCACTGGAAGGACAGATCCTGAAGCTGAGGCTCCAATACTTTGGCCACCTCATGAGAAGAGAAGACTCCCTGGAAAAGACCCTGATGTTGGAAAAGATGGAGGGCACAAGGAGAAGGGGACGACAGAGGATGAGATGGTGGGACAGTGTTCTCGAAGCTACCAGCATGAGTTTGACCAAACTGTGGGAGGCAGTGGAAGACAGAAGTGCCTGGCGTGCTCTGGTCCATGGGGTCACGAAGAGTCGGACATGACTAAACAACAACAACAACACTTTACCTTGCAGAGCCATGTCATCAAGATTAAAAGGGGTGTAGATGTTGGGAAAGATGGAGGGCCCAAGGAGAAGGGGACGACAGAGGACGAGATGGTTGGATAGTGTTCTTGAAGCTACCAGCATGAGTCTGACCAAACTGCGGGAGGCAGTGGAAGACACGAGTGCCCGGCGTGCTCTGGTCCAGGGGGTCACAAAGAGTCAGACACAACTAAATGAATAAACAACAACAACAGGGACGGAGAAAGTTAAAGCATGCTTCCTTTTAACATCTTGGATGAAGGGCTGGATAATAAGCTCACCCGTTGGGCGTTCCTGTTCTCTAGTCATTCCGTTCCTTGTCCCTATTTCGAAAGGCAGGTACCATTGCAAGATACGAAGATAAGAAGTGTTGGTGGTGGAGCGAAAGAAGCTTAAGGCCAGTCCTCCCACCTCCTTGAGCCTGAAAATGGTATGTCCTGCCTGAGGCAGTTCACAGAGTGAAAGTGAGCAGCACGGCACAAACGAAGTTTGGGAACTTGCTGCGAAAGCTCTTTGCTGTCTGTTTGCTTTAATTGTTAATTGGTTCAGGGAGTAGCCCTCCCTTCCCGTCTATCATTAAAGCCAACAGAGGTGGGACACCATCTGTGTCTCTTTCAGCAGAGGGACAAGGACTGGGCTGGGCCTGGACAAAGCAGGCTGGCAGTGCCATCAGCAGCCCATGAGTCTCAGACTCATTTTCTAAGCCTCCAGTAGAGATGATTTAGTGGAAGGAGCAAAAAAACAAATGGATAGTTTCTTCCGAGCGCAAGGAAAGCAGGAAGTCCGGAGTGGGGCTTCCTCACAAACACAACTTGAGCTTAGCCCTTGTTCTGTTCTGTTGTTCCCATCAAAACAAAAGAAAAACTTTGAACACAAATTGGCAAATTCTGCAAAAGAATAAACTCAAGCTATTCAACAAATTCATCTAATATGTGCTAAATCCGAGGCATATTCAGCGTCAGGTGGAACCTTCTTACTTGATCAGCTCTTGCTAAGAGCTTTTAGAATGGTAAATTTTGTCTGCTGTTCTTATTGTCAGCCTCACTGCTACTTGTTTTAGTATTTTTGTGGTTTCTACGTGCTCTGATATTATGTGAACTTTGTTAACATCACCCTTGGAGACTCTGGGCTGAAAAGCAGCCTATTATATTTTTTAAAGTAATAATAATAATAAATATAATCTTCTGACTGTGCAAATTTCCTTTCTTCCTTTAACAATTGTAGTGGGTAGAGTGTCCTTCCTTTCTCTGGCACTGGCCTCTGGTATTAAAAAATATTTCTAAAATAAGCAAACAGGCATTATTTCCTATAATTTCCTATATATTTCCTTTTCGAAGACATCTGAAGGCAGCCCGTTTTAAGGAAGCTTTTAATGTACTATTATATTTTAATATTTTGTTGGAAGCCGCCCAGAGTGGCTGGGAAAACCCAGCCCGATGGGCGGGGTATAAATATTATTACTATTACTATTATTATTATTATTATTATTTTATTGCAAGGCTCCTTCTTCCCTGACTACCACCATGGTCCCTCGCTTGTCTTCATTACAGGTGCCCAGCTTTTGGGGCAGGATTAAAGCTGCAGCAACCAAAGCAGTTTGGGAGGAAAAGCACTCTGAGAATCTTAAACCTATCTCCAGCCTGAGTGATGTTGCATTTCCTCCAGCATCTATATTAATCTCATTTTAAATGAAGTCTCCAACTGAGCAGCACATGGAGCACCTATAGCTCAGTGGTGCAGCCATTTCATGCATTTCCAATTAAAAGGCTCTTGGGGAACAGGGAACAGAAGACACTTCTGCCTGTGATTCTAGAGAGCTGTTGCCACTGAAAAGAGAGAATGCTGTGTCAGATCAGGGGCAGACTTTGGTAGTATGATGTCCTGAGCAAAAGCAAAATTTAGTGCCTCCTCCAGTATTTCTCTCCCCTCCCTCGCCTTCTGTTCTGCGCATGCTCTCAAGTGCACTATGTCATAGTTGTGGCAACTCAATCGCCTGTCTGACCAGGGCTTAACTGTGAGTAGGCAACCAAGTAAATACAGGTATTAGTAACTGTCAGGGAACTGCCATCAGTGCCGGAGGGAGAGAGCAAAATCCAGAGGGATTCCGGAGAGCGTCCCGGGATTGGGAGAGGCAGCCCATCTTCTGGGGAAGAGAATCAGCGTAGCACCAGTGGAGAAGGGGGGCAGATGGGGGAAGCGGCGAGGCGGTCCCATGACTTCTTGCCGGGGACCAGCGGGGAGTAGAGCTCCTCCGCTGCCTACGCCCTCCTTGCGCAGAAGGCTTTCGCGCAGAGAGAGTAGGAGGAGACTAGGCGTCAAAGAGCTTCTTTGCTGGAAGAAGTTTAAGAAACGCCCACTGACGGATTCTGCCAGCGATTGAGACAGCCACGGGTGAGTGGCTGTCCGGACAAAAAAGGTTCACTCAGGCAACCCAGCCAGGTGTTGGCACCGGCTTACGCATGAGCAACCCCTAGAACCATTACAGTAACACTGCTATTTTGCAACCATTCAGCTCAATGCCCTGTGTCGGGAAACTGCCTGCACCAATCTAGATCTGGCACCGGTCAGATGAACCAATTATACAAAGCAGCTTCCTATGTTCTCTGCAGAAAGGAAAGTGGAACGTACTTAAATAAATCAAGCTGCATTTCTGCTCATTTCTGCTAGATTGCGTCTTTTGGCCATGATTTTACAATGCCATGAACAGGTGTACGCAGCCAAACTTTGGCTTACTCTGCTTTCCTGTTCAAAATACCATGCTAGCTCATATTTCCCCCTGAAGGAAGAATGGGGTGGCAATGAGGCAGAAGACAAAGGGGCAAAATATGTTCCCCTATGAAGACACATTTCTTCAGGAAAGGCTGTAGAACGGATGCAGTGTTGGGACAGAAAAAGTACTGATACCAGATCAGTCTAAAATATTTGATAAGTCACCTTCCATTCACAAAGGATCAGGGTTTCACAAGTGCCATTAGCAACCACCAATCTCTTCCAGATGGCTTGTGAAAAAGGACAGCAGCCGTGACCCCCCCTCCCACAGAGAACTTGGAAGTTGTGAGGGAGTCTCTCGCTTCATAATAGGGACTACAAGTCCCATCATCCCTGACCGTTGGTCCTGCTAGCTGATGGGAGTTGTAGTCCAACAACAGCTGGGAACCCAAGTTTGAGGAAAAACTGTAGGGCTTTCCCCTTCCCCGAGTCCTCCAGCACAGGTACAGGATCTGGGTGAAGTAATCAATCAGGATTGCATCTTGTGACAAGGTAAGAGCGTCTCAGAAGCAGTTAGATTCCATCTGGCTAGTTCTAAGTGTCTCCAAAGCATGGTGTGATGTGAGTGAATAGCCTGCCCTTTGCAGAAGATTCCACAGCTAGAAGAGTCTTCTTTCTGTTTACTTCAGGCTTTATGAGTAGCCAGGAACAGTGGAAGTCTCTCACTGCTTCTGTCAATTCCAATACCTGCATGAGATTAGGGAACTATCCCTCCCTGCTCTTTGGAAGGCTGGGCTTGTTCATCCACCTTGTGCTATGCTTGGGAGACATTTGGAAGTGCTTCTAAGTCTCCTACCTTACATAAACAAAGAGAACTACAGTGGTACCTCTGGATGTGAACGGGACCCATTCCGGAGCCCCGTTCGCATCCTGAAGCGAACGCAACCCGCATGTGCACAGGTCGCGATTCGCTGCTTCCGCGCATGTGTGCGACGTCATTTTGAGCGTCTGCGCATGTGCGAGCGGCGAAACCCGGAAGTAACGCTTTCCGTTACTTATGGGTCGCCACAGAGCGCAACCGAAAAATATTCATCCCGAAGCATATTTAACCCAAGGTATGACTGTACTAAGGGACGCGGGTGGCACTGTGGGCCGGTTCCCTCAGCCAATAAAGCGAGATGAGCGCCGCAACCCCAGAGTCGGTCACAACTGGACCTAATGGTCAGGGGTCCCTTTACCTTTACCTTTATGACTGTACTAGAGTACTAGAGAACTTGAGGGAAGGGAATCATGCCAAGTTATTAAAGGTAAAGCTAAAGGGACCCCTGGCTGTTAGGTCCAGTCGCGGACGGGGTTGCGGCACTAATCTCGTTTTATTGGCCAAGAGAGCCGGTGTACAGCTTCCGGGTCATGTGGCCAGAATGACTAAGCCACTTCTGATGAGCCAAAGCAGCGCATGGAAACATCGTTTACCTTCCCACCGGAGCAGTACCTATTTACCTACTTGCACTGCGTGCTTTCGAACTGCTAGGTTGGCAGGAGCTGGGACCGAGCAACAGGAGCTCACCCCGTCGCAGGGATTCAAACAGCCAACCTTCTGATGGGCAAGCCCTAGGCTCAGTGGTTTAACCCACAGCGCCACCCGTGTCCCATGCCAAGTAATTACCGGATACTAAACCCTCTGGTCCAAGATACTCCCAATCCATCTACTAGTGAAAAACTCCTAAGACGGATCGAGTGTTTTTTTTTGGGGGGGGGGAGTTCAAACAAAACCCGCAAATATTTCCTATTGAGTTATTCTTAAATTCAACCTGTATAGGTAAACATAGTGAAATTTCAGGGCAACTCCGACCTAGACCTTGAATATGTTCTATATAAATAACAGAAACTGGGAATCAATCCCACTTGGTTGAGTTAACTCCTTTCCATGTACTGAACCAATAGTTTAACAGAGCTGGGAGAATTCCAAGTAGCCACTAATGCACAACCCTCCATCTGTGTCCAGTGCCGACTACAAGCAGGAGCCAAAGGCCTTCTGGAGATCACCCTCTTCTTCAGCGTTTGGGCTTGGGGAATTTCTTCGTTCATGGCTTAGGAGTGCTGGGCTGTGAAGGTGATTCAGTTTGCTCCTTAACGACAACTTCTGCAACGACAGATGCACAGCAAGAAGCACTTAAACACTGACATTGTCAACACCTAGACAATATGAGAACTAGTAGCTCAGAGAAACCTCATACTCTACTCTGCGACAAGTCCAGGTTTCAGCCCAAGCATAGCCTTGAGGGAATCAAGACCAAACCCAGCTGCCCAGAGAATGGTTATGAACAGCATATGCATCCACAAACCCATGTTTGTCATGTTCACACTTCATAAGTATACCTGTTCTCAGTGAGAACCTCATCCATAATGGGAATATTCCAACAGAGCATTATGCGCTCAACCCCACTTATTTCAATGATCTAAGACACACCGATCTCTGACATGTACACAGTACTTTGTTCAAAGTAAATCAACAATCCTGATACGATCAGTATCACGCTGTAGATGAGCAGCTTAGGCTGATAAACGCTTGCTCGGACCACCAACTGGGTTAGGTAAGAGTTCAACTAGGGACTTCCCTGCTCACATTCTTAGCCAGTGCAATGCAGTTTGTGAGGAGAACCTGAGCTTACAGGGTTAAACAGCTCAGACTGTACGCCCTGCCTACTGTTGTTGTTGGGAGGGGGGAACTTCTACGTCAGTTCCGAGAGCCGAGAGCCTTTGTTCTTTTCTCTCTACTTTCGCTTTTGAGGAGAGAGGACGTGTTTTCGCGATGCTGTTCGCTGTGATAGATAATGGATAGCCTGCTGTAAATAAAACTGCTTTTAGCTGCTAAGATCCTGAGTGGACTTTATTTAAGCACACTGAAGAATGCACTGGAGTTTTTTTTTTGCAGTTTCCTCTTGCCGCTGTCGAAACTCTGCTAAGCTCAGATATGTGGACATTGGAATGCAGAGGCTTACGCAAGGGAAGTGTGCCGGACCTCAGGCTTATCTGAGCAATAAATCAATATACTCTAACAGGTTATGGGGGCAGTAATTGAAATTAGAGAAAGCTGCTTTGAAGCCTGCTTTGATGTGCTGTGTGCTTAAGAAGGTTGAGAAACCTGAGAAACTGAGAAGCTGCTGTTTATGCTGCCGGAGGGCAAAAGTCCTGCTTTGAGGCTTCGCCTGGGAGAAAAGCAGGGAAGCTGGCTGCAATGCTGCGTGCTGCAAAGAGCCACTGGAGGCCTCTCCGTTGAAGCTGGCTGGTACGCGTGAGTACTTCAAAGCCCCAATGGGAGCACTGGGGGAGGAGATGGCTGAGCTCCAGGACTTTTATGATGTCCCGTTTGAAAAGCTCACAACCCAGTCCTGGGATATCTGGGTTAGAAGAGTCAGGGGGTGGTTTCTGGCCACAGGGTTCTGGAGTATAGCTCAGAAGGAGCCGGCCCCACCCATGCCAGTTGCTGCTGAAGAAGGAGGAGCAGAACTGGAGGCTGCTCTCCTGGAAGATAGAGAGCTGAGAATGCAAAGGGAGCTCTGCATGTTGAGAGCAAGCGTGGACGCTATCCTGTTGCCCCACCTGGAGGGCGTTGAGTCGGCTCAGGCCGCCTGGCAGGTGCTGAGGAGTCTGTGTGAGAACTCAGCAGGAGCCCAGGGCCGGGAGAAAGCCGAGAGCAGGGAGAAAGCTGAGAGCCCAGAGGGGGCTGCTGGCCATGTTTCTGAAGTTACGGCTGGGAGTAGCTGCTTTGTCTCTGAGGGGCCGTGTGATGTTGAGGCCTACAACCAGAGTGCTGGGGAGCATGCAGGCCCAGGCTGTGCACCCAAAGGTGGGGGTGCTGGGAACAAAGGAATGGCTGAAGAGAGAGCTGTGAGAGCTGTTGCTACGCGTCGCCGCTGTTATCGCTGTGGCTCCCCTCCCATCTGGTGAGAGAATGTCCAGTGGAGGAACAGCCGAAGGCCGTCTCCCGTAGCAACCAGATAAAGAGCTCTTCTTCAAAGCGTGGGAAAGGCAAGCCGAAGGCAGCTGGCAGAGACACTGAACGTAAACATTTGGCTGCCTCTATGGCTGTAGTCAAGAGTTGTCAACAGGATGCTGTGCTGGCTTTTGTAATAGACAGTGGAGCGTCTCATCACCTAGTGCCATCTGCTGGATTCCTGGAGAACTGCACCTCTGTAAAATCTGGGAAGACTGTCTGTTTAGCAGATGGGACTCGACACCCACTCACGCAGACTGGCTCACTGTTTTGTTCTTTCTTGCAGGATTCAATCCAGGCTTTTGTTGTTCCAGGACTGTCCTGCGCGTTGCTGTCTGTCAGTGCACTCCTTGCTGAAAACTACAGAGTGTGTTTTGAGAACAATAAGTGTTCTATTTCCAAGAATGGACAGCACCTAGTCAGTGTTGAATGTAAAGACAGGTTGTTTGTGATAAATGCTTCTTTTGCAGGTCCAGATGACACGGAGGAGGCTCAAGCACAGTGTGCCAATGTTCCAGTTCATGATGCGTGTGCCCATCTCTGGCACCGACGCATGGCACACGTGTCGTGGGGGTCAGTGAAAAGGATCCCAGAGTATACGCAAGGGTGCAAAATGAAATCATGTGCCAAGTTTCTAGATTGCAGAGCGTGCAAGTCCGCAAAGGTGAAAACGTGCACATACCCTAGGTCTGAGAGGATGACCACTAGGGCTTTTCAGTTAATTCATGCAGATTTTTCAGGTCCGTTTTCTGTGAGCAGTTTGGGCGGAGCCAAATTTGCGCTGGTTCTGATTGATGACCATACGCAGAATTCTTGGACGTTCTTGCTTCAACGCAAAGATGAAGCTGCGCCGCTAATCAAAGACTGGATTGCGGCTGTGGAACTGCAGTTTTCCACACGGGTGCAAAACTTTCAGAGCGATCGCGGTGGGGAGTTCACCGGGTCTGCACTGCAAAGTTTCTTCCGCAAAAAGGGGATTCAACACAGGTTGACTTCTCCACACAGTCCCCAACAGAATGGGATCGCGGAACGCAGGAATAGGACTCTAGGGGAGATGTCCGCAGCTCTTTTGTTTGATGCCGGGCTCCCACAGCGTTTTTGGGGGGAGGCTTGGTGAACGGCCAACTTTATTCTGAACAGGTCGTTCAATTCAGTGGTAGGTGACACACCGTACTTCTTGCTCCATGGCAAGAAACCGAAGGTGCACTACTTCCGCGTTTTTGGCTGTGAGGCTTGGGTCCTCATACCAAAGGCCAAACGCAAGAAAGGTGAACCCAAGTCCCAGAAGATGATTTTTTGTGGGTATGAGCCAGGGACCAAGGGGTGGAGGTTTGCGTATCCGTCAGGGAATCAGTCCAGGATTCTGCTCAGCAACAGTGCTGAATTCTGTGAGCAGAGTGGCTGGGCAAGGATACATGGGAACCCTGACATCCTGTCAGAGAGTCTGCTAGACTCTGCTGATGAAGGAGAGGAAGAGGTTGAACCTGCTACTGAGGCTCAGAGTCCAGGCCCAGTGCAGGCAGAGGGGAGAACTTCTCCCAAGGCTGTGAAGATTGAGCAACGCAGTGCTCCATCTTCCCTCACAGGTTCGGCTGAGAAGTCCAGAAGGCGCAGTAAGTCAGAGGGGGAGCTCTCTGATGCCAAGGACGTTCTGGCTGGCCCTAGTGGGTCAGAGGGGTTCCTGAAGTAGTGCTGCGCCGTTCAACGCGGACGACCAAGGGGAAACCTCCTGAAAGGTTTGCCGTCACTAGCGTGTGGGTCGGAATGGCACAGTGTGAACCCGAGAGTTTTGAGGATGTTCAGAAACTGCCTCAAGAAGAAGCCAGGAAATGGCATGAGGCGATGCAGAAGGAGATGAACTCAATGGAGTCTCTAGGTGTGTTCTCCCTCACGAAGTTGCCGGTGGGTGAAAAGACAGTGGGTAGCCGCTGGGTTTACCGTCTTAAGCCCACAGCGACAGGAGAACCGCAGTATAAGGCCAGATTAGTGGCGAGAGGATTCATGCAGCGCAGGGGGTTGCATTATACGGAGATTTATGCGCCCACATGTAGGAGTGAGTCTCTACGCTTGGTCTTAGCCATCGCTGCACAAAGAGGTTTGCTGGTGCATCACTTTGATGTGGATGTTGCTTACTTGAACTCAGACCTCCAGGAGGATCTGTACATGCTTCCTCCTCCAGGGTTTGAGGGCAATGAGCGAGGTACTGTGTGGAAACTTCACAAGTCAATTTACGGCCTGAAGCAGTCGGCCAGGAATTGGAACTTGTGCCTGAATGAAGCTTTGGAGAAGCTAGGTTTCAGGAAGAGTCTTGCTGACAGTTGCCTGTTCCTTAGAGGATCAGGAGACTCACAGGAACTGGTGTTGTTTTACGTTGATGACATCATCCATGTTGGAAAGGCAGACAAACAGGTGCAGAAGTTTGCCAAAGAGCTTGGGAAACGGTTTCAGCTCAAGAACCTGGGTGCAGTAAAGATCTACCTAGGCGTCCAGATAGCGAGAACTGAGGATGGTAGCTTCTTGCTCAGTCAGAAAGGCAAGATTGAGCAGTTGCTTGAGAAGTTCAGAATGTCCGATTGTGCAGGAGTTCGGACACCCATGGAGACGAACTTCGTGAAAGACAGCCAGCGAGCAGAAAGTGCTGAGTTCGAGAATGCTGAGCTCTTTCAGTCAGCTCTAGGTAGTCTGTTGTATCTGTCCCAATGGAGCAGACCAGACATTGCCTTTGCTACCAACCTGCTAAGTAGGGAAGCGCCAAAGCCCAGTGTGAGTGCTTGGCACGGTATCAAGCGGGTACTGCGCTACCTGCAGCATACCAAAGACTTCTGTCTTAAGCTGCCAGCTGAAGGTGAGGCGAAGCTCACATGCTATGCGGACAGTGACTGGGCGAATCCGCAGGACCGCAAGTCTGTGTCTGGGTTGGTGATTAAGTTTGGGAAGTCACTGGTTGGGTGGAAGTCCCGGAAGCAAAGTCTCATTGCGCTGTCTTCTACTGAGGCTGAATTCAGTGCACTGTCAGATTTGTGCCGGGAACTAGAGTTCTATAGATGCTTGGTGCAAGAGATCTATGGGGATTGTAGCTTGCCCATCACGGTTTGGGAAGACAATCAACCTTGTTTGAAGTTGGCTGGATCTGCGCAATTTAAGGCCAGAACCAAGCATCTGGACATACGTTTCCAAAATGTGTGTCAGAGTGTTCAGTCAGGTTTGATACGACTGAAGTACTGTGCCAGTCACAGTAACCTGGCCAATGGATTTACCAAACCTTTAAGCTCCCAGCGTCATGGGGAGTTTTGTGGTGGTTTGGAGTTGGGGGTAAGTTCTGTACTTACTGTCCCCACAGTAGCGCAGGGCGAGAGGGGGTGTGAGGAGAACCTGAGCTTACAGGGTTAAACAGCTCAGACTGTACGCCCTGCCTACTGTTGTTGTTGGGAGGGGGGAACTTCTACGTCAGTTCCGAGAGCCGAGAGCCTTTGTTCTTTTCTCTCTACTTTCGCTTTTGAGGAGAGAGGACGTGTTTTCGCGATGCTGTTCGCTGTGATAGATAATGGATAGCCTGCTGTAAATAAAACTGCTTTTAGCTGCTAAGATCCTGAGTGGACTTTATTTAAGCACACTGAAGAATGCACTGGAGTTTTTTTTTGCAGTTTCCTCTTGCCGCTGTCGAAACTCTGCTAAGCTCAGATATGTGGACATTGGAATGCAGAGGCTTATGCAAGGGAAGTGTGCCAGACCTCAGGCTTATCTGAGCAATAAATCAATATACTCTAACACAGTTTGCTTCTTCAGCTCCCTGGGTTGGTTCATAACATGCATCTTCATTACTTCATGATTGCATCAAGTGAATTATGACATGTGAATTATGACATTATGAAGTAATGAATAACTTTCCTTTCACCCCACAACACACTGCTTTTCAACAGAAACATCACCTATTCAGGCCAGAGCTACACATGTAGCAGATTGAGGGTGCATAATGGGTTGTGCCACTTCAGCAATGCAGATGGAAGAATGGTCTTCTTCTTTGGCGATCACTCGTAGCTGAGTAAGATTGTCTTCCATGAACACAGTCTCAACAGTAATGTAAATGACTGTGGAGGCCAATTCTGGATCCACACGTCCTTCCTCAGTGGGGACATAGGTTTCCGGGCGGGAGTTGATCACGGTGTGGATTTGCCAAGCATGCCTTCCTCTTAGCATGTTTCTCCCTTGCGTCCTGAGTTTGAGTGTCTTCAAAGCCCATGACACCTTTGGTAAAGGCTGTTCTCCAATTGGAGCGCTCACAGGCAAGTGTTTCCCATTTGTTAGTGTTTATAATACATCTTTAAAGATTTGCTTTGAGACAGTCTTTAAACCTCTTTTGTTGACCACCAGCATTACGCTTCCTATTTTTAAGTTTGGAATAGGTTTCTGAAAGTGGAAACCTAACACACCAGGGAGAAAAGTTCTAGATTAGTCCATTCCCTGCTGTGCTAACATTCTACTTACAGGATACACTTTATAATAAAGAACAACCAAAAAGGTGATTTTCCTGGCTGCTGTCTGTAGTGGCACAGTCCAGTCTACTACCTCACCCTCCTGGGCAGACCAGGTGACAGCTGCCAGTCATCAAGAACAGATAAATCAAGAACAGATAAATCAAGCAACTGATACACAGGTGTGAACTAGGCCTCTGTTTGTTGCCCGTGTGGAAAGGATTCCCCTATCAGACTCAGGAGGTGGACTGGGCAAGTCAGCTAATTCTCACGTTACCATTTTTAAATGGAGAAATAAACAGCCTGCTGTTATTGAGGGGGCGGGAATGAAAAGACCTTCAATCAGCAAACCATCTCTCTCCCCAGCCTGCCTTAGGTACAGCCTATCATTTTGATTCTTGCAACCTTCAGGGAGTAGTAATGATGGGGAAGTGGCTACACATATTTACTTACTAAGAGCAGAAACAAAGGAACAGAAAGGCATCTGGTACAACTTTTGCAGTAACATTCCATTTCTGACTACGGGTGGAGAGGGGGGAAGATGGTGGGTTGTATCCAAAGTAGTGCCAAGCCAAGCATTCTGCCAGAGCCTGCCCTCCAGTTCCCCCCAACCTTCCAGAGCAGATGTGGGGATGTCAAGGGGAGGAGGAACCCCATTGCGCTAGCACAACGTATTTAGCACAACCTGTATCTGGGAATGCTCTCCGCTCTCCTCCAAAAGCACACTTCCTGTACATTTTTTTCCATTGTGTGGTAGGCAGCGTGGAAATACAATACACATAGTCTGAAATGGCACAGCTCAGCAAGACGTGCAACACGTGACTTCCCTATGCCTGTTTTGTCTATTTTGAGCCATTTAGAATCATAGAATCATAGAATCATAGAGTTGGAAGAGACCACAAGGGCCATCGAGTCCAACCCCCTGCCAAGCAGGAAACACCATCAGAGCACTCCTGACATATGGTTGTCAAGCCTCTGCTTAAAGACCTCCAAAGAAGGAGACTCCACCACACTCCTTGGCAGCAAATTCCACTGTCGAACAGCTCTTACTGTCAGGAAGTTCTTCCTAATGTTTAGGTGGAATCTTCTTTCTTGTAGTTTGGATCCATTGCTCAGTGTCCGCTTCTCTGGAGCAGCAGAAAACAACCTTTCTCCCTCCTCTATGTGACATCCTTTTATATATTTGAACATGGCTATCATATCACCCCTTAACCTCCTCTTCTCCAGGCTAAACATGCCCAGCTCCCTTAGCCGTTCCTCATAAGGCATCGTTTCCAGGCCTTTGACAATTTTGGTTGCCCTCCTCTGGACACGTTCCAGTTTGTCAGTGTCCTTCTTGAACTGTGGTGCCCAGAACTGGACACAGTACTCCAGGTGAGGTCTGACCAGAGCAGAATACAGTGGCACTATTACTTCCCTTGATCTAGATGCTATAGATCAAGGGAAGTAATAGCAGCAGCAGCAGCAGCATACTCAATTATACCACCCAAATGTATGCTTGAAAGTGCAGCCAATCCTGGTTCTCCGACACATTTGTACCTTGAACACACGTGAGCCTGCAAACCAGTTTATCACATTCACATTTTATGTTTTCAAACGTACGCCTAAACGTGTGGTGCATGAAATTGCCCTTAAAATTCCAGAGCATTTTTTTGGAGCCTGCAATTCCACCTTTCAAGTCTTTAGCCATACCTGCTTTGAGTTTTGTTTCTTTTTGTTCAGAGTCCTTCAGCTTTGGTTGCTCACCCTCCATGTTCTGGATTTTTGCCAGAGCTTCTTCCAAGTCCTCATGAAGGACTTCAGATTTTTCCTCAGCTTGCTGTGCTCGCTTTTTAGCCTCTCTGAAAGAGTAGGTGCCAGATAGAACTCATAGCCCTGACCAGGCAAGAAACCAATTAAACTAATTTGATTTACTCTAGCTGGTCACTTCCTACTGTGAAAAATACATTTTCTCTTGCTTCTTCACTCCCCAAAAATGTTCCTAACGGCCAATATTACTGCAACCTATGTAAGAATCCACACCTGATTAATACATTTCAAGTCTCTAAAACCTACAGGAGAGGTTTTATTCCTAGCACTTCAAAACCACATGAGAACTCGCATATCACTAAAGGTAAAGGTAAAGGACCCCTGACAGTTAAGTCCAGTCGCGGACGACTCTGGAGTTGCGGCGCTCATCTTGCTTTACTGGCCAAGGGAGCCGACGTTTGTCTGCTGACAGTTTTTCCAGCTCATGTGGCCAGCATGACTAAGCCGCTTCTGGCGAAACCAGAGCAGCGCAACGGAAACACCGTTTACCTTCCTGCAGGAGCGGTACCTATTTATCTACTTGGACTCTTGGGTGTGCTTTCAAACTGCTACGTTGGCAGGAGCTGGGTCCGAGCAATGGGAGCTCACCCCATCACGGGGATTTGAACCGTCGACCTTCCGATTGGCAAGCCCAAGAGGCTCAGCGGTTTAGACCACAGCGCCACCCGCGTCCTATTTTTGTTTAAAAATGGAATGTGTTGTGGCAGAATAGACACCTGCAATCACATAGGCCACCTGTTCAAGATACCCTCTAGTCTCTAGTCTGCACAAGAATGCACACATCCATCCATCTCTTCCCTGTGGTTCTATACTCACACGAGTCGCTCTTCCAGAATTTCCAGTGACGCCAGCAACTCAAATTCCTTCTTTGAGGCCTTTGTGGTCCACTGGCTGGCATGCAACTCCCTCTGGAATAAGAAGAGTGAGTAACTTATAGGAAATGAAAGGAAATAAATCAATAGGCTACTTTCTGTCTCAGAACTGGCATACAGAAGTCCCTGGCTCAAATCTTGCCTCAGCTATGAGCACACTAGGTAGCCTTAGACAAGTGATGCTCACTCATCCCTTACGTCTTCAGAATGGGGATAAAGATAATTCTGGCCTACCTTACAGGGTCATTGCACTGTTTTATTTACAGAGGCACAGAGTTGGAAGTTGCCATTACTCTGCCTCTGAGAAGAAAAGGTTTATACAGGGCACAATTGCCTGAGAATATCTCCTGTAAAAACCCCATAACGGTGTTCATGCACCACTGCCGTTCTTTTCAATGGGGCCATTGCAGGAGAACTTCCCAGATCTATTTTCCTGCTGTAATAGTGTGTTGTAGTGGCCATAGAGTTGGACTAGGACCTGGGAGTCCAGAGTTCAAATCCCCACTCGGCCATGAAGCTCACTGAGTGACTTTGGGCCAGTCACTGCCTCTCTCAGCCTAATCTGCCTCATAGGGGTTTCATGGGGATTAAATGAGGAGGGGGAGAACCTCCTATGCCACCTTGAGCTCCTTGGAGAAAAACGGTGGGATACACTGGTCAACTACCATTAGTATTGCAAGATTGTCATGAGAGCGCTTGGACTAAAATTGTCAACCGAAAGCTCTACTTTTCTGGTTTATCACCACAACAGTTATTAACATCTGGCTTCAGTAATCAAATAATTTAATTAGACAGTGCCTATATGACACTGAGCGACAGAATAATCTGGCCAAAATAAGGAAATTTTGTCCATGGTATGATTATTTCCCACCTAGCCACTTTGGCACCCTATTTGCAAAATGTAACAATTCCAAAATACAGACGCGCTTTCACTTTTGCAAGATTGAATATACTGCCTTTGGCTGTACCCAAGGGTCGATTTCAAAAAATTCCACTGGAAAAACAGTTATGTCCCTGTGGAGATGGCAGTATTGAGTCAGTGGCTCATGTGCTTCTGGCTTACACTCTTTATAAAGATTTGAGGAGTGAGGTTAATACCCCTCTATTACTGTCCATGCCAGGTCACTCAACCGTTCCTACTGCATCCTTTCTTTTAGCAGATCAAGATGATCAGGTGACAGCAAAAACTGCAGGGTTTTTAGTGGGGACAATTAGAATAAGATCTATTATTTGATTATTGATGTAAACCCCCAAATGTATTTTCTATAGTTAAGTTTTTACCTCTACCTTCAGTACATTTTATTTGGTTTTATTGCTATGGCTAGTGGCTGATGCAAATAACGATTCTTCTGCTGCAAGGTGGGATATAAATAACTAACACTGAGAACCTGTCCTCTAAAGCAGCTGCCACACCTTCTTCCAAATAGACACACCTCTTCGGAGAAGATCTATCTATTTATATGTACATACATACCCGTGACACTGTGATTTCTTGCACTTGCATGGTTTTGACATACACATTAGAATCATCTCCAATGTATCTGACTGGGTAAGTGACCGCAAGACTCCCGGCCTGCTCACCAGTGCTGGTGCTGGGCACGGGTGGCTGTTCCTGCAAGGACAAAGAGAAGGAGCAAGGGGAAAGGGAAGGACCACACAATGCAATGGTTGTTTCCTCATCATCAAGGAAACTGCGCACAGAAGAGACTCAGATAGTGTATGGAAGGATCATGATGATCAACGCCAGTCCTTTTTTCCCCTGGGGGTACTCGACAGTATGCAGTACCGGCGCCTTTTTAATGGATATGTTAAAAGTGTGGCACTTAACTGTAACAACTTCGCGGTGAGTGCCAGCACCATTTTTTCTAGAAAAAAAGCTCTGATCAACACAATCTTCAATTATTTTCATATTCCACATAAGGCTACGCTGTCAATTGTGGTTCAGGAGCCTCTGGAGTCAGTGTTCACAGCAGTGGCGGAGGAACCCTCTCTGGCACCAGGGGCAGGGCAGCCCGTACGAAGTGCGCATGTGCGGCATCCCGTACGGACTGCGCATGTGCGGTATCCCACATGTGCGCACTCCGTACAGGCTGCCGCTTACACGGTGACCGTATGGGTTGCCGCACAAGTGGCATCCCAGAGTGTGCATGTGTGGTAGCGCGTACGGACACCATGCAAGTGGCATCCTGTACAGACTGCGCATGTGCGGTGACCATACGGGATGCCGCACATGCACAGTCTGTACGGGCTGCCACTTGCACGCAGCGTCCATATTGGCTGCTGCTTGCACGGCGACCGTACAGGCTGCCGTATGGAGTGCGCACGTGCGGCAGCCCATACGGACACCCGTACAGATGGCGCGTGAGAGTGGCAGCCCGTATGGACACCGCGCAAGCGGCGCCCATATGGACTGCGCGCGCCCTTGGCCGCTCTACAGCTGGGAGGATGCAGGGGCCATCTTGTCACCTGCCCCCTCCGCCCCCCCCTTCCTATGCCCCTGGTTCACAGACCATGCATGAATTCTGGGGCTGATTCTCTGCTGCTGGAGAATCGGAAGCGTATACACTCTTGGCTTATCCACTTTCCATATTTAAACATGCTCAACCACCCTTGAAAAGAGAATCCGCAGCACTTCATCAAACTACAATTCCCAGGATGCTTTGTGAGAAAGCTAAGTGGTATACAACTTTGTAGCATAAAGTTTCTGACTCAAGTAGACACTTTATGACCAACAGCTGGAGAAAGGGGGTGCCTTTCCTTTGCGAGGCTTGCTTTTGCTGCATTGCCCACAGTCCTGCTTATGTTCTGCACCAGAAGAAACCAGAATCCAGAATCTGTAGCAAGGAATTCTCAGTTCAGTGACCAGTATTTACTGGTATTGAATTCCAATTCCTCAGATTTTTTAAAGCTTTTGCAATTTTTCAGGAAGTGGTCAAAGAGGGAGGTGTTGGATGTATGATCAGAACAGCAAGAAATTTAAGTCACAGAAGGGGAGAACGCAAAGCATTAAATGGGCAGTTCATACATATCCATCAATGTGATGCAGCCAACGAATACCCCATTGCTCCTGTTAATATGTAAAGGAAGCTTATCACGCGGGACGTAGTTGTAAGAAAAACAGCCACGTTGACAGCCCCATCCATGCAAACTGCTTCCTCCACACTACCAACCCAGGGGCCCAGCAGTGATGCCACTCCCGACACCATTAACAACTTCTGTGTGGCCTACTGGAAGTAGCTTTTCCAGGTAGCATCCACCATATGTCTCCAATCTCTTCTCCATAGTCATGAGGGATAGATATATATTTCTTCTGTTTGTAAACTGCAGGATTCCCTTTTCATGATGTCAAAACTTCCACCAGATAGCAATAAACACACGGCCATAAGCCCCAGTGAGAAAGAAAGAAGCCCTGAAAGAAGAGGGACAGCTTTGTACATTTCCTAATGGAGATGCTCACCTCTGCTTCTAACGCTTGCTTCTGTTCTGCGGCTTCCTGATCTTTTAGAACATCCACAGCTTCTTTGTCTTTTTTCTCTTCCTCCACAGGTACATCTGTGGTGGAGGAGCTCTCCACTCTCTGCTCCGGACGAGGAGGCAGCTGTCGTTTCAGTTGAAGCACCTGCAAAAAGGTTGCAAGTGAAATTCTCCTTCTGAGATATCGCCCTGTGCCAGAAGAGAGGTGGAGGGCGGGGGAGAGAGGGAGAAAAAATCCCCCCCACCACCAGTCACACCAAAGGTTATTTCTGCCAGTACCTCTAACCCAAACAGGCCAACCAGGTCTTCTTGGCTGATTAAAGTGGTGGGAGTGGTCTTCATCCCAGACAGGAGGAGGTTGCAGGTTTCAATCCAATCCAAGAACTCTGTCTGGAAAAAGAGAGAGTGAAAGAAGCAACCAATCACCAAAGGGGAAATACAGTGCTACCTCGGGTTAACATATGCTTCAGGTTACAGACTCCACTAACCCAGAAATAGTACCTCGGGTTAAGAACTTTGCTTCAGAATGAGAACAGAAATCGTGTGGCGGGGGCGGGAGGCCCCATTAGCTAAAGTGGTACCTCAGGTTAAGAAGAGTTTCAGCTTAAGAACGGATCTCCAGAACGAATTAAGTTCTTAACCCGAGGTACCACTGTAAAAACAATTGCCCCGTGGTGCTCTTCCAGAGGGCTCAAACAGAGCTGCTTATGTTGAACTATGCTTAGAGGAAGTTGTACAGTGTTTTGCTTAGCATATGGCTCTCCATTTCAGTTCCCAACCCAAATGGGCAGCAGGTGGAGCTGGACTTTGTAGGGGGCCAAGGATTTTTGAGAGGTCCACCATTCATCCCAGCCATTATCTTCCCTGCAAATGCATACTGTGACCTGTCATTCACGCCTGTACTATCATTGATAGGTCCATGTATTTGCTGCCCAGGGAGTAACAGCCTTTGGGTTGGAAAACCCTTGCCCTAATTGCAGGTGTGCTGTGGTTGCTTGTGTTTGTGTAACACCCACCAGTGAAAAACACTATTTCTTACATTCTCAGTGGTACTGTTGTCATAAATGGAGATTAAGAGGGATGACTATTAAAGGCCCGCTAAAACCTGAAGTCCCATTGGGCCAATGCCCTGCACCTATCGCTATCACTATGCAACATCTCCTCCAGAGAGCCCCAGCGTTCCAAAATCCCAGTATCTCACCCGGGAATTCAGTCTTTGTGAATTCTGACATGAACTGCACTGATCCACATCTATCAGACTGATTTGATTACTAGAACCTATTTCTTTGTTATATTTGTTTCCTGCCTTTCCACCAAATGAGTTGACTTTCACACAATAGAGTTCAATGCGACTTACCTCTGAGTAGACATAGTTAGGAGTTTAGCCTGTGCTCCTAAGACTCATTCCAACTTCCTTTTTGTTTGGAACCAGCTATTTCTCATATCACAGGGCTTATGAATTTGCTGCCCTGAACTCCTTTGGGAGGAAGGGCAGGATATAAATTCAATAAATAAATAATCCCATCTAGAACCCCCTTGCCTGAGAGCAAGCCTCATTGAACTCAATAGGACTTACTTCTGATAAGACAGGATTAGGCCTGCTCTGTTAGGCTTCTAATGCCAATGTGGGCACACTTCCTCGCCTTTCAATTCCCAGCATGCAGTAGCAGCAGCAGACTGTATAAACACACAATATTGCACGAAAAAGTTTGCACACTGCAGAAGACATGGCTGGCAGGGATTAAAAGGCTTGGAGAAACTCCAGGTTATGGGAACTGTTAAGAAACAGTAGGTGCCTTGCGGAAGTGAAGTTGCAATTGCCACACAGAGATTTACAGGGTAATCTCATGCATGTTTATACAAAAGCAAATTCCACTGGGTTCAAAGGAGCTTGCACGCGAGGAACGCAATCAAGTTCACAGCTTTGGAAAAAACAAACAGTGGTGTCAGTCAATGCTGCTTTCATTCACACGAAGTGAACCTGGTCATGAAAATGAGAGAAGATGTGAAGAGCAGCAATTTTTGCACCTGTTTCTGTTTCCATCAGAATCCTCCAACATCCCTAGTGATGTCACAAAAGCGACATGGGCCAAAGAGAGACACGATTGTCCCAACCCAACTTGAGACTTTCCAAACAACCCAGCCTCAGCCTACCTTCCCACTCAGCCTGAAGCGGCCCACACCTTACTGCATGCCTTCAAACAGCCCACACTTCTCTTTTCCAATCTATTTCACAAAAATGCTTCACAGAAACATGAGACTCATATCCTCCCTTGCTGATGGCTGCCATAATTGACACTACCACAAATTTTCAGCCTTTTCTTCCTCCTGCCTAGGGAGGAACATGAAATATTGGGGGTACCTTCCATGCGCCGTCATGATTTATGTGACACTACTGGGCTCAACTGCAGACTTTTTCTCCTCCTCTCCAACTAGGCACCCCCTTAACAGCACCGGCCCAGGCTGGATCCTGGAACTTCCTGAACAAGGGTCACCACAGCCCGGATCAGCAGTGTTAACAGAGTTCAAATTTCACAATGCGTAAGAAAAACCACTTAACTGAAAACTGGCTGGGCTTTAAAAAGTACGCACGGCATTGTCCGTGGGCAACTGTGAGCAAGCCATCTTTAAAAGTAGGCAAAAGGTACACAATGTACCAAGATTTACGGAAATTTTGATGGCAGCTTGTTAACCGCAAACGTAGAACCCTCTGGCTTTTGTGTGGCTGGAATGATGCCTACTTTGCAAAAGCTAAGAGTCACAAGAATCCCACTTGCCCACTTTTGCCTGCGGCCCCATCCACCCCTGGCATGCGGACCCTGGAAAGCTGCCCACAAGAGAATGAGAAAATGTTTCCCATTGCTTACATGCAGACATGGGGACCGCAGAACTATGCGTGCAGGGAGCCAGGCCCAGAAGCAGCACTTGGCACAGTGGGGCCATGGGCTCGAGAAGCCCCGTCAAAGTGGCGGATCCTCTCTTTTCTGTTTGCTTAGTGTTTCCTTTTTGGTCCAGTGCTCAACAAAGAAGTGACAGGCTGAAGCTGCTGAGAGAGACAATGACATCTTTATCACCCCAGAATGCCTTGGGGTTCTGATGTCGTGCCCAGGGGTATTCTGGGACAATAAAAATGGTGGCGGCTGAAGCCACATTACACAGCAACTCTCTTGTTATCGCTGGACTGGCTGCCATCCGACATCCCCCTCTGACCTAGAAAGCTCACCAGAGGCTGCGAATGAGGGACAGCTTTAAGCCCCACACCGAGAAGTGCCCAGCAGCTGAAGTCATCTCCATTGCTCCAGAGAGCCTTTGCGCACTGTGCTGAGGCTTGAAGGCATTCCAGGGTAATAAATAAGGCAGTGTCATGGAAAAAATACTTAATTTTGAACAGCAGCTGATAAATTCACATCATCACCATAATCAATACAGCAGCGGCAGGAACAGCAACAAAGACCATCTCAGGGTTTGAAATATTGTGAAGGCTTTAGAACAAGTAGAGTGACCCAATCGAGGAACTATTTCACTTATGCAATGACCAACTTCAAAACCAAAAACAGTAGGATGGATTTGGAGAGTGAGGCACAAAAGGCAAGAGACCACATTTGGTCTTGCTTACCTTGATCCTCCCTAACTGTTGCAATTCATGTTCTGCATCTGGTTGAAGAGTTACCATCTTCTGGCGTGTTATCGTTGCTACCATCTCCTTGCAACAGCTGAGGAAATACATGATGTCAGCAATAGGTTACGGCACAGCAATGCCACTTTAATATGAGAAAGCCAGTTTCGTCACGTTCCTTCTGTCATGAGGACCATTTACATTTGAAGTTTACAAATGAGAAAAATGGGGCAACTAACTGTAGGCAAGGGGGGGGGGGACTACTATTTGAAAGCCAGGAATTACTTGTTTCAAATCTTATCTCTGTGAATTCTCTAGGAAGCCTTGAAAAATGTCAACCCATTATCTCAGCCTCCGTCCCCATTCTGCCTTCTGAAATATGAGAATGATAACACTAATCCTAACTAATAGCATTGATCAGGATTACTGAGAGAATGTATGCATGGAGCACTCTGTCTGAGGTGCCCAGTGCCATTCTTATTGACATCATTATATGCTCAGTATAATTATTAGTAATAATTATCATTTGATCTAGGACACAAAATCTTTCATTTTCTAAGCAAGCTTTTCTGATGAGCATTATTCTGGCAAATTAGACCTGAAGACATGCCAGGAACAACATTACCTGCTTCCCTCTCTGCTATATCTATATCTAGAGAGATGGAATGGTGTCTGTTTACTGCCTGCAGTCCTGGTTTTGGCTTTGTTGCCTAGATTTCTGGGAGAGTCCCCAGGAGGCTTGCTTAATAACCCAGGTGAATTTTAGTATTTATAGAATATTTTCAGTGTGTATGAAAAGCTTCACATACATTATCTTATGGCAATCCTTCCAGCAACTAGATAGGTCAATATTATTGTGTCTAATCTTGCAAGGGAGGGCTGAGCTTGCCTAAGGATACCCAGTTCATCTCAACTGCGAGAGTCAAAACATCTCCTAGGCAACACCAGCACAATAATAATAATGATAATAATAATAATAGGTAAAGGTAAAGGGACCCCTGACCATTAGGTCCAGTCGCGGACGACTCTGGGGTTGCGGCACTCATCTTGCTTTATTGGCCAAGGGAGCTTCCGGGTCATGTGGCCAGCATGATTAAGCCGCTTCTGGCGAACCAGAGCAGTGCACGGAAACGCCGTTTACCTTCCCACTGGAGCGGTACCTATTTATCTACTTGCACTTTGATGTGCTTTCGAACTGCTAGGTTGACAGGAGCTCACCCCATCGCGGGGATTCGAACCGCCGACCTTCTGATCGGCAAGTCCTAGGCTCTGTGATTTAACCCACAGCGCTACCTGTGTCCCTTTTAATATAATAATAATAATAATAATAATAATAATAATAATAATAATATTTGTACCCCTCCCATCTGGCTGGGTCTCCTCAGCCACTCTGGGCGGCTTCCAACAAAGATTAAAAATACATTAAAATGTCACACATTAATAACTTCCCTAAACAGGGCTGCCTTCAGATGTCTTCTAAATGTCAGGTAGTTGTTTATCTCTTTGACATCTGAAGGGAGGGCGTTCCACAGGGCGGATGCCACTAGCAAGAAGGCCCTCTGCCTGGTTCCCTGTAGAACCAGGTGGAACAGGTGGGGCTGAGGCACTAAAACAAACCGGGCCACAAAAACCTCCTTCAGTATTTGGCCATGTCATGATCTACATCTATACCACATATAAATAAAAATGTGTGTTCATCCTCCAGCAACCTTGTGAGGGAAACATTACTGTTCACTTACTGTGTGGGTAGCTGAGACAGAGATATCACTAGATGTGCCCTATCATGGTGCCCTCTGTCATTGCTACACAGCTTTTCTGTCATGGCATGGGCTTCCTTTCTGCCTGGTGGGGTGACTTTATGAAGCGGATGAGATTCAGTGGGATCAGCAATACCTGACTATGTAGCAGGAGAATGTGCTCAGCTTTGCAGCCAGGCCTGTGGCTTCTCCTTCCAGCTTGAAAATGTTCAGCAGCTTCCTTTCCGCCTGCCTTGCCGCTTCTGCATCAGTCAAGGGGAGGGTATCATGAGAGATGTGGTCTGGAGCCATGTGGATGAGCAGGTTGACCATCCACTTGCTCAGAGCATAGTGGAAGTCGGTCAGCTGTAGGAAGTTTAGAGCAAGGTGGATTCAAGCTATACTATAAAGTCACAGCATGAACACTAGGGCTGAAATCCTAGGTCTGCTTGCACAGGAATAAGTCCCAGGGACTTACTTCTTTTCTCTGTACATCTGTACAAGACAGACATCATATAGGAAGAAGAAAGGGGGAGCTTTTCAGATCCAAGACCTATCATTATCCTTAGCCTGCAACAAGACCCACTTTTTATGTTGCGGTTTTTTTAGCTTTGCTATAGAAATCTACATCTCTCCAATTCTGCATCAGTTGCAAATTGACCATTTCAACTGCTCTCAATACAGACATGCAGCAGAACTGCTGGCCTTCAAAAAAGGCTGCCTCTTCTCTCTCTGCCTGACTTACTTCTTTGGGATTGGCTGCTTCTAATCAAGACACACGCTCGGAAGAGTGATGCATGCAGAAACACAAGGAGGGCCTCCTCTGAGCACAGGTAATTATTACGTTACACATAAAAAAGCTTACATTTAGAGGGTTTTAAGAGTGAAGTTCGCCTTCCATTTTAGTTTGAAACAAGTGTGCCTCTGCTGTTAGAAGTTGGAAAAACACCAGGACACCTACTTCATGGCTGAACTGATCATTTTCTTTCTCGGAACCACTAGTGGTTGTCAGGATCCACTGCTGAATCTTCTTGAACACATCCTCAGGTACCAACCTTAAAGGAAACAATTCAGTCAACAACAACAAAAACAACATCATCATAGCCAATTAGATCGGGACCAGATGCTACCTTAGACTCTTAACTTCCAAAATCATTATTAAAATGGGCTGAAAGAACCCCCAAATTCTGAGCTGAGAATAAAATTCCACACACTGGTCAAGCTGAAAGTATAATTTCCATTTCAAAGGATGCAACACTGATTTGGCAAGGCAATTGTTTTGCCAGTGTAAGCAAGCGTTTCTGCTTGCCCAACAGAACGATGCTGTTATACAAATTTACGGTGCAACCACAGTTGGAGTACAGTTTACAGTTCTGGTCAGCTCATCTTAAAAAGGAAAAGGATCAGAAAAAGGTGGGCAAAATGAGCAAAGGGTTGGAATGACTGCCCTACGAAGAAAAGCTGCAGCCTTTGGAACCTTTTAGTTTAGAGCAGGCACTCCCAAACTTGGCCCTCCAGATGTTTTGGGGCTACAACTCCCATCATCCCTAGCTAACAGGACCAGTGGTCAGGGATGATGGGAACTGTAGTCCCAAAACTACTGGAGGGTCGAGTTTGGGGGTGCCTGGTTTAGAGAAACGCCGAGTGAGAGTCAACATGATAGAAGTTTATAAAACGATGCGTGGCATTGAGAAAATGGAGAGAGGAAGTTTTTTCTCCCTCTCTCTCCTAACTTTAGAACTTGCGGCCATTCAATGAAACTGAACGTTGGAAGATTCGGGACAGGCAAAAGGAAGGACTTATTCACAGAGTGCACAGTCAAACTATGGAACTTGCTCCCCAGGAGGCAGTGATGGAGGGCTATCAGTGGCTACCAGCCGTGAAGACTATGCTCTACCTCCACGTTGGAGGCAGCAATTCTTCCAAATACCAGTTGCCGGGAACCACAGAACGGGAGAGGTGCCCTTGTGCTCATGTTCTGCTTGTTTCCCATGGGCATCGGTTGGCCACTGTGAGAGCAGGATGCTGTACTAGGTGGGCGACTGGCCTGATCCAGCAGCCTCTTCTTATGTTCTTATGAATCGTATCAGGAAAAGGTTCTTAATTTCCTTTGCCAGAGGTGCTCCAGAAAATCTTTTTGGGAAAACCCAGCTGTTTCTCACCGTTATCTCCGCAAATCCTTATACGGTACTGCTCACAGAGAAGAGTGGACTGCTTGTTGATTCTCTCCAGCATTTTCAACTCAACAGGCATCCTTCCCTTGAAAGTCTTGTGACGCCCATGCACAACAAGTCCCAGATCCACCCATTGCTTCTGTAGATTAGTAGTCACCGTGAGGGGCTCTTGTCTCAGAAGGAGGATTTCTCCACCAAACTGCGCCAACTCCTCATTCAACATCTAGCAGGAGAAGGAACAAATGCCATAATTTTCTGAAACCTTTCTCAGGGACTGTATGCTCAGTTCAAGTCCACGCAACAAGGTGAGCTCCTATTGCTCTGTCCCAGCTCCTGCCAACCTAGCAGTCTGAAAGCACACCAGTGCAAGTAGATAAATAGGTACCGCTGTGGCAGGAAGCTAAATGACATTTCTGTACACTCTGGCACTCGTCACGGTGTCCCGTTGTGCCAAAAGCAGTTTAGTCATGTTGGCCACATGACCCGGAAAGCCTAACGATTTTAGGACCAAACGAGATGTGAAATCATGGGCACTGGAAGGGTACCACAGTTTATTTATTTATAACTTACAGAAAGTCAACCCTTGCTCCTTCTGGAGGCTCCAAATTTGATTGAAGTAATGAGTGATGTGGGGATACTCAACCTTTTCCCCATGAGCAATTTGCCTGGTAAGACTTGCTCTGCCCTCCCCTATGCTGCTTTTCTCCACACAGAAGAAAAAAACACATAACTGGTGTTGTTTCACACAAACTGGAGAGGAGTGAAGCAGCAGAGGTAATTTTGGTGAAAACACACACACACACACACACACACACAAACTAATCCGAGGAGAAACATGAAATTCAACACCATGCTAAGACTACTGCTTTCCTTGAATTCAGAGCCCTGCCCTACAGCTGCAGTAAGCAGAGGAATTTCACACTCTTCCTATGCCATATCAAGCTTGCCCTTTACTGGCTGCAGTGATAATATGAGTCAATGAATGCATTGATAAACATTAGCAGAAGCAGTCCTTATTAGGGACTGAATGGCTGCACAAGCCACTTTTAGCTTCCTAAGGCAGAAAAACATTTAAGGACAATAAATAAAGTGATGCATGATCGGCTGCCTACAAACAAGCATATTACCTGCAGGGAAGACATCTAAATACCCAATACATAATAATATTTAATACCGTGTTCGTTGTGATTGGTACTGGAAACCCCTTACCTTTTCCCAGACCTTCAGATCCACAAGGATTTGATCCAATAAAGAGGCTCCTTTTGCAAAAGTGTAAGTTCCTTTTCCACTGGGAAGTCAAAGAGAGGAGGAGGGAATTATATAGCAAAGAATACACACTCTTGTCCAGGGTGTCTAAAATCGGAATAAACTCCTGCTGTGTGCATACCTTGCTTGAGACACAAAGAAAGAAACTGAAGCACCTTCAAGAGCCTATTGTTTGGAACTTACTCTGAATGGGTTTATCATTGTGGCTTTGCTTGATTCATGGATGCCACAAAGGGTCACCATCCCTAGTTTAATGCATTGCTTGGTCAGTCTAGGGATCTGACAAATGAACTTTAATATTCATTTATGGCCTTTGCAATGCAGCACCAATCAGCAATTAGGAGAGCACAAGAAATAGTTCAGAGAGAGCTTTCCAGTTTGAATTTAGGGAGAAGCAACTTGACCATGAAGCAACTTGTGTGAATATATTCTCTGGGAAATACAGGCAGGTTTGGTGGATTCGCTGCCTGTTGCACGGTTATCTGTTTGCTTCTAATAGGTTCTGCTTCTATAACTGTAAATAAACCAGATATTTCAAAGATAGCTAAGGAGTAAACCTTGCACAAATTTCAGGATTGACAAGATAGATCAGCTGTATGTGAAATCAGTGTTAGCTCAGTGCTGATGGCAACCTGATGTTTAAATCAAGTACGCATAGCGGCACCCTTAAAAAATTAACCTCCTTTTTTTTTTAAGGAATCAGAGGAAGCTGAGCTGATAAAAAGACAGTTGGAAAAATATATGTTAACAAAGCTATATTTGACGGATGAAAGTACATTATGTTTGACATGATTGAGAATCGTGGACTCAGGGACAAAGAATTATGAAGCGTTAAAATCGAGATGTGCAAAATATGGAAACAACGAGGAGAAGCAGGACTAAGATGTGGAGATATGCTTCAGAGATGCAGACCATGTGGAGCTCTGAAAAATTAATACATATAATTTGGACCATAATTTGGTCTTTTTTATTTTAGTTTTTTATTTTAATTGGAGTAATATGATTGGATATATTAAATGGATGTTTTTAACTGGACAATCAATAAAAATGATTTTAAAAAATAAAGAAATGATCTTTGACCATGTACTGCTCCAGTGAATGTGGCAGGCAACACAGAGGCCCCCCAATAATAAAGGATCATTCCTTGAGACTCACAGAACATGATTCTGGAAGTAACTGAGCCAACCAGCCAAACCATTCTGAATACTCCTAGCCCTGTCCCTACTGGTTTCTTCGATTTGTTCCAGTTCTGTGCCAATTTGGTTCACGCGTTCCCGAAACTCCTGTGTCAGCTCCTGCAGAGTGGAAAGATCAGTCACATCCTGAAAGAATCACAAGAGAAAAATGGGATTGGGGGGTAGAGAAAGAATCCATAAGAAAAATAGATTTTAAAAAAGCCATAAAGATCAAAATAATCATAAAAGTCTGCTTACAGCAGACAACTAAATTGCTAAGCAAATAATACTATGCATATTTCCACAGTAAGGTAAAGGGACCCCTGACCATTAGGTCCAGTCGTGGTCGACTCTGGGTTTACAGTGCTCATCTTGCTTTATTGGCCAAGGGAGCTGGCGTACAGCTTCCAGGTCATGTGGCCAGCATGACTAAGCCGCTTCTGGCGAACCAGAGCAGCGCACGGAAACGCTGTCTACCTTCCCACCGGAGTGGTCCCTATTTATCTACTTGCACTTTGACGTGCTTTCGAACTGCTAGGTTGGCAGGAGCAGGGACCGAGCAACAGGAGCTCACCCCGTCGCAGGGATTCGAACAGCTGACCTTCTGATCGGCAAGTCCTAGGCTCTGTGGTTTAACCCACAGCGCCACCAGCATCCCTTATTTCCACAGTACACACAGCTAAAATCTTACAAGTGCAACACTGACATTCAAACATGCATTGCTGGACATATTTAGACTGGGACACATAAAGTGAGAGATTGGCTTCATTATTATCAGATAATGGAGGCATATAATTTGGATAAGAAAACTGGCTTCCAGGTGGAAAAATCAAAATTAGAAACAGAATTGTTAGAACCCAAAACTAAGAATTTGTCAAGAATGTATAACTTGCTGCTGAAATGGAACACTCAGGATGAAACGGTAAAATCTGCTATGATTAAATGGGCACAAGACGTTGGACACAATATTATGTTCGCTGACTGGGAACAGTTATGGACCACAGGTATGAAATTTACGGCATGTAATGCCCTAAGAGAGAATATTATGAAAATGATATACAGGTGGTACATAACTCCAGTCAAGCTTGCAAAAATCTATCATTTGCCCGATAATAAATGTTGGAAATGTAAAGAAACTGAAGGTACATTTTTTCACCTTTCGTGGACGTGCCCAAGGATTAAGGCTTTCTGGGAAATGATATATAATGAATTAAAAAAGGTATTTAAATACACCTTTCTTAAGAAACCAGAGGCCTTTCTCCTGGGCATAGTCGGCCAAACGGTGTTAAAAAAGGATAGAACTTTATGTATGCAACAACAGCAGCAAGAATACTCATCGCAAAGTATTGGAAGACACAAGAGCTTCCCACACTGGAGGAATGGCAGATGAAACTGATGGACTATATGGAACTGGCGGAAATGACTGGCAGAATCCGTGACCAGGGAGAAGAGTCGGTGGAGGAAGATTGGAAGAAATTTAAAGACTATCTGCAGAAATATTGCAAAATTAAAGAATGTTAGAGTGATGTTGGATTGAAAATAAGTGGCTTCCAGCTGTACAGGATTTAAAGCTATATATAGATCAAGATTAAGGATTAGGATTAAAAAAGTTAAAGGAAATGGAAATTTGGTTTTTAAGAGGTAAAATTTAATGTTATATTATATCAAGATTAAAGATTGGGATTAAAAAAGAGGGAAAGAAATTGCTGGACAAACAATTTGAACTGGAATACAAAAGAGGGAGGTATGAGGAGGTCCAGAAAATAAGTAAATTTAAAAATGGAGATGAAAAGGTGGTATTGTTTTTAACTGTTTTCTTTTTTGTCTTTTGTTTTTTGTTTTTTTCTGGATTATGTATTGTGTACTTTTGAATTGTGTATTTCTTTTTTTATTTTTAATTTTTTATCGATGTGTTCTTTTTATTGGAAACCTTAATAAATATCATTTAAAAAATATATATATATTCCCCTTCCAGTGAAGATCCATTTCCAGAATTACAACTAACTATTTCAACACAATATTTATGTTTTTAAGGAGAATAATGGCTGGTTAATGCTCTCAAACAACAACTGCTGTGTTACATTCATATGGAAATCTTCCCATCAATTAAAATTAATACAAACAAACAACTTTAAGGCACAATCCCTTAATCCTTGAGTTTTTCAGGATTTGATGGAAGGCCCCTATACTAGCGTATGCTGAGATATGCCCACATTCTGCCAAAATGGGACAGTGGCATGTCTCGGAAGGAGTGGGACTATGTCAAACTCTGAAACTCCTTCAAATGTTGTTCTTGGCCCCTACTCCAAAGTCACACAATTCAAACCAAAGAAATGGTATTCAGTCATAACACTGCCACTGTTGCGAAGGTCACTGGGTGAGTGGCTGCTTTGTGTTTTGTAATGCTAGTCTTTTCTCCCCATTTTTTGTACTGGGAGTACATAGGATGGCAACTAACTTATGCCAGCATAAGTGGGTCATTGGCTGGAAGGCCCACAAGATTGCTCAACCAGACTTTTTAATTGCGTGACAGAAACTGATGTCACAGAAATTAATGTTCTTCATGCCTTTCACCCCTCTGTTCAAAATGGGATGGTGGGTGTCCAATCCTGGCCTCCAATGAAAAGAGGGCACGTTTGGGGAGTTGTCTGTTGTAGAAGAGGCTGAATCAGTTCAAGCAGGAACTGAGATGAAAGAGCAAACTGACTCTTGTGCATTTTTGAAAATATATTTACTTAGACCTTTTGCAGGCTCCATAGGAGGCAGTGGGCACAGTGGTGCCCGCAGCACCATGTTGGCGATCCCTGACTTACTTGCCGCTGTAGAGCTATATTTTTTAAAAACTATACAGCTAGCAGAGAATGAAATGCAATGTGCCTATTCTTCGTTGCCCTCTATAAAATGGAAACAATTTGTTTTAAAGGAGATACTTTTAGTTACTTTTAGTTTAATAAATGACAAAGCAACAGAAGCAGCCAAAACAATCCAAAGCAGGCAGGGGTCGGCAACCTAAGGCCCATGGGCCGGTAGTGGCCCACGAGGCTTGCCTAACCGCCCCCTGCCGCCACGCTGCTGCCCCCGCCACCTGCTCTTACTAGCGCGGCGCAGTGCGGGGACCAGGTTTTTCAGAAACCCAGATTGGGTCTTAGTAATCACAGCATTCTTTCCTAAGTGTTCACAGACCAACTATTTAATTATCTGTTCAAGGACCTTTCCTGGTATTGATTTCAAGCTGACTAGTTGGTAGTTACCTGGGTCTTCTTTCCCTCCCTCTTTAAAGATGGGGACAACATTGCCTCCAGTCTGCAAGGACCTTACTTGTTATCCAATAACCCCTGGCTATTACCAATGCTGGCCCAAAACATTTTGCTGCCTGAAATGAACCCCCAAAGGTGCGCCAATCAGATGCTTATGGGAAGACTACATGCAAGTTATGAGTACAGCAGCCCTCTCATGTTATTGTTCCCTGGTGACTGGTATTCAGAGACATGAATGGGGCAGAGAGCCAGATGAAGTGATGGAAGAGGGAGGGGGGAAGCAGACTCTGTAAGTGAGCAGTTGAGAACTCTGGCAAGGAGGAGGGAAATCATGGTGGTGGTGGTCTCAAAACGGACAGTGCAATGGAAGAGAGGGGGGAAGTGCACTGCAATCAATCAGTTCAGATCTTTCCCAAGAGCAACAGATTGCTTGATGGGAAGAGGTGGAGAAAGAGAAAGGGGATGACAGAAAAGGAAAGAGAGAAGACCTGCCTGCTTCTTGCCTCTGCTCCCAGCCACTTTTGGTCTACCAGCCACCAACATCTACCCTCTAGCGGATTACTCTCAGCGGAAGGCAAACTCCTTCATGGTTCCCCCTATCCCTGAGTTAAAATGGAGCAATGTGTTGACAAGGAGGGTCTTGGGGTCTTGAAAGGGCTGGTTTTCAAACAGTGGTGGCCACCGCTTTTGCCAAGTGCGCCACAAGTTAAACCCAAGTGTGAAACAGAGCCAGCTTGCTGAATGCTGAGCAACATATGCAGCCTCCCGTGGACTGGAATGGTTTGGCTCTGTGGGTGCAGGCAGCAGCATGAGGAAACAGGCAGCAGTGCAGACTCTAGGCCAGTCTTCCCCAGCCGGGTGCCCTCCTACGTTCTGCAGTACAACTCCCATCATCCCTGATCACCAGCAGAACTGGCTGGGTCTGGCAGGGGTTGCATCCAACAACATCAGGAGGGTGACAAGTTAGCAAAAGCTGCTCTAAGGTCATAGCTTGGTTCATGGGCATTCCTGCTCATCTCCAAGCACACCATCACCTCGGGTTAGCCACTCTTGTGTAACATACTTAATGGGCATTTCCCTAGCACTCTCCATCACCCTTGCACTGTGGCTCCCAAATCCTAGCACTGCTACTGGTTATTGCAAAGAGGCATGTGACGTGCCAGGACCCTATCAATTCCATTCTATTACCTTCCAGCTCCTGTGAGGCAAATCGGATGCTCTATCAGATATCGAAACTTGTTTCTGCGTACAGGATGTTGCCAGACCCCATCAGTAGTACGAATGCACCCCTGAAGAGTCAACAGAAAAGACTAGTTCAAGAGGTTCTTCGGGATCAGGTGGTAAGCACAGACTACATCTCCAATACTGATAAGCCTAATGACACATTACACACAAATGCACATAGCAGTGAGACCCTGTCAGCTGTTTCTTCTAAGTCTTAGCTGAAGTCTTTTTATGAGCTGGCGAGAGATGCATGTGAAATATACATCAAAAACAGGAAGGAGAACATGCAAAAGACAGATGCAATAAAGGGATGGGTTCTTTATTTATAGGGACGCGGGTGGCGCTGTGGGTTAAACCACAGAGCCTAGGACTTGCCGATCAGAAGGTCGGCGGTTCAAATCCCCGTGACGGGGTGAGCTCCTGTTGCTCGGTCCCTGCTCCTGCCAACCTAGCAGTTCAAAAGCACGTCCAAGTGCAAGTAGATAAGTAGGTACCGCTCCGGCGGGAAGGTAAACGGCGTTTCCATGCGCTGCTCTGGTTCACCAGAAGCGGCTTAGTCATGCTGGCCACATGACCCGGAAGCTGTCTGCGGACAAACGCCGGCTCCCTCGGCCTATAGAGCGAGATGAGCGCGCAACCCCAGAGTCGGTCACGACTAGACCTAACGGTCAGGGGTCCCTTTACCTTTACCTCTTTATTTATACAACATGCCCAAAGCATGTTTATTTGTTTCTTACTGAACCAATCTCAAAAGTTTCTGTTGCTGAAAGTAGTTTGTGATATGTCTGATAAGCAACAAAAGCTGAAGTACTAAAATCTCCTTAATAAAACTCTAAGTTGCCTGACAGTGCCAGTTCTTTGGCCCAACTAGTCTCTTGCCTCCCCCCCCCCATTCAGTGAACTTCAGGTTCTTAACATTTCTCATGCTGCCATGTTCCCAATAACGCTCCCTCTGCAAAGTGTTGTCCTAAAATACTGGTGTCTATGTGCACCTGGCATAATTCGCAGTCACCAGCAGACATCTATAGCAAGTGGGTTTTGTGGCAAATTTTGTATTTAAAAAGCAAATATTCATAGACTGGAAATGAACTTATGCACCTGAAAGTCTTTTATACTTTTTGTTTTCTTGGGGGGTCTTAAAACACTGGGACAGGGGATTGGGTTGGCAGCAGAGGTCAGTGCAACAAAGATCTCTTCTGGGATGAAATCACGCTGTAAAGATGTGGGAAGAGGCTTTGAACTGTCTAATGCAGCTGACTTGTCTCTTAACTGAGGGAGTTCTAGAAAAAAGAAAGAAACAGCAAGAGTAACTGTTAATATTTGGTCGTGGCAGCAGATTATCTCTACCCCCCAAAAAAACTCCCTTAAAGCTGACAATTCTATCACACACATTTCATGTTAGTGCTCAAGAATAACATTAAAAATCCATATTTATGCCTAATATAAACTGGCCTTCGAGTAAAATTACAGAAGCCCCTGCTATAACTGTTTAGTAGGAGCATTGCTAAAGGAGGAAAGAAGCAGCAGCAACAGAGAAAATATCCACTTACATACCATGGGCGTAGCCAGGGGGTGCATGGGAGTGCAATTGCACCTGCAATCAAGTAAATAAATAAATATACTTAACTAACTGATCAATGGCATCACAGATAACTCAGTTCTACCTGCCCCCCACATAAAGACTGCCACCCTAAAATAAATCCTGCCTACGCCCATGTTACATTCGCAGAGTTCTTACTTTACCGCAGAGCTTCCCAAACTGTGTGTCGCAACACGTTAGTGTGTCAGTTGAACAGTCCCCGCGCTCCTCCCGGGGCTGGAAAGGGGTCAATTTAACCTCTGGTTTGCTAGTAAAACTGAATTACTGTGTCATGAAATGGTGCACGTCTAAAAAATGCGTCACCAACACGACTAGTTTGGAAAGCTCTGCTTTACAGGTACACGATACTCAGAATTTTTAAAAGGTGCTTGGAGCACTCAAAGACTCACATGAGAGATACATTGTGATATGCTTTTAATTTCTGTTCTTTGATCAAACTGCAACATCTATGCACTGAAAAGAGCCATGTGGCAGGACTGAGAGGACCCGGGCAAAGTGCTGCCCATGCTACCATAGACCCTCCATTGCCAGTGCACAACTGTCCCCTCTTCTTTGCCACTGTCATCATTCTGCACTCTCCCAACACCACCACAAGTTGCCAGATGCTCTGAGGAAAGGATTCCTTTTTGTTTATTTTCCCCAAAATGTTGTGCAGTAGATTCTCTGTTCAGCCAAGCATCACCCAAACTGGCCCCAGCCAAGCACGCAGCCTCAGCAGCACACTGTCTGCCAAACTGCCTGTGCTTTTTAGATAAGAAGAAAGGCACCCTTCCCAACGCTGCCTGATAATCTGGCAGGGAATGGTGGAGCAAATGCCAGGGCTGCCCGCTGCCCTCTTGGTTTCCACAGAAGAAATTTCGAGGAAACTGCAGAAACCAACATGACAGCAGGCGTAACTGCAGCTGGCTCAGAAGGCACACTGACTCCTAGCTAAACGGGAGAAGGATGGGTGAGAGGTTGACAGGGAAGCAGAGAACAAGAATGATGGAAGCAAATGGGGATTTTATTTTATTTATTTATTTTGAACACCACCTGCTTTTCCCATTACTCCTCTCTCCTTGTTGACCAATCTTCTCTGTGTGTGCCTGTAACTTACAACCCATCCAAGTCTTTGTGAAACGATGGATCTACATGCAGAGACAGAACAAAAACGACAAATCCATAGCACAGATATTAATTCACACAAGGTTGGCTTGTTTAGCTAGTAACCACTGGCTCCTAGTTCACATGCAATCATGGTTTTAGTTAAACCATCACACGCAAACATACCCTGAAAGTACATCACTCTTCTCAAGATTTTTTGCCTTTTTGCTCATTCCTACCGAGAAATGCTAAGGTGCGAGTAAGGCAGACCCTTATAAAATCCCAGACTATCAAATGAAACAGGGGGAGAGAAAAATTACTCAAGATTTAGAGGAAAATAATTTGATATGGGACCAGTGGAGACTGAGAGTTTTTCAAGCCTATCATAGGGACATAGGAAGGTGCCTTATACTAAGTCAGATCCAGTGGGCCATCTAGCTGATACAGTGGTGCCCCGCAAGACGAATGCCTCGCAAGACGGAAAACCCGCTAGACGAAAGGGTTTTCCGTTTTTGAGTTGCTTCGCAGGACGAATTTCCCTATGGGCTTGCTTCGCAAGACGAAAATGTCTTGCGAGTCTTGAGATTTTTTCCCCGCTTTCCCCCCCCTTTATCTAATCCGCTAAGCCTTTAATAGCCTTTAATAGCCTTTTAGCAGCTAATCCGCTAAGCCTTTAAGCCTTTAATAGCCGCTAAACCGCTAATAGCGCTAATCCGTTAAGCCGCTAATAGGGTTGCTTCGCAAGACGAAAAAACCGCTAGACGAAGACTCTCGCGGAACGGATTAATTTCGTCTTGCGAGGCACCACTGTACTGTTTTCTCGGACTGGCAGCAGCTCTCCAGGATTTCAGGAAGGTGGCATTGCCAGGGAGATGCCAGGGAGTGAGCCTGGGTTCTTCTGCATGCAGGGCAGATGCTCTACCTAGCTACAGCCCTTCCCCAAATTATATCAGTTTTTAATCTGCAAAATTTTGTGGTTTTTCTCAAGGAAGCAATTTTATTCTAGAAACTCTATTTCCTCAGCATTCATTGCTTTGTGACTCCACCTCAAGCATTGCATCCAACTGCAGTTTTGTTTTATTTCCGTAAACTGCTTCAATATTTTTAGATGACAGCATGGTATATAATTTTTGTTATAAAGAAATAGTGATGTGTGGAACATGGTTACCAGACTCTAATGTTCACTTATTACATAGCACCTTTACCCACACTAACAGTTAGCAACAGATTGGCCTCCCCGATGCCTGCAACATTTTGTGACCATGTGTTTCATTCTAAGTGTTTTTAATTTCTTTGACAAATGAGCACCCTGCCACTAATGAAGAATTGGTTTTTTTAAAAATTATTTTTAAACGTGTTAAACATGAGTAGCGCTGAACATTCCTGGCTTCAACACCAACTTGGCATTTCATGAATTATGCCCCTCCCCTTAAAAGTTCAAGTTTGCTTAACTCCTCCTCTATCAATGCTAAAATATTATAATTTGATTTTTAAGCCTGCAGCAGGGCTAGTTTCCTCACTTAATCCATGGCATGGACAGGATTTTATAATGATGATGGACTCACCAAAGGTTTAGGACTACATACAAAACCAAGGGAAGATAGCCTTATTTAGACATTTTCTCCTCCAGTTATCTTAATTACTGGAAAGCCACTTCTTTAAATGATAAGCAACCATATGTAAAGAGGCATATTAAAAGATACCTATAGAAGAAGTGGAAGAATTGATATTCCTGCTATAGGCAGTAACAAACAGCAGACACAAGGGATTCAGGTCCAACCACTTCTTCTTAACCTGATGCCCACATGCCCTACTTCCTTGTCTCCAATACAGTCCTGAAGGACCTGTTCTCCCCATGCACTCGGATGGCAACAACCGCATATCTTGTTAGGCCCAAAATGTGCTTGAACTGAACCAAATATTAACAGCCCTACTCCTACAAATATATCACAGTACTTTCAAGAATCCAAACACTGCAGACAGAGGCAGTCAACAAAACTCAACCCTGGCTGCAGCTATTCGTTACTGAACAACCTGCTGCAAGATTTACCGTTACTATCCTTGCTGACAGAAACTAAGGAAGAAGCATCTTTCAGTTTTTTGTTTTCTTGCTTTGAAGTAGATGGCGGCACAGGAGCGAGTCCTTTGTTTGCAGACATGACGAAATGTTGATTTTGGCTGGCTTGCTCACTGACTCAGATTGTTGGCTGCTGCATATATCTGGAAGGGATATATAACCCACATAGATAGACTGTATGACCGCAATGGATGTGATTCAATTTCAGATTCGGTTTAAGAAGGTATGCTAGCCTGGGGGAAAGGATATAAATTGCAGGAGGCACACACTGTGTTCCTACATTTCTGCTTGCGCTGCAAGCTGCTCCATCTGTGGCCGTTAACCCATTTACAAGGAAGAAGTTGGACTCCTGCAGTAGAGAGTCACTTGCCGTCAAGATATACTCCGTTTCAGACCACCTTTTCCCTGTAAAACTGAGTAGAAAGAGGCATGAATACTGTCTTAAGATACATGTATTTGTTTTGAAATGGTCAGTAGATTTAGGGAAACAGCAAGAGGAAGGAGCACTGAAGAATAGGGAATAGTGTGAGGACATTTGGTCGGACTGTTTGGTTTCTTTTTGAGTGCTCTGTGTTTTGCTTTGAGAATACACCCGAGTAGAGCCCCCCGAGCCCCGTTTCCCCAGCCCGGGATGGGGAGGTTTTGGGGGCTGCCTCTCCCCTCCTCCCTGGCCAGGGCTGAGCGGAGTCGGGAGTCTGGCCCCCCTGGCCTGCTGCCTTCCGAGGGGCTCTGGATCCGGTCCTGAGCCCCCCTCTCCGCTCTCACCTCCGCAGAAGGTTCGTGGCCTCGGGGCTGCCGGAGGCTCAGTCCGCCCGCTGCATGGCGACCCCGCTGTCCTGAGAGGGAAGGGCGCACGTGTGAATGGCCTCCCGGGCAGCTCCCCTTCTCCCTTCCCTCGCCCCCCCCCGCCCCGCCCGGAGCATCTCGGGGGGAGAAGCGGAGGAGAAGCGGCGCCCCCTTTACCTCTCTCCGCGCGCTTCCCGGCGGCGTCTGTTGCCATGGGAACCGCGCGCCTCTGGCAGGCGTCCCTCTCAGCGCCTGACAGGCCAGAGGCCGCTTCCGCCCAGAACTTGCGCCAGGCGCTCCCTGCTTTCATCCCCGCTATCCGCCCGCTTCTCTCCCACGCGCCCCATTTTAGAAAGGTTGTTTTGTTTGTTTTCTTTTAAGGCACCGAGTTAGACGCCTTGACAACGGCGATGGGAGCCGGGAAGGGTCCTTGCCCTAAGAAGCAACGAGCATGCGCGCCAGGAAAGGCCGGTCCGCCGCGCTTGCGCCCAAAGAGAGAGAAGGAAGGGAGGGGCAGTGACGTGTCCGCCTCCCTTCCGGGCCAATGCGCACAGAGGGAGGGGACATGCGCACAGAGGGAGGGGTCCCTTTTATAGTCACTTAGTCCAAGCAGAGCTGCCAACTTGTCCCTTTTCTTGCGAGGAATCCTATTGGGAATAAGGGGATTTCCCTTGAAAAAAGGGGGAAGTGGACAGCTATGGTACGAATAGTAGAAACGAATTTAGACAGTGCTTTGTGTTCCCTTGCCGGTCAGTAGACTAGCACACTGAACAGACAGACTCCACGTCTCAATGCACACCACAGATGCGCATAGATGATCATGATGATGATGATTTAGATTTGTAGCTGACCCTTCATCCCAAAATCCCAGGGCGGTTCACAGCAGAAAAATACAAAAAGAGAATACAAAATACACCATAAAACAAAAACATAGAATGGAGAATACAGTGGTACCTCTGATTACGTACTTAATTCGTTCCGGAGGTCCATTCTTAAGCTGATACTGTTCTTAACCTGACACCACTTTAGCTAATGGGGCCTTCCACTGCTGCCGCGCCGTCGCCACGCAATTTCTGTTCTCATCCTGAAGCAAAAGTTCTTAACCCAAGGTACTATTTCTGGGTTAGTGGAGTCTGTAACCTGAAGCGTATTTAACCTGAAGCGTATGTAACCCGAGGTACCACTGTACCACAATTGCAACCAGTTCGTTGTCTAGGTGCAGTACATCAAGGCTGGAATTTAGAAAGTGCTTTGTGTCCCCTTGCCGGTCAGTAGAGCCCGTGGCTGTGAATGCAGCTGACAGCCGAGGGGCGACTTAAGGAAGGCGGAGTGGCCCCTTCCTGGATCGGAGGGGCGGGAGAAGATCGCTCCAGCTGCAGCCCCACGCCTTACCCTACTCAATGTCACAACCCCACACTCGCCTGCGGTCCCCTAATTTTATGAGGGGGTAATGCCATAACTGCAGCATGCAGTGGAAAATCTTTCCTGAGACCTGCCTATTGAGCAGTTGTGGTTGCTTTTACTAAGATCGAACAGATGCCAGTCTTGATGTCTGCCAGTTGTAATTATGTGAGTCTTGCCCAAGGATATTTTTCTGGAAAAAGAGGTGCCAGGATCACCTTCTCCGTTCCCTTAGAATTGGCCATGGTGCCCCTTGGAGCATAGCTGCCAACGTTTCCCGTTTTTTAAGGGAAATTCCCTTATTCCGAATAGGATTCCTCGCAAGAAAAAGGAAAAGTTGACAGCTATGCCTTGGAGAGGTGCCATAACTCAGTTCTGGGGGGTTCCAGCAGGAAAAAGGCCCGGTCTTGCCCCCTTCCCGCATTTGACAAGGCAGAGAGCATGACCCGGGTTGCTTGTGGGACCCTCCTGCCCTCCAAGCGTGATAGGGATAAAACACAGGGTATTGCTGGGTCCTCCAGGGCTCTGCCCCACCCTGTCCCCCAAACTGCAGTGTAGGGATAGCAACACTAGAGGACATGCCAGGGTTTTGCCCTGCTCCCTCAACTGCTATTCACCTCACCCTTGAAACCTGCAAAAATTATCAGCGGGTTATCTTTAACCCTTTTCACCATAGCCCACCCCCCAACCTCCCATTTAGAGATAATAGGTGACTGGTTTATAAAGGCCTACTCTTCATGCTAGGTTCTGCTGTGAATCCAGATGGACCCTTAGATGGGTTACATATAAAAGCATCTATCACTTCTGCCTGGAAAAGGGGAATCATAGTAGGGCAAACAGCCTGTTCAGTGGGCATCATAGGAGCCTACGCCTAAGGGCGAAAGTCCCTTCACTACCCCCAGTATTTGAGGTGGCCACCCTCCACCCCCCAGTTGATGGGCATTCAAATGGTGTGCGTGCACCACATCATGTGATCAGTTTTGCAGGGTGGGGCTTACCTGCCCCCCCCCATATTTTATTCAAGGCAGCACCCCGGTGGGCATAGAATGCTGAGCGTCTGGGGAGGGGAGCAGAGAAAGAGAAAATCGAAGGGGAAACTAAATGATAATGGCTGAAGCCCTGCTGGACTGGCACACTGAAAAGACACACTCCACGTCTCAATGCACACCACAGATGCGCATAGATGATCATGATCATGATGATTTAGATTTGTAGCTGACCCTTCATTCCAAAATCCCAGGGCGGTTCACAGCAGAAAAATACAAAAAGAGAATACAAAATACACCATAAAACAAAAACATAGAATGGAGAATACAGTGGTACCTCTGGTTACGTACTTAATTCGTTCCGGAGGTCCATTCTTAAGCTGATACTGTTCTTAACCTGATACCACTTTAGCTAATGGGGCCTTCCACTGCTGCCGCGCCGCTGCCGCGTAATTTCTGTTCTCATCCTGAAGCAAAAGTTCTTAACCTGAGGTACTATTTCTGGGTCAGCGGAGTCTGTAACCTGAAGCGTCTGTAACCTGAAGCGTATGTAACCCGAGGTACCACTGTACCACACTTTCAACCAGTTCGTTGTCTAGGTGCAGTACATCAAGGCTGGAATGAATGCAGGCAGACGAGTTTCATGGATAGCAAAATATATTTCAATTTCTGTAGTACAGTGTAGATCACATAATCCCTTGCAAGTAACAGAATAGGTCACAACAGACAGTTTGATACATTTTGGAATCAGCTAACAATTCTATATCCCACCATCAACAACCTTCCCTGACCCACAATGTTCTCCATATTACAAAAGATGCAAGTGAGGCTTGGGAAGACCATTTCAGTGTCAGGTACAGTTTGTCCTCTTCTCACCACCATCTGTGCAAGAAAATTTTTCCATTGCTCACTCTGAGAAAGAGGAAAACTACAGCCTTGCAATCCAGCACCTTCCAGGTTAACAGGATGCCTTGTTACAAGCAGTTGTGTAGATCATTCGCAAGAGATTTGCAACCATGTTGTACCCATTCAGTTTACATTCACAGATTCAGTCCCAAAGCATGAGGTTGATTACAATTAGTATACTGATCTTCCCACACGTCCCCCTTAGAAAAAAGTACACGTATTTCCCAAAGACAACAGGATTTATTTGATAAAATTCTCAAATTATATTCTGAAGATGGAGGTTTGTGGGGAGGGGGGGTTCTCTTTAAACAAACAGCAGAAAAGGACACAATGCGATGAAAATTCTTTGGGTGGATCCCGGCCATCTTATAATGACAATTACAGTGCCATCATAGACAATTTAAAAACAAAAGCAAAAAGCTTTTTGGAATGGATGAGTCTACCATGTTAACACTGATTTAGCAATACTACAATCTGCACATATAGTTTGTAATGTTCTAGGAACAGAAATCTCTCTCACACTTCTATCTAGAACCTGCAAGTGAGTAGCCTCTAAAAACAGTGTGTTTGTTAAGGGTACTTATCAGACTCCTTCAGAGCTTACACAGGATGTTGATCCAAATTCAGATGCTCGTATTTCCTCATCTTTCTCCAAAAGTGGATACTGTTTCAGTGAATTTTTAAAGTTTTGAACTAGATTAAATACTGTACTTGATGTTTGGCATCTTGAAACTACTGTTCATAATATTCAATCCAGGTGGCACTTCCCCCAAAATCCACAAAAATTATCAATGGCACACCCACCTTAGTCAAATAAACATGGAACACATGGCTTAGCTAAATGGCAATACACTTGGGTCATATCAAAGTACTGATTAAAATTAGCACACTTATCACATAAGCTGTTTTCTGCAGTATAAATCAGAATTAAGTTTCTTTTTATTTTTTGCTGCAGTTAGATGACATGAGAAAAGCTGCCAGCACCTAGAATTTACTAGGGCACCAAATTTAGGACAATACAAAGGACAGCAGCTCAAGAACACAAAAAACTTGCATTTCCCCTATGTGCCTACGCTATTATATAGCCCCCCCCCCGCCACTCCTTTGCACTCTTAGAACATGTCAGAAATGTACTTTAGGGCGGCTGAGAGAAAAGCTCCAGATTATAGACTACACAGTGAGCAGTCAGCAATATAGGGGTATTGTTTTTCACAATGAGACAGTCCCTCCTTCTGTAGCTCTAAGCACACCACCCACCCAAGGCTGTCTCACAAAGTAAACCAGCGTTTTCAGTGGAGCAACATGATCATTTCAAGCCAACACACTCTCTAGGTTCTTCAACACAAACTGCATTTGCCCTCCAAATCGCTGCAGTAATCCTAAGTGAGGAATGCAAGAAACTTAAACTGGACATGTAGCAAAAGGCAGCATTTTGCTGCTTATAAAAATTTAATCCACATAGCACTGTGGGGATCCCCCTGATCAAAACTGGGAGCCTATTGTTAAAGCTTCCCAGCCCTATGCCTCAATTCCAATCCACATTGGGGCTCGACAGATGCCATTTATTTTCATAAGAACTAATTGCATAAACAGCATCAGGTCCACTTGTGTCCTTAGCTAGAGAGCAGGAACCCCTGAAGACACTGGTTCTGGTTAAAATGGGAATGATACAGCCCTTAGTAGCAGACACCACCCACTTTTGCCATAGCTAAAGACAGTTTCCCTTTAAAAAGTCTGCAGTCATTTTAACACGCTAGCCCAACTTGTTGTCATTGTTTAAAAGACAAGCATCTTCTGGCCTTGACGCGGAGGGATATCCCAAAGGGTGTCAGACCTTAAGATTGCAAGTCCAGGAACGCGGTTTCACATAGTCAAGAAAAGTAGGCTATAAAACACAAGAGGAACAGTAATGTTAGGCAGGAAATGCTGGGCACTTTCACTTCTGTAGAGTTATCCGTTAGCCATGTGAACAAATGCCAGTGATGAAACCAAAGTGTTTTACTTTGCTGTCTCTCAAGCCTGGGCGGCCACCCAACTTGCAGTAGCCAATCTAGGCAATTAGAAGTGGGGTGCAGGTGTGTGTGTGTGTGTGTGAAGGCTTGCCTTTCCCTGTAAGACCCCCCAAATTGGCTTTTCTTTGGGTCAGCTTCACCCAGACGCTTTAACTCTCGGAATGGCAGATCTTCCAGGTCAAGCAGAACTGCTGTCTGTAATCCTGAAACTACAATCCTACTTGGCTCCAGCTACTATGAGGCCTCGACAGTCCAAGAACCAGCCCCAGGGGGTTATGCATATGCATGTGGGCTGATCTGGCACTACATATTAAATAAGGAAAGGTAGTGGGCACCGCATATTAAATGCGGCAAAGATGTAGTGAATTCTCTCTGTTTGAACCCAGGAGATCCAAAGGTGGCAGCTGAATCAGAGAACACACCAAGTAGAATAAAGAAACCACGGTGCTCCACTAAGGCCTTTCACTCTTTTCCATTACCTTCCTCTCCCTCCCTTCTTTACTGCCCCCTTCCATCCTCTCCAGAAGGGCAGAAACTCACTCAGAGCTTTACATTATTCATATAAAAAGACATGGAGGAAGTTTCAAAGGTGTTTTTTTTCTGACCCTGCTGCTTGTTATTCTTGTTAGAAAGAAACCTCTACGGTAGCTATTCTGGGCAGAATGCAACCTTCTAAAAATCTGGTTTTCGAATTTTACGTTCACATCTTAGGCCTTGAATGAAGTCCAGAATAGCAGCTCAGCTCTGTTCCTCTTATTTCCGATGACAAGTGGGATACTCACATTTTTCAAAGGGCAGTGCTGATGGGCGTTCCATTCCAGGCTGTAGAGGTAATGTATCATAGTTGTACCAAGCCCAAGCGTAAGCCACAGGATCACATTCCAAATGGGGCCTTTCCGACGGTCGCTGAGAATGAAGTTGAAAAGCGCTGACGGAAGAAAATTAAAATGCACTCAAAATTCCTGTTAAGGACACCAGCAGCATTCTTTCCTTGATCCCCAGTTAGCAAAGTGTCCGTATCACTATGACACGTTGTACCTCTTTCCATAGAAATAAATGGCTCTCAACGGTTTTTTGGCGTTTCAGTGGAAAAGAGACAGGGCTTTCCCTTTAAATCACACAGAAAAATCAGTGGGCCACCTACTCACATGAAACAAAGTTGGCTATATGATAGGAGAAATACTTGTCCACCATGACAGATGGTTGATACTGCCAGTGTCAAGCAGGGGGAAAGGGCACCTCTTTTCAGGTTGCGAGCTGAAGACCTCCTGTCAGGGAACTGACATCGGAGCTAGAGGCGGAGGCAAGGCTCCCAAGCGATGCTGGAGAAGGGCCCAGCCGGGAGAGAGGCAGCTCATCAGCTGGGGAAGGAAATCAGCGTAACACCAGGGAGATGGGGGAATCGGCGAGGGGGCTCCAGGACTCCTCGCCGGAGACCAGCGGGGAGAGCACGGGTCCTCCGCTACCCACACCCTCCCTGCGCAGAAGACTTCCGCGCAGGGAGAGTAGGAGGAGACTTGGCGTCAAACAGCTTTTATGCTGGAAAAGGTTTAAGAAACGCCCATTGACGGATTCTGCTAGCGACTGAAACAGCCACGAAGTGAAGGGCTGTCCAGACAGAAAAGGTTTAACAAGGCAACCTAGCCAGGAGTGGCGGCAACTTACGCACGAGCAACCCCTATATTTATTACACCTCCAAAGCAAGGATCATCTCAGAAGTCTTTGAGAAAGCCGCATATTACAGTTTGGAGCATTATCAGAACTTCTTCCTCAGCCAAGCCAAGGAAGCCCTCTCTCCTACTCTGGCCATGATCAGTCTCAGAAAATGGAGATTTAACTAGGGTCAGGAGAGGCTTCTAGGTTTAGAGGGAGCAAATGGTAAGGCAGGCTGCAACACAAGCCCCTTGCATCTTAGAACATTAAGTACAGATGGCAACTAAAAGCTAATCCTCAGAATTTACAGAAACTGCTGCTGCCGGGAGGTATATTTGGTAAGGTAAACTAAAGGGACCCCAGACTGTTAGGTCCAGTCACAGACGACTCTGGGGTTGCGTGCTCATCCTGCTCTATAGGCCGAGGGAGCCGGCGTACAGCTTCCGGGTCATGTGGCCAGCATGACTAAGCCGCTTCTGGCGAACCAGAGCAGTGCACGGAAACGCCGTTTACCTTACCTATTTATCTACTTGCAGTTTGGTGTGTTTTCGAACGGCTAGGTTGGCAGGAGCAGGGACCAAGCAATGGGAGCTCACCCCGTCACGGGGATGCGAACTGCCGACCTTCTGATCAGTAAGCCCTAGGCTGTGTGATTTAGACCACAGCGCCACCCGCATCCCGTTATATTTGGTACTTACTTCCAAAACCCATGTAGAAGAAGAACAGTACTGGATAGAAGAAACCTAAGCTCATCGCCAGGATGTATTCATGCACAACAGCAGAAAGAGTGAAGACTGACAGCATAGCGACTGCTTTGAATTTCTTCCCAAATAACTGGTGGTGAGAGAGAGACACAGACAAACAAGGGGAAGGGTGACTCTCTGATAGGTGAATGTATCAGAGGAGATCCAATTTTCAAAAACAACAGCGAACAGCTTGTGATAACCACCCTTAAATTGCCCATTCACATTTATTGCACAGGGAGGGTTGTCTCCAGTGGTGGCCTTGCTCTGTCAAAAGGACTTCTACTTGCACAAGGCAGGCAGCTCATTTTTGCTGATCCATCCTACTCAATGGAGCCCCACAAATACTTAACGTGAGAGCTGGAACAGTGTGGGATATGGCATAGAGCGGTGAAATTGGTGGTAGACTGGTAAAAAAAAAGTGACTTCCCAAATACTGGATACAAACCAGACTGCATAAGTACAAGCTTCTCTCTTTCCACCTTCTGTCAGATCTCTGTATGGGTAAAGTGACTAGGTATTTTACATGTTGTGTAATTCACCTTTACATTAGAACTTTAATAAAATCATTTTGTGGGGGAAATAGAAAGATCTCTGCCATTCCATTTAAAAAATGGCTTTCTTTTAGAGCTGAAGCAAGGGGGTGCATTAAAAGATGGTTGCTTACCCAAAGGACATCTCTGTATGCATAGTAATACAGCCACTCATGCACCACCACATTCCAGGTTCGGAAATACCTTGCATAAGATGTAGAATTCCACCAGTCCTGCAAGAGAGGATCAGGGAAGTAAAAAGAGCAGAGACCTTAGAGTCAGTGTTTAAAACTGCAGGATCAAAGTGCCCAAGTGCATTCCTGCTACTCAAGTGTTTTAGAGCATGTCAGTGTTTGTAAAAAGCAAAACAAGGTTCTGACCTCCCTTTGTTGCCTCAGCCTGGTCCTCGGACCCTTGTCGGCATAAAAGAGTCCACGAGAAAAGTATCCTTGCAGAGTGCTTTCTGCTTTTATTCTTAAAAGTCTTTCTGCAAAAGCGACTGACCAACTGTACACACATCAACACTACCAGCTTTCACTAACTAACTAACTAACCAACCAACCAACCAACCAACCAACCAACCCAACACCAAACTAACATTTCTCACTCTCTATATACAACTCGGTGCAGGCCGCTGACTCATGCTGACCCAGCTTTTTAAGCATTAAAGAAACAGCGGCCAATTTTTAGCCGTGACACCCCTTCTGTTTCTTAAATGCAAAAAACCCCAACAGAAACAATACATACATACATTATATACATAAACCCAGTTTTGTCATCAATTCATTATGACATGTTGCTGGTAAAGGCTTGGTAAATAAATCAGCAATATTATGTTGTGATTGACAATACTTCAGTTTGATTAACACATTCTGTACACAATCTCTAACATTTCCATGACGGATAGCAATATGTGTTGATGTGGATTTCATTATTTCTGAGCCTGCTAATGCAATGCACGATTGGCTATCTTCATACACTTGGATAGGCAAATCTACTTTACAATCTAGATCTTTTAGTATCTGTATAAACCACATGATTTCATTGCATGCTAGTGACAGGCTCCCATATTCTGCCTCACAGGATGAGGTCGCAACAAATCCTTGTTTCTTTTACCTCCATCCAATTATGGAATTGGCAAACATCATAACCATTCCACTTGTAGATTTTCTAATAGTTACACAGCTTCCCCAGTCCGCATCAACAGATACTTCTAGTTTTTCGTCTTGTGTACTAGATATCTTCAAACATACATTTAATGTCCCCTTTAGATGTCTGATAAGCCTTTTCAAAGCACACCAATCGGCAGTACTGGGTTTAGATACATGTTGGCTCAGAACATTTGTAGCACATGCAATGTCTGGCCTTGACCACTGGCTTAAATACAACAGTGATCCTATTTTTGAGTGATACAACTCAGGCTGATCAAATTCATCATCACACACTGTCTTTGGGAAATCTGGTGTCATGGGAGTCTGAACTGGCTTGCAGTTTTCCATGCCAAACTGCTCTATCAAATGAAGAATTTTCTCTTTCTGGCTCAATAGAAAGCTTCCATCAGCTTCCTGCCTTACTTCTACTCCCAAGTAATTGCTTACAGGCCCTAAGGCTTTAAGCTTAAACCTCTTTTCCAGTTGACGTGTGAGCTTCTGGATTTCATCTGTGGAACTCCCTGCTACAAGCAAATCATTAACAAAGACTAAGAGCATTAGATATTTGTTGCCTGTCCCCCTGGTGTACAGGCATGGATCAGCCACACTCCTTTTAAAACCAAGTTTTACAAGGGCTTCATTTAAACACTGGTTCCAACACCTTCCACTTTGTTTGAGACAATAGACAGCCTTTTTCAAACACCAGACTGCACCACTCCCCTCTTCAAACCCAGGGGGTTGTCTCATTAACACTTCATGGTCTAAATTTGCATGCAGATATGCAGCATCAACATCAAAATGGTGCACTGCTAGTTGTCTTACAGCAGCAATGGAAAGCATTAAACGAAAAGTTTCACTCTTTACAGTGGGAGAAAACACTTCATCATAACTCTCCCCTTTAATCTGAGTGAACCCTCTGGCTACTAATCTGGCTCGAAAATGTGGTTCCCCAGATGCAAGGGTTTTCCTTTTATAAACCCTTCAGTCTTCTGTGGAAAAGGACCTATCACGTCACAATGGACAAGTTCTAAAACCTGTTTAGATACTCTGTCACTTTTAGAAGCCACAGGCTTCTTCTTAGATTTGGCCATTTTACATACATTGCAATCTAGGAAACAGTTACAGTTATTTACTCTTAGGTTCTTGCACACCTTTTGCATCTCTGAAAGCACACGGAAATTTGTGTGACCCAGTTTCCAGTGCAGTTCATGTACACACCCCTTATGAACTGGCAAATTATCCTGAACCACCTGGGCTGCTTTAACAGGCTTGTCCTGCATTACATATAACCCATTTTCCATCTTTGCGTGGCCACATACCTGAGTTCCATTCTTTATCAGAAAACCATCCTGCGTGAACTTAACACTATACCCTGCTTTAATCAAACAGCTTACAGACAGTAAGCGACTGACCAACTGTACACCCATCAACACTACCAGCTTTCACTAACCAACCAATCAACCCAACACCAAACGAACATTTCTCACTCTCTATATACAACTCGGTGCAGGCCGCTGACTCATGCTGACCCAGCTTTTTAAGCATTAAAGAAACAGCGGCCAATTTTTAGCCGTGACAGAGCAATTGGCAATACAATCTCTATGAACATCTGGTGTACTGTTGCAATGTATAACTGAAATTCCCCAAGAGCTCATTTGCAGGCATTAAATCCTAACCTCCTCCTTCCCAAACAGCCACCCGGAGAATAAGTCACTGGTGTCCCAGTATTTGTAGCTACACTAGGTCTCCAAGGCTCAGATCCAAAATGATCAGAGCTAAATCAAATGTGACATTTTCTCTACATGAACACTAATTCAATGTGGGGGGGGGGTAACCTGCAAACCACATTCAGAAAAGAGAAATATAGAAGGTAGTTGAAATTGAGAGGCCTTTTCTATCACTGTCCTCTAAACTGCTCAAACTAATCATTAATGGCCCCAAGTGGAAGCAGCAGCAGGATCAGAACACACATTTGTATGATCCCTTGGAATTATTCATTTATTTAACAACATGTATATATATGTTGGAGCATTCTTTGGCACTGCCCTTCTTTGGGATTGGGATGTAGACTGATCTTCTCCAGTCCTCTGGCCACTGCTGAGTTTTCCAAACTTGCTGGCATATTGAGTGTAGCACCTTAACAGCATCATCTTTTAAAATTTTAAATACCGTATTTTTCGCCCTATAGGACGCACTTTTCCCCCTCCAAAAATGAAGGGGAAATCTGGGTGCGTCCTATGGGGCGAATGCAGGCTTTCGCTGAAGCCTGGAGAGCGAGAGGGGTCGGTGCGCACCGACCCTCTCGCTCTCCAGGCTTCGGGAACACATCCGCAGCCTGCCGCCCAGAGCGACGGGCGCCCTGAAGCAGAGCGCCCCTCGCGCCGGGCAGACATCTGAACCGTGGGGAGCCCTGCAGGAGTTCCCCGCAGGGCTCCCCACGCTGCGGATAGCAGCTTGCTGCCCGGCGTGAGGAACGCCCTGAAGCAGAGCGCCCCTCGCGCCGGGCAGACATCCGCAGCGTGGGGAGCCCTGCAGGAGTTCCCCGCAGGGCTCCCCACGCTGCGGATAGCAGCCTGCCGCCCGGCGGGCAAGGCGCGCTGAAGCAGAGCACCCCGCGCGCCGGGCAGACATCGGCCAGCCCCACAAGCTCGGGGGACAGCAGGGAGGCGCAGCGCCGCCATCCCGCTGTTCCTCGACCTGGTTCGGTTTCCCCGACCTGGTTTTGGGGGGGAGAGATAGATAGTTTATTACGGCCATAGGCCCATATTCAATACATCATACAGCAACACAGGTATAACAAGATAAAATTAATCAATTAAATTACGTTTAAATCAAGTACATCTCAGACCGTAAGTTTCTAAATTCCATTAAAATAAGAACAATATAGCACTTAAAATATCAAATTATCAGTATAAATCAATATTTTTTAGGCAAAATCAATAATCATAGAGTAATCCATTTTTCCTTTTATAGGCTAATACTGTTATCAGAAATCTGGCAACAGAAAGGGACCTACTCGGATCTGAATCTTGCAATAAATGAATTAGCTGTGTTTCCAAGGAGTCACCTGAGATTTCCAATAATAAAGGGAACAAAAATCTGATCCGAGAAACTGAATGTAGTGAACAACAGAATAGTATATGTTGTAAAGATTCTATAGATCTATTATCGCATACACACACTGCTGAGATCCGACCATTGGAAAATCTATTATTCAAGACATTGGAAGGAAAGACATTAAATCTTGCCTTAATAAAGGCATATCTGTGGGCCGCTACAGACAAAGAGGTCAAATAAGATGGTATCTGCTGTGAGGGCACTATGCCAAGATTTAATGGTGAGCAAGTGCCACTACCCGAAATGATGTTTTGTTGTAGGTCAATCTCCTCAAGTTTTTGAGTGAGGATTTTTTTTACTGTGGCTAGGTCCAATTCCAATAATTCTGATGGAGACAATCCATAGGTCACTACTTTAGAATGAATCTCTTTTGCCCCTAGGACAGGAAAATTATCTCTCCAGAGGCATTGGATCAAATACAGATTCGGGAGCCTATGCCTTAAGGAAAACCAGTAACAAAGGCTGCGCCTCCAAAGAGTATTTTCTAAAGATGTAGTTTTTAATTCTAAGCGAATAGCTGCGTTACTAACGCACTGGGGAAGTTTTAGCAGTCGTCTTAGAAACTGATTTTGAATTACCTCCAAGGGCATCAAGTTTACTGCGGTCCCCATAAAGGAACAGCATATGCCAATGTTGCAATTACTTTAGCTTTGAATACTTTCAGGGCAGATGGAACATGAAGAGCCCCGTCCGAAAAAAAAAAGCGCAAAAGCGCAAAGGATAGGGCCTTGGCCTTGTTTAAAATATGTGCAATATGGGACTTCCAACCCAGATTATATTGAAGAAAGACTCCCAGGTATTGAAATTTATAGACCTGTTCAATAGGTTTTCCGTCTAATTGCCACTTATAGGATTTCCGACTTTTTGAGAAGATTAATACTTTTGATTTAGATTGATTTATAGTGAGGGAATTTGTTTTACAATATGAAACAAAGAATTTTAATGCTCTCCTGAGGCCAATTCTTGAGAAGGATAAAATCACAGCATCATCAGCATAGAGTAATAGTGGGCAACAATAGTTTGCAAGACGGGGGGCATGGGTGATTTCCTGAGATTCAGCCAGTGGTATCCTCCTGTCACTAATGAATAAATTGAAAAGAAAAGGAGCTAGGATACATCCTTGCCGGACTCCTCTGTTGATGGGCACAGAGTTTGTGAGATCACCGGCTGGGGTTATTCTCACCCTAGCAGCCGACCCCTCATGCAGCTGGATTATTAACCATAAAAGTCTTCTATCAATTCCCCATCGGGTCAACTTTTCCCAGAGCAACCTTCTGGGGATGCTGTCAAATGCAGCCTTAAGGTCGATAAAAGCCGCACAAAGTTGGCCCCGGTTTGAAGAGGAGTATTTCCGGGCTAGATGGTGCAAGACTAAAACATGGTCCGTAGTTGACTGGTTCGGTCTGAATCCTGCTTGCTCGGGGCCTATCAGTTTCTTTTCTTCAGTCCATTGGATAAGTCTATTCAGCAGAAAGCGTGCGTATATCTTTCCAACTATTGACAGTAAACTAATATTCCTATAATTCTCCGGATCGTCTGGGGAGCCTTTTTTATATATTGGAATTATAATAGCGTCCTTCCATATTTTTGGCACCCTTCCAGTTGTATTAATAGCATCGAAAGTAACAGCCAGCATTTTTGCCCACCAGTTGGAATGTAGTTTTATGGCTTCCGCCGGGACCAAATCTGGCCCAGGGGCTTTGCCGATTTTAAGTTTAGAGATTAAATTCAAGATTTCATTGGGGTCTGTAGGAGGCCAGATGGGGAGATGGTCAAATACATCATCAAGAGCGTTGGTATTGGAATCTGGTGACGCAAAATATTTCCTTAAAAAGGATTCCCAGACCGGGGCAGGAATTACTGTTAAGGGATATCTCCTTGATCTTCTATTAACCAGTTGCCAAAATTGCCGTGAGTTACATGAACTAGAGGCGACTATTAGCGCCTGCCAGCGATTATGTTGCCCCTCTTGCTTAGCCATTCTCTGGGCTTGCTTATATGCTGTTTTTGCTTGCTGGTAACTCCTTGGTAATACTAAGGCACCAGAGGATTTATATTCATTGTAAATGGCACAGAGATGTCGTCTAGCTTGTTTGCATTTTAAATTAAACCAGGGGGCACCGGTCTTAAAATGGGCCCGATTTACTTGGGTGGCTGGTACTGCAAAAAAGGACATAAGATCTTCTGTAAGCAAAGAGAATGAATTAATAATTCGTTCATGCCCATACAGATCTAAATCTAAAACAACATGAGTTTGAATTTTCTCTTGTTGGAAGAATTCCATATATTTTTGGGCTTGAGTTACTGACCATTTTATTCCTCTCACTTGTTCTGCAGTATTTATTCCCATATTTATGGGGTGTCTAGGCTTGATAGACTGCCAGTCTAGGGAAAGCTTGGCACTCAAGGGGAGATGGTCACTCATTTGGACGTTTTCTATTTTAAAATAAGAAAAATTTGGGAATAAATCTCTCAAAACAATAAAATAGTCGAGAACACTATTTGTAAGTGTGCTCAAATGAGTAAACTCACCCGGAATATCCGGGGGACAATTTCTGTTTAAAATTATCAAATTCAAACGTAAAATCAGCTGATACAGAAGGGTTCCCGCTTCGTTAACCCTATTATCTTTCGATTTTCTCTGTATATGTGGGGAGAGATCCGAGTTCTGGTGATCAGGTATGACCCACCATTTGGCCTTGCCTAGCGCTTCCCAGTTTGCAGCTGTACGAGCATTAAAATCACCTCCCATGACTGCTGAGATATTTGGGAACTTAGTATAACAAAAAGCTAGGTGTTCTTCAAGTGTTTCCCATTTGGAATGGAGGTCCACTACCTGCCCCCCAGGGAGGAAATAAACATTTGTTACCAGTAATTCAAATTTCCCTCCTGAAATCAGTCCTGTAATCGCGTAAGGAAAGGAAGATTTAACAAGTGTAAGTTTTGCTTGCAATTTGAGGGAAATGGCTATTACCAAACCTCCCCTAGGGCGTCCACCTTTAAGAGAGGGGCTAGCTGGAAGCCAAATGGTATCGTATCCATTTATGTCAATCGCCTCCTCTTCCCAAGTTTCTTGTAGGAGAATTACTTGAAATAAATTAACAAATTTTAAGAAGTCTGGATCAGATTTCTTCCCCCTCCATCCCGCAATATTCCAGCATAAAAATGACATCGAGGAGTGGTTGGGTTGGTCATTAGGTAGTCAGATCATGTGGGAATGGGATTCTAACTTTGGGGAGCTTCAGCTTCAAAAAAATCAGTAATTTTCCTTTGAGAAGGTGGCAATCGTGCTATACATCCCAACTGTTTGAATTTATTGGGGTGGTTTGGCTGTAAAGTCGTGCCACTCGTCTCGCTAAAGGCAGATGTTTGGCCTAAGATAGTCGACTTTTCAGAGCCAGATAGTAGAATTAGGGGGGTATTACTTAGAGAGAGTGAAATTAAGTCAGCAGGTATCATGCCACTAGTTGAATGATCATTAGTTGTTTGGATAATTTTGTTAATACGACCTGTCGGGTCTTCGGCCAGATCATTCTTCGGGGCTAAAAATAAAATGGAGTCGTCTCTCATTTCTTGGTCTGGTTCAGCTGGTTCTGTTACCGGTTCGATGGTATCTGTGATGAGTATGAGTTACTCGTGCGTAAACTGGTGCCTCTCTAGGCTAATTTGCCTTGTTAAACCTTTCTGACTGCACAGCCCTTTCTCATCATGACTGTCTCAGTCACTAGCAGAATCCGTCAGTGGGCGTTTCTTGAATCTCTTCCAACATAAGAGTTGTTTGACACCCAGTCTCCTCCGCCTCTCACTGCGCGGGAGCCTTCTGCGCAGGGTGGGCGTAGGTAGTGGAGGACCTGTCCCCTCCTCACTGAGTTCCAGTGAAGAGTCCGTGAGCCCTCTCTCCGATTTCCCCATCTGCCCACTTTTGTTCCTGGTGTTGCGCTTAAATGCTTCCTCCTCCACTGAGCTGCTTCTCCCCCTGCTGCTGGGTCCTTCTCCAGCATCATCTAGGAGCCTCCCCTTCGCCTCCCGCTCTGATGTCAGTTCCCTGACAGTATCTATGGATTTATTCAACTTGCACACGTTAGAAGAGAGTGGGTTAATAAAATTACAAGCAAGTGGACCCATATGGGACACTTTACATGGAGAACCTAATTCAGATTCGTTAAGTTCCCTCATTTTGTCCCAAGCAGATGTTGTAGTCATATTTGCCTTAGAGAAGGGGTGCATAATAGATGGGTCTGGTGATGGGGTTTCTGCCTCCAGAGTATGGGAGAGTGGATTCATCTCCGCAACAACCAGTTGGCTGGTAGGGGTGGGTGCCTTCCCAACCCACAGGTCCAGTTCTTGGTGGTATAAGCGTGGGACAGAATCTGAACCACAGTCTCTATCAAGCATATTTTGTTTAGGTAATCTCAGCTGTTCCTCCGTCACTTTTGTCAGGCAGAAATAAAGGGTATCAATTTTATGAAGTGTTTCTTTCTGGACTTCTTGCAGGAGAACGCTATAAGAGTGGAGTAAGTTATTATCAAAGCTATCAAGGTCGATTCCCTGATTCTCCGCATACCTGGGCCCAAGGAAGTCCAACCTTTGAGGGTCTTTGGTAACCAGCTCAGTAGGATGTTTGGAGATGTCCTCCGCAGAGTTTATATCAATTAGAACATGTTGATCAATCTCATGTTGAGTTTTTGGCAAATTTACAATATGGGGGATAAGTGGAATTGGAGGTGCTTCATTCTTAAAGTACCTTGAGATTCTTATACCACTCGTCTCCAGGTGTTCTCTACATTTGTACACTAGTTTTGCCAGTCTCCCCTCGTAGAATGAGACCACCGCTCTGGCAAGGAATCCGTTGAAGTATAGATATTCCACTTGGGCCAAATCAGTAGGGTTATTAAGTATACCCGGCATATAGATCTTTAAGAGGTTCAATAGATGGGCTTTACGCTCTTCTTGTGACAGGAGTCCTGGGGGTTTAGGATAATTTGATAAAACGAGTTTGTTTCGGTACAGCACCAGATTCCAGTTTTTATTTGTTAGATTTGTCTAATTTCTCTTCTTAGAAGGATTGGTTTCATCTACAGATAGAATGTAAGACCATGGATCTTGGATCAAAATGTCTTGCTTGGAGTTAGGTGTTGGAGTAGGTGTTAAGAGTCCCAAGCAATCCATCGCAGCGTCAGGGCAAGGTTTTATAGAACGTTCTTGCTTAGAAGATTTCCTGGTTAGAAGTTTCTCAGTGTTCCCACTGTTCTCGGTTATTGGGATACTCTTGAGAAGGTTAAAATGCTTTTAAAATCCATTTTTTTGTAACGCACTGCCTTAAAATTTTTAACATTTCTGCTCTTTTTTACCCTTATGGGCCTCCTTTTCAAGGCAGTAGCCCTACAAGATCTCTTGGCCTTCCTTGGTGGTCTGTTTTTGCAGGTGGTAGGAAGGAAGTTGTTATTACTTTCCAATTCTACAGTCACCCCGCTGGATTCCCTACAGAGAGTTTTGCAAGTGTCCATCATTATAGTGAGGATTTTTGTACAGGTGGCCAGATGAGATTTTACATTTTCGATATCCTCAGTTAAAAGCACAAGCCATTTGATAACTGATAAATCCTCATCCTCATTTGTCTCAAGTTGGAAGCAGGAGTCTCTTGATGTTTTAGGGTTTCCCGAAGACATCTCTGCAATTTGTTTTAACATTAGTTCTTCCACTTCTCAGACTCGGGATGGTTCAGGAGAAGCTTGGGACTGAAGTCTCTGTTTTGGGAGTACTTCGGTGACTGTACCAATTGTGTTTGGATTTACTTTGGGCTTTATTGGCCCTTTGTTGTGGCATTCTTCTACACAATCCTCTCTCTGCACAGCCGGCCCTTCAGTGCAGGAGGGAGAAGTTTCAGTTTCCTGCTGAATCTCACTCGGCTTGACTTTACCCCTATTCTTAAAGGGTCGAGTGCTTTTTTTTGAGCCCCCTTTAGGGTAGCTCTTTTAGAGAGAGGTCTTAGATCACTCCGATAAAAGCCTGGTGTTCTGCAGCCACTCCTGGTCATCACCATTATTATCTTGTGAAGGTCGAGTTGGTAAAAATCTCACCTCGGTTCATTAGCTCCGTCGGGTGTTGCAGGAGGGTTCTCCGCGGGACTGCTTCCAAGGTAGGCAGGTAACTGAGACCAATTTGCTGAGCTCCTTTGCCGTGGTGTTGGAGGCCGCGGCGGCGTCAGCGGCACCTTTCTGGCCGTGTCGCCCTCCTAGCTCAGTGGGAAAAGCGTCCGAGATAACAAGGAGGTAAAACCATGAAATGATAAAATAGGGCAGTAAAACAATAAAGTAAAACAATAAAAGGACCATAAAACTATAAAATGGTGAGAGCAGCTGCCTCACCCTGCCTCACTGATGGTGGCCATCTTGAAATCCTGGTTTTGGGGGGGAAATAAAGGAAAAAAAATTTTTCCTTTATTTCCCCCCCAAAAAACTAGGTGCGTCCTATGGGACGAAAAATACGGTAGTTCAGCTGGAATACCATCACTTCCACTGGCCTTGTTATTTGCAGTGCTTTCTAAGGCCCATTTGACTTCACTCTCCAGGATGTCTTGCTCAAGGTCAGCAACCACACTATCTGGGGTGTACTGAGCCATCCATATCTTTCTGGTATAATTCCTGTGTATTCTTGCCACCTCTTCTTGATGTCTTCTGCTTCTGTTAGGTCCTTACCACTTTGTCAAAGGGACTATATTGTGATAATTAGAATTGTTGGGAAAAGATTATATAAAGAAAATAATAAAAATTTATCTGAAAAAAAAATCTGTCTAAAATGTATAAGTTACTGTTGGAGTGGCATACAAAGGATGAACAAGTTAAATCAGTAATGATAGATTGGGCAAGAGATGTAGGACATAACATAATGTTTGAGGATTGGGAAAGATTGTGGAAGAAAGGGGTTAAGTTCACTGCATGTACAATGTTAAAGGAGAATATAATGAAAATGATGTGTAGATGGTATTTGACCCCTGTTAAATTAGCAAAGATATATCATAATTGTGATAATTTATGTTGGAAATGTAAAGAAAAAGAAGGAACTTTTTATCACATGTGGTGGACCTGCCCCAAGGTGAAAGACTTCTGGGAAAAGATTTATAATGAATTGGAAAAAAATGTTGAAATATACATTTATAAAGAAACCAGAGGCCTTTCTTCTTGGAATGATAAATTATTTTTGTATGCCACAACTGCCACTCGAATTTTATTAGTGAAAAAGTGAAAACGCAAGAATTACCTACGATGGAAGAATGGCAGATGAGGAGTTTTCGGAGCTAGCCGACCTAACTGGAAGAGTCCGTGACCAGACAGAGGAGGTGTATCAGGAAGAATGGACAAAATTTAATGATTATTTAGTTAAATATATAAAATTAAATTCATTAGAAATAGCTTGCAGATATTTAATTGGCTTAGGATTTCATATAAGTTAAGTGATGAATCAATATGTTTAATTTTAAAACAATTAACAATGTTAATAAGTGTAATTTTAATAAGATTATGATCCATGTTTATTTGTTTATTTGTTTTGTTTATAATTTTGTGAAAATCAATAAAATTTTTATATAAAAAAATAAAATAAAGGCGCCAGTATATGCCAACACTAAAAGAAGGCTGCAGGTGAGTTCTGCTAAATAATTTATAGAGTGGACATACTTTTCTTCCATGACGCCATACCCAAAACTATTTACATTTGTTTAAAAGTCACAGCAAGGTTAAAATTCTATCCAAATAGCCCAGTAACACAACACATAGCAACAAATGCTTTTGAATCAGGAATGTCAACAGAAAAAAGGCACAGGCTCCCTTTTAACCAGAGGTAAAGGAATGTATTAACAGGTTGTCCAGAAAACTGATGGTATCTGATCGGCCTCTCTAGGCAGGAGAAACCTCATCAATGGCAAAATGACTCTCTCTCTCTCTCTCTCTCTCTCTCTCTCCATTTCTAGCAAATGGAGCGTTCCACGAACCAAGGTACACTCTAAAACTGATAGCAAATACTTCTGTGCGTGTTGTGTTTCGTGTGTGTGTGTGTGTGAGAGAGAGAGAGAGAGAGAGAGATATCATGAGCCTTGCACATCAATTACCTTGTAGAACATTCTGTCAGCAAAGCGCAGCATCTCAGCAAAAGCATTCAGCCAGCAGTGAAGGAATAAAAAAAAAAAGATTAATGTCGACAATAAATCTGTGGAACAATGAAGAAAACATGTATTTCAGGCAAATTTATTTCAATCATGTGGAGGGGAAATGGCTTGCCCTCCCCCCTCTGTATTGCTCCCCAAGTTTCCATAAAGGCTCTAGAATAGCAAACACTTGAAATAGAAGCAATGAAAGTATTGATTGACCTTGCTTAGGACAATATCTGAGGATGTTTGCTCTTGACCATTTGCTAATACAGTGTTGGGCAAAGGTTTGTTGATCTTATGCCACATATAAAGGTACCCCTGCCCATACGGGCCAGTCGTGTCCGACTCTAGGGTTGCACGCTCATCTCGCTTAAGAGGCCGGGAGCTGGCGCCGTCCGAAGACACTTCCGGGTCACGTGGCCAGCGTGACGAAGCTGCAGCTGGCGAGCCAGCACCAGCGCCGCATACGGAAACGCCGTTTACCTTCCCGCTATAAAGCGGTACCTATTTATCTACTTGCACTTAGGGGTGCTTTCAAACTGCTAGGTTGGCAGGAGCTGGGACCGAACGACGGGAGCTCACCCCGTTGTGGGGATTCGAACCGCCAACCTTACGATCAGCAAGTCCTAGGCACTGAGGTTTTACCCACAGCGCCACCCGTGTATATGCCACATATACTGTACTGCAAAAGCTCTGTGAGGGGCAAATGGCAGCAAATAAGCTAGCAAGGATAAGAAATGGGCTTAGCAATAAAGATCATTAAAGATTGTTAATGTGTAAATGTAAAGCTATGTATTTTAGTTGCTTTGGTCATATTTGCTAAGGTATTAGTTAGCTTGAACCTTTATATACCATATTTTTCGCTCTATAAGACGCACCAGACCACAAGACGCACCTAGTTTTTGGAGGAGGAAAACAAGAAAAAATATATTCTGAATCTCAGAAGCCAGAACAGCAAGAGGGATCGCTGCGCAGTGAAAGCAGCAATCCCTCTTGCTGTTCTGGTTTCTGGGATAGCTGCACAGCCTGCATTCGCTCCATAAGACGCACACACATTTCTCCTTACTTTTTAGGATGGAAAAAGTGAGTCTTATAGAGCAAAAAATACGGTATATAAATAGAAGACGTATAATGTTGTGCTTCTGTTTTCAGGCCACGAACTGAGCAAGCAGACTTTCCCATCTCTCGGGGGGACTCCATGAGGAATTTAAAAGATAAAAAGGAGTTTACCAAAAACAAACAAGCAAACAAACACTGGAGCCTTTCTGCTAGGGATTATATGGTTAGAAATCCCAAAAAAGGATGGTTAAGTTGTTTATGTATGTAACTACAGCAGCTAGGATTCTTTATGCTCAGAAATGGAAAGATAAAGAAGTCCTTACTAAAGAGGAATGGATAACACTGGTCAACAACAAATTTGTTGTCTGCGTTTTTTCATTTGATTTAGGACGAATCTGATGCGCTGAATCCAAAAATCACATTGGTTTTGCTCAATCAGGTCAAGTTTTTGAGCTATGGCCACATGTCGGTTTTTTTACGTTTTTGTTCACATGTACGCTTGTGTGGAGCATTTTAGAAGAAGTTGGTGGGGGTAAAATGCCATGTCGAATAATTGTTTTGATCGGAAATGATTATTTTAATGACAAGAAGTATTCAGGTCCGATAGTTCTGGGTGATTATGTCGAAAGGGATCAGTTTGAAGTCATAAAACCTCAAAATCTTCCATAAATTGGTGCGGCAAAGCTTAAAGTTGGGGGATCAAAACTAAGTTAATCGTGATCTTCAATCAGCACGTTGTCCTGTAGCTCATTGTGATGAAATTCCAGTGCCTATCTTTGGAGAACTTCCTGACATTAGTGACGAAGATGCCTCCAGTGTTGAAGGACATGAAGAAGAAGAAGTAGTTCTTGAAGATGATCCTCCACATCCATTTTCCCAAAAGGGGTTGAATGATCTAGTTCGCGACCTCAGCTTGTCAAAGGACTCTGCTGAACTGTTGGCATCCAGATTGAAGGAAAAAAACCTCCTCTCTGACAGTGCTCGCATCAGCTTCTTCCGCAACAGGCATCAAGAGTACCTCCGTTTTTTCTTGGAAGAGAAGGACTTGGTGTACTGTGCAGATATTGCGCAGCTTCTGCTCAAGCTTGGAGTGCCACAGTACGAACCCAAAGATTGGAGACAGTTCATTGACAGCAGCAAGCGATCACTGAAATGTGTTCTGCTACACAACGGCAACCAGTTTGCCTCTATACCCCTGGCTCACTCGAGTACACTGAAGGAGAACTATGAAGCAGTGAAGTATGTGCTGGAGAAAATTGGTTATGATCAGCATAAGTAGTTTATTTGTGTTGACCTGAAGATGGTGAACTTTTTGTTGGGACAACAGTCTGGCTTCACCAAGTACCCATGTTTTCTGTGCATGTGGGATAGTAGGGACCGTGCTCAGCATTACACGAAGAAGGACTGGCCTGTGTGGGAGGAATTGGTGCCTTGCAAAGAAAGGAACGTTATCAACGACCCTCTGGTGGACAGAGACAGAATACTCTTCCCACCGCTGCACATCAAGCTCGGCTTAATCAAGCAGTTCACCAAGGCTCTGGACAAGGATGGTGACTGCTTCACTTACTTGTGCCAGGCTTTTCCAGGATTGACCATGGAGAAGTTGAAAGCTGGCATCTTTGACGGTCCTCAGATCCGTCAGCTCATCAGAGATCCAGAGTTCGGAAACTCAATGAACGAAGTGGAACTGGAAGCGTGGAAGGCATTTGTTCTGGTAGTGAAGAACTTTCTTGGCAACAATAAGGCCAGAAACTACGCAGAACTTGGCAACAACATGCTGACTGCTTTCAGAAACCTGGGCTGCAACATGAGCGTCAAGATGCACTACCTATTTTCACATATGGACCGGTTTCCTGAGAACCTGGGTTCAGTGAGTGACGAGCAGGGGGAGATCCATCAGGACATGAAAGAGATGGAGACCAGGTATCAGGGTCGCTGGGACGCAGTCATGATGGCTGACTACTGTTGGACTCTGAAGAGAGACCTCCCTGCCGCTGAGCATTCCAGGAGTTCCAAGAAACGGAAGTTCAAGCCCTGAAGTTTGAAAAATGGTGAAGCAACATACACTTTACGTGTATTTACCTTTATCAATGCCCACCATTCAGTTTACAGTAAACCTGACCTGATGGAGAGAAACGGATGCCATTTCCTGACTCAGCAGTGCAAAAATACCCTAAATCAGTCTAGACAACATTCAAAAAGTAAAAAATTGTTGCCCAGTGTAATGTAATGGACCTATGTTGAATTAGCAAAGCTAACAGCTATAATAAGAGAATTTAATGATGATTACTTATATGAAGAATGGAAGCCCTTTTTGGATATTATGAAGAAACACTACAACATGAAGAATCCACAACTAGGTTTTCAGCTAAGAGCAACAGAAAAAATTAGAGACTATTGTGTTATGATTATGATAAATGAGTGACATAGGCTGCAGCAAAGGGGGGGGGGGATAAGGAAAACATCACAGAAAATGGGTTGAGAAGTCAAGAACAGAAAAGAGATCCCTTTTTAAAAATGCATTGGAATGTTGTGTGTAAAATGTTCAGAAATTTAATAAAAGTATTATTTAAAAAATTGTTAATGTTTTAGATAATTCTGTTGCTTTAGTCATACTTGGTAAAGTATTAGTTAGCTTGAACCTTTATATACCTGCATATATAAATAGAAGGTATATAAAGTCCTTTACCAATATCAGACTATATAGACTAGAACCAAGGATAAAGAATCTGCTGTTTTAGTTAAAGATTTACTTTTGTGTCATCTGTTTATTGTTTGACTTGGCTGTTCTGGTCTGAGGTTAGTTTGTTGTACTAAGTGATGACTTGTAAGGGGGTCTTGACCAGAGAATGGAGGTCATGACCAGAGCATGAGGATGTCATGTCATCGCTAATGCATAATGGACAACGTAGAACTCGTTATATATTTAGCGTGATGTAAACTGTATGTGAAAGAATATAAAAGTGTCTTGAAACCTGTACAGTACAGGATCAGTACAGTATCCACCATTTTAGGGGACTGTCCTTGACTGCAGTAAAGTTAATAAAAGGGTACTGTCTTGCTGGAATCCTTGGTTGAATTTCTTATTTAATGGGACGAACCTGGGGAGTGATTTTGGCCCCTCGCTTGACAATGACCATGTAAATAACTGATTACCCTCCCATTAGGAACCATTGTCTGTTTTTTGACTGGCATCTAAAACAGGCAATGATGGAGCCAGGCACTCTTCCCTGGGGACCACATTCTACAAGCAGGGAGCCACCGCTAAAAGGGTCCGTTTCCATGTTCCACCCTCCACTCCTCCTTATGCAGTGACCAGGCTGGTTCACCAGCAGAGAGGAAGCCCTTCTGGTGTTGGGGTCCTGAGCCGCATGAGGATTTATAGGTCAAAACCAGCACTTTGAACTGAGTCCAGAAACTATCAACTGCTTGCATCCCCAACTAAAAAACAGAGTTGGATGAAGCAGGATCGCACCTTCTCCAGTCTACCAGGACTGATGTTACTAAGGAACATACTGCAAAAGGTGATCAGAGAGAAGAGCAGTAGCTCAGTGGTAGGGAGCGCATGCAAAAGGTCAATCTGCAGCCTCTCCAGGTAGAGCCAGGAAATGTTCCTTGTCTGGAAACCCTGGAGATCCACTCCTGGTCAGTGTGGACGACCCTGAGCTAGATGGGCCAGTGGTCTGATCAGTGTAAGGCAACTTCCCATGTTCTCTCTCAGAACAGTGAGATTCACGCTCAGCTTCAGCTGTTGCCCCAGTAACAGGTTTTCAGGAATCCTACAAGTCAGGGAACCACAAAGCTAAGATCATATATCCAACAGGCCATACACTGCCAGTTGTTGCCAATATCACCACTGTATCTGATTATTTATTTGTTGCTTAGAAAAATTCCGGAATTAAAAGGGGCCAGGGTGATACGCAAAAGCACTCACTTGGAAGCATGGTGTTCAAGATGCAAAGGACCAGCCCTCGTACATTAAAGTGCTCTCGGCCATATTTCCGAAATGCAGGATAGGTGTATATTTCACTTATATAGTGCAAATAGAAGAGTGACGCAAGGACCTAGACAGGAGTAAAAACAAAAGCCCCTGATTATAAAAGTAGCACAGGAGGAATCCGTAAGAGAGAAAGCTGATCCCAGTTACCAATATGCACAGATCTAAGCTGAGTAAAGATCATACATTTAACCCACATGACATTCCCCAAAGAATCCTCAGACATGCACTTTAACCTCCCCCCCGAGCTCTAATTCCCAGCACCCTTAATAAACTGCAGTTCCCAAGATTCTTTGTGGGAGGAGCCATGTGCTTTAAATGTCTGGTGTGTATGCAGCCGTAGGCAACAGCTGACCAAAGGTTTCAGTGCCACTACGATAGTCCGTGCTTCTTTCAGATAAACGGCATTCCACGTGGGCTCCACCATGTGCAGAATTACTATGCCAGCAGTTGGGAGGCCTGGGTAGGTGCGCTGCTGGCATGTGTATATGTGGAGGGGCCCAGGTGGAACACCTGATTTACCGACAGCAGCTGCTGTGGTAGCGGTTTCATTGTCCTGCAAGGAGCAGGTCCCACGAGCAGAGACTGATTAACAGACTATCTTTTTATCCAAGATTGTCCTTTGAACTTTTAGGATATGTGACACTGCACGGCTAGCCCAGCCCAGGAAAGGACTACATCTCCATTTGAGAAATATGACCATGCTTGAAATTAGCTGATCTGCTCCACTCAGCAAAATAAAAATACAGTATACAGATTGCTGCACTGTTCATAATTTCCTAAACTCTGGAAAATGTTTACAGATGATAAGAGGACTAGCACACAGGCATCGGTTAAAAGTCGGTTTAGGAAGGCTTGTCATTTAGTACTATTGTATCCTGAGAAGTGAAACTGTTTTATTTATCTTACAACGGGAGGGTGTGTTTGTCATTAGTTTAGGGGTAATTATTCATTCAGCGATCCAGATCTAAGGGAATAGGATGCAATTCCAGGTGAACAGGCATGGAAGCTTCAGAAAGCATTGTGTCTATTTTTTTAATGCCAAAATAAAAATAACTAATACAGGCTTGTGCACTCCGGTAGGCTAGTACATATTTTTATGAACCAGTAACTCTTATCAGCTTTCAAGGCTGTATAATTATCTGCAGAAACACAGGAATCCCCAAAGGAACAGAAATATCTAACCTGTGCAAACATGGTAGCTACATAGCTCCATCTTATTGTAGGATTTCTGAAAAGAAAAGGAAATCACAGTCATTACACCTAAATCAAGACAAGAGCTTGCTTGGCATCAACTGAAACCTAATTTGTGAGAATTTTACAAACAACTGCTAGACAGCAAATCACTTTGAGTTACTTTCCACGATAAAAGCAATTAATAAGTGCAATAATAATAATAATAGCAGAGCTGATGTAGTCTGCAGTAAACACAATCCAATTTCTATTCCAGAACAGCAAATATTTAAAGTAAGAAAGTCTGTTTGCTAGTTATGATTTTGCTCAAATGGCATGCTTTACTAAATGTGCAGCTGCACTATTATTTTTTTAACAGTTCATTATTTTGCATAAAGAAGGAAAGGAGTAGTTGAGGGCAACAGGATATACAGACTGCAGAATGTGGAATACCATGAAAAATAGAAAGACAACCCTGTATAACACAGCAACTTCTACAAAGGAACTCTAGAACCTTATATATAAAAAACCCATCAAAACCCATGAAGTGAAGAATATCTTAAAGTCAAAATGGTCAGACTCAGCACTTGTTACTGGAACCAGAAACAAAAAGCTCTGATGTATGTGCTCAAAAGAGATATGCATTGAACCAATGCATTTTGGATCCTACTAGGCCTGCTCCGGGAAAATTCAGAGAAACAAATGGTTGTCTTCAACTAACCTTTACTCAGAGAAGACCCACTGAAATTCAGGACCATGAGTTAAGTTAGAGACCCAGCAGTGGGTAGGGTCAGAGGCAAAAGTGGGTAGTGCAATAGACAGAGAGGCTCAGAGGCCAGTGGTGTAGCATGGGTTGCCTGGGGCCGTGCGGAGAGGTTGGGTGGGAGGGAGGGAAACACATTCAACTGCCTAATACTATCTGCATCGCCCAGGAGACATAAGAAGAGTCATTCTATGGTCTGGAGAGGTCACTCCTGGTTCGCATGGAGAAGCTGTTTTCAATGGACCCCAGCGACAGAATGTGCAGTTATATTGAGGCTGCCCTGAGTGTTAAACTTTTGCATCCATAACAATTTTGTGCCCAGGGCAATCGTGCCTGTGACGCCACCATGCTACGCCACTGCAGAGGACTGCACTTGCCCCCTGGGCCTGAGGTCCCCAACCCGTGTGTTATGCCCTCCGTTATGAAGCATGCATCCAGCCCAACCTCGCAATCACAATGGCTATAAGAATTGCCAAGTCACAATGGAGCAACTACATTGCCATTACCGGGGATAGTCATCTCTGTAAATAAGGGTGGGAGCAAAGAGGAAATACAGGTACTGGGAAACTTTAGGAACTTGGACGGTGTCTGAAAAAGCAGAATGGAGAGAGTCGTTTAGTACCAAATAATGCCACACACTAAAAAATAAACCCACAGGGTTCCATCCTATTTTCTATGGGTCTCAAACTGTTCATTAATGCTTGAGTTTAGCAGTAATGCATTTATACAATTTCTCAGTCCAAGAAGATGGTTTGTATGCCATTCTTATTCTACTCCCCCCCCCCCAATGAGTAAGACAAGTCTGTGACAAGTCCCTTACCTCTAGTCCACCCCAGGTTTAACGCCCTCCCACCCCAAATAACCCCCCTATTGTCAGAGCACTTTTCCCTGTTCCACTAAACCCAGAATTCTCTTATATCCTTTGCAAGATGTGTACTCCTATTCCAATAAGCATTAGAAGACTGACAAGTTGCATGGTATTGGTAATCTTGCAAAACATGGGGAGGCCCATACACACATTCTTCTGAACTAGAACAGGTCTTTGAATTGTCTCCATGTCACAGAACCCAACTCTCAGAACAGGAAGAAGGGAGGGTGCCTTCATCCCCACAGCTGTACAATTATTGAAGGAAACAGTCACTCACTTGTCTTCTGTGGCGTAAAGGAAAGTATTCGAGAAGTATTCTCCCTAATGAAAGAGTAGCCTTTCATCAGCAGGCGCATCTAAAGGAGTGGAATAACAGATAAAATGTATTTGACATCTTACAATTAAGTGAGAGATGGTCCAGCAGGATACCATGGTCAATAGCATCAAAAGCTCCTCTGCCCCTCTTTTGATGAAGGTGAGACCAAAGCAGATTCAGTCTCAAGCCAGGTCTGCACCCAGAATGCAAGAGGTCGAGAGAATCGGTATCCTCCAAGAATGCTTCCAGTTGTACTGGCATTGCTCTCTCCTTCATCGTGCTCAAAAAGAGGGTGTTTGCAGCAAGTTATTAGTGGTTTAAACCATCAGTGTATCTGAAAACAGAAGTACCTACTAGACCTTAAGAATTATGGTGCGTTTCTTTTTGCATCTGACCATTTCTAACACCCTTAGGTTCAATCTCTTGGAAAAAATGAAAACTTGTCACCATTAATATTTCCCCAAGTCAGGCAGAAGCAAAAGTAGAATGTGTACACAAAATTACAGGTTAGCTAAGGACTCAGATCCTGGCATAAAGCAGCATTTTGCTAATTCAAGCTTTGTGAAATGACCTAGAGCTACATCCACAAGAAACTAGCTCTCCACATGAAACTCACCTGCTCAAAGGTCACTATGGCAGCAGAAAGCGGTGGTAAACGGTAGGCAATGACAATGTAAGTTGGAACCACTCCAAGCGCAAATATTTGGAAGATCATGAGGAGACCCCCAAAGAAAGCGGAGCGGATTGTCTTGTGGGAGGAACCATGGTAGCCCTGGGCCCACAGCAGGAAGAGCCCATAGGGCACAGTCAGGGTGGACAGGAACATGTAAAGCCAAGTGGAAGCAACAACAGAAGATTTGCCAAAAGTGTAGACCAGGAGATCAAACTTCACCACCAACCTTCAAAAGAGATTCAAACAACACAGAAAGTTAAAATCATATACTTGGGTTAAAATATATATTCCATCAGGTTAAATCAGTAACAGCTAATTCTATAATAAAAGTTGAGGTACTTTTAATCTTTTTTAGTATTTTAAGTTTTGTATGTTTTAGAGTATGGCTGTGATTTTTTTTTAATGCTTTTATTGTTTTATCATTTCGTAAACCGCTTTGAGGTTCCTTTTAGAATCAGGCAGTGTACTGTATAAATCTTATGAAACAAATACTGAACTTAAGTATATACCCTTAAGGTTTTATACTGCACAGAACACTCTAAAGCAAGAAAGCAAACACAGAGATACAGACAGATACAACCCCTACAGAGATCCAGGACCCCTTGGATAAGCACACGCATGTGGGAAAATTGTAGTTATTGTGGCATAGCCTGCAGCCTTTCAGTTAGTACTGGGAGGGCTCCACATCTTCCAAGACTTTGCATGCAGATACATTTTCATTGGTTCAGGTATGAAATGACTCAAGTCCAACACTAAAACAAAACAAAAACAAACAAACCTCCAGCTGATCCCTTCAATATTTTCCTACCTTCCTTCATCAATGGAGTCTACTATGAGGGTGCTGAGAATGATAATGATGAAGAAAGCAATGAACACATGATGTATGCTCCGGATGTCTTTCACTTCAAATAGCTCGCTGAGGAAAATAATTATAAGAAGCACATTAGAACATTTCAGGGGGTGGGGACAAACTCCAGGACTTCCAGTGATTAAACTTAAGAGCTGAAAGCAACAGGAATATGGTCAGAAGATTCAGAGGATAAGGCCATGGCTTCCCTGGGCCATTTGCTTTTTCTCCTTCAAATGTAACATGCGATCACTCTTTTTCAGTGCAATTTCTCTGCATATGTTCTGCAAAATTCATCTGTCAACAAATATAAGACCTTCACCACTTTTTAGAGGGGGTAGTTTGGAAAGAGGTGCCGCTGTACAAGAGAAAGAGATTCCCGAACTGTTTCCAACAAGCAGGCAGTGGCGGAGCTTCATGCACCGGGGGACAGAGAGCAGGTGGGGGCGTAGCTGGCGTGTGTCCTAATAACTAGCTCAATTTGCCTACGACAAGCAGACCTGAAGGCTCTCATCGCCTACTCATCCCTAAGTCATATGGGCCTAGTAACCTCTGCTATTATTATACAAACACCATGAGGCTTGACCGGAGTCATAACCCTAATAATTGCACATGGCCTAACTTCCTCAGCCCTCTTTGCTCTAGCAAACACTAATTATGAGCGCGCACACCCCCAAACTTTACTTCTTGTACGAGGCCTACAACTTGCCTTCCCATTCATATCAACTTGATGATTATTCATTAACTTAACCAATACAGCCATGCCCCCCTCAATCAACCTACTTGGTGAGTTATTAATTATTACTGCCCTATTTAACTGATCATCCCCCACCATCATCATCACCGGGGTTGAAACCCTCATTACTGCCACTTATACATATTCTTAATAACCCAACGCGAAGCCATTTCAAATCAATTTCGCCTTTTCCTCCCACCCATGCTCGAGAACATCTTATCCTTATCCTACATTTGCTACCCCTAGGACTTCTAATTCTAAAACCCACCCTAATTTCAGGATTATTCACTTGTAAATATAGCTTACCAGAAACACTAGACTGTGACTGAGATAGAAGGTTCCACCTTCTTGTTTACCAAGAGCTGTATAAACAATTAGAACTGCTAACTCACATAACTAAGGATGAAGTCCTTAGACCTATAGGAAAGTAGTAATCCATTGGTTTTAGGTACCAAAAATATTGGTGCAACTCCAAGTAAAAGTAAAAATGCACGACCTCTTCCTACACTCAACCATGCTAACAGTCCTATTTATCCTAACACACTCTGTTCTCACAACTATAAACCCAATTCCTTTCAAAATAGGATGAGGCATGCTTTACGCAAAAACCACTGTACAATTGGCATTCAAAGTCAGCCTAATCCCCCTAGCTATTTTCATAAACTATGGCACAGAAGCCTCAACAACCAATTTTACATGAACTAACATTGCCGATAGAGATATTAATATTAACCTTGTCTTACACACGTACCCCCTCACATTTATCCCAATTAGTTTATTCGTTACATGATCTATCCTTGAATTCGCTAACTGATATATATTCCAGACCCCCACATATCCCGATTCTTCAAATACCTCTTAGTATTTTTACTAGTCATATCAATGCTTGTCACAGCCAATAATATATTTCAACTTTTCGTTGGTTGAGAAAGTGTGGGAATTATGATTTGCCCGCCCTGATGCTAATACAGCAGCCCTTTAGGCTATTATTTTCAACCATGTAGGAGATATTGGACTTATATTAGCCCTCGCCTGACTTGCAACACACCTAGCAACTTGAAATATTCAAGAAATAACCATTCAAACAAAAAACCTGCTTCTCCTACCCCTCTTCACCCTAATTCTCACCTCCACTGGCAAATCTGCCCAATTCGGACTACACCTATGACACCCAGCAGCAATGGAAGGCCCAACACCCCTTTCAGCTCTATTGCACTCCAGCACTATGGTTGTAGCTGGCGTGTTCCTTTTAATCCGACTTCACCCAATCTTACAAAACAACAAGACAGCCTTAACTATTTGCCTCTGCCTAGGAGCACTCACCATACTATTCACAGCCCTATGTGCCCTAACACAAAACAACAACAAAAAATTATTGCTTTTTCAACCTCTAGCCAACTAGGCCTGATACCTATTGGCCTAAACCAACCTCAACTCGCCTTCCTTCACATCTCAACCCATGCCTTCTTCAAGGCTATACTATTGTTATGCTCCGGCGCAATTAGTCACAACTTAAAGACATCTGAAAAATAGGGGGCGTACAAAAAATATTACCAGCGACAGCTACCTGTTTAACCATCGGAAATCTTGCCCTTACAGGAACTCCCTTTTTATCGGGCTTCTATTCAAAAGATACAATTATTGAAACCATAAATAACTCCCACCTAAACGCCTGAGCCCTTATACTTACACTTTTTGCAACAATAGTAACCGCACCCTACACCTTACGAATAACTTTTTACGTCCAATTAAATACACCACAAACAACAACATCCATTATAAATGAAACACCCCTGACCCTTACTAACCCCCTTATTCGTCTTGCCATTGGAAGCCTTCTAACAGGCCTAATCCTCATAGCCACTATTTTACCAACAAAACCAACTCCAACTACTATGCTAACCTCTATAAAATTATCCGCCATCATCGCCATCCTGCTGCTTTATGCGGCTGTTTTTGCCTCCTTCTACATCTGCCGCTTTACTTGTACTTACTACATGTGATTATCTATTTACTATTATGTATATAGTGCATTAACTGATTTACCCCATGAAAAAATTGAATATAAATTATCCCAATTCGTGCCATTGCCTTCCATTAAGAGTTTGGGTGTAATCCTCGGGGCCACTAGGGGGCGCATTGGAAGATGGCCGACAATACCATCTCTCCGACCCACACGGGGTAATTAAGAGGCTGTTATGGGAGTAGGCAGCCTCCCTTGTTGCCCCAAGGAAATGGGGAACACTGCCCTTGCCTGCTGTGCCCATAAATCACCCCCTAATTCGAAAGAAGGGGGTGAGGGCCCTAGGCAGAATGCCCCCGTGCGGACATCGGCTCTCCTGGACGCTGTCTCTGATCGCGCACTAGTTGCAGCAATTTGGAATAATTAATTACAAAAGAAGCAAATGCGCATATTTCAAGTGAAGAAGGGGAGTGAAGCCTGCTAATTTAAGTGACCTCTGCGAAAGAAGACGACGGGCTGGAGAAACAGAAATATTTTACGATGAAGATACACCAAAGGCGGGGTATGTTGACAACGGGGCTGAATGGGGGAACCTTTTTACTTTCCTTCTATGTGATTTACAAGAACCCCTCCTCATTAGAACCGTCGGTTGAACTGACCCAAGCAGGATGATTAAGGTCTGTGTGGAGATAAACTTTAACCAAAAGTATGCTTTATGGAGACCGAGAAGCAATAAGAGCTTTTGGGAATGGCACAGCAATTAATTCGGAGTCGCCATCTTGCCAAAGGATTTACAGCCGGGAGGAAGAACGGATTTGTTTTCAGACTGCATTCCTAGTGAATCTCCTCAGAGGTTTTGAGAAAGGAGGCAGATTGGTGAAGATTAATGACGCTAAGACTGTTTTGATGTATGGAAGTGATGTTATATGGAAAACGTCTGGATATGGCTACTGGATAAAAAAAAAATATCCACGCAGGATTACAAACTGTTCTAACCAGCTTGTGGAGACTATCAGAGGTCACAAAGAGAAAGGAAAAATATATGAAAATAACAACAAGAGATGTGGAAAAATAGTAAGAAAGGACTGGATAGTACTGTGAACATCATAAGGTTAGATTTGTGGACATTAAAACAGCAGTAAGAAGCAAGAAGTTGATTGGATCCCTTCAGAACTTGAAATATGGGTACCCCCAACAAAAATTTAAAATTCGGCTGTGTAATTTGGAATTTATGTAATTTGGTTTGATTTGATGTGATTGGTCGGTTAATAAAAAATTATTCTTTAAAAAAAAAGAGTTTGGGTGTAATCCTTGACGCCTCCCTTTCCATGGAGGCGCAAATTACAGCAACAGCTAAGGCGACATTTTTCCATCTTCGCCACATTAAGCAGTGGGTCCCCTACCTTTCCCGCCCCGACCTGGCCACAGTGATCCATGCGAAGGTCATCTCCAGGCTTGACTACTGTAATTCGCTCTACGCGGGGCTGCCCTTGAAGCTGACCCAGAAACTCTAGCGGGTGCAGAATGCTGCAGCAAGGCTCCTCACGGGGTCTCTGCCATGGGAGCATATTCACCCAGTGCTTTTCAAATTGCACTGGCTCCCGGTAGAGTACAGGGTCAGATTTAAGGTTCTGCTTTTGACCTTTAAAGCCCTTCACGACCTAGGACCCTCGTACCTACGGGACCGCCTCTCCTGGTGTGCCCCACGGAGAGCCTCAAGGTCCATAAATAGCAACACCCTAGTGGTCCCAGGCCCTAAGGAAGTTAGATTAGCTTCAACCAGAGCCAGGGCCTTTTCAACTCTGGCTCTGGCCTGGTGGAACGCTCTGCCTCATGAGACCAGGGCCCTGCAGGATCTGATTTCTTTCCGCAGGGCCTGTAAGACAGAGTTGTTCCACCTGGCCTTTGGCTTGCAGCCAATTTGATTCCCTCCCTCTCTTTCTTTTTTCCTTTCCATCTCCTCCTGCGATGAGGCTACATTTTAATATTTTAATGTTTCAGTATTTTAATGTTGTATTTTTAAGTTGTGTTTAAGTGTGTTTTTAAGTTGTAATCATTCAACTTGTTTTTATTATTGCTTGTAAGCCGCTCTGAGCCCGGCCTTGGCTGGGGAGGGCGGGGTATAAATAAAAATTATTATTATTATTATTATTATTATAAATAAGACATAATTAATCCTGTTACATACATCATTCCCATTCTCATTGCTGTAGCATTTCTAATGCTACTTGAATGCAAAATTTTAGGCTCTATGCAACTCTGAAAAGGTCCAAACATAGTAGGCCTTTCGCATTTTACAACCAATTGCTGATAGAGTAAAACTATTTATTAAAGAGCCTGAGGCATCTGATCAAGATCTGCATTTTAAAATGAGCTTTAAAAATATATTTGCAAATGTTTGTATGTTTTATGCCAGGCATAAAGCAGCTGCCTGGGTGCTTTGGCAGATGTTTCTCTTCCTAAACAGGGCCCCTCTGATCTATAGCAGCGCTTCAGGGTTGTAAAAGGAAATTACAGGCTGGGAGCAAAAGGTCACACTGACCATACAAATTACAGAATACAATCAAGCTGCAAAGACACAATTAAGAGTTGGTAAATAGTGAAATTTATTGTTTAACAGAAGACTCGAGCCATATTTTCATAAGGTTAAAGGGCAAGAGCTAATAGAAACAGCAGCTGGCTAGGAAAAGGAGTTGTAAACTAAAGAGGCTGCTTTCGAAACTGTTTTTATTAAATTCTTTTTTACTTTGAAAAGGCCTTTCCTTCTAAAAATCTATCAATGTTATGTATGAAATATATTGGCTTAAATGTAATTATGCAAAGGATTTAGAAAGTAAGAAATGTTAGATTCTTATGTTAGATTCTTATTTCATTGATGGTGTGTGAGAAGGTGAAACCAAGATCTCTGTTTAAGATAAAATTAGAACCATTAGCCATCTGTTCTGGAGTGAATAGGGCAATAGGGCAATAGGGCAAAAAGGTTATCTGGTAATTAAGGTGCCTGGTCGAGGCAAATGTAAGATATATGGCTACTTGTCTGCCATTTATGGATAGACGGAAATATACCGTATTTTTCGTTCTATAGGACGCACATTTCCCCCTCCAAAAACTAAGGGGAAATGTGTGTGCGTCCTATAGAGCGAATGCAGGCTGCGCCGCTAAGCCCAAAGCCAGAACAGGAAGACGGAGCACTGCGGAGCGCTCCGTCTCGCTGTTCTGGCTTGGGAACAGCCTTGCTAGCTTCTGCAGGACAGCGGGGTGAAGGCACCCCGCTGCCCTGCAGAGGTTTGCGCGCAGCCCTCCCCAAGCTAGAGCAGCGAGACGGAGCCCTCCGTCTCGCTGTTCTGGCTTGGGAACAGCCTGCTAGCTTCTGCAGGACAGCAGGGTGAAGGCACCCCGCTGCCCTGCAGAGGCTTGCGCGCAGCCGTCCCCAAGCTAGAGCAGCGAGACGGAGCCCTCCGTCTCGCTGTTCTGGCTTGGGAACAGCCTGCTAGCTTCTGCAGGACAGCGGGGTGAAGGCACCCCGCTGCCCTGCAGAGGTCTGCGCGCAGCCCTCCCCAAGCTAGAGCAGCGAGACGGAGCCCTCCGTCTCGCTGTTCTGGCTTGGGAACAGCCTTGCTAGCTTCTGCAGGACAGCGGGGTGAAGGCACCCCGCTGCCCTGCAGAGGTTTGCGCGCAGCCGTCTGCTCTAGCTTGGGGAGGGCTGCGCACAAACCTCTGCAGGGCAGCGGGTGCCTTCACCCCGCTGTCCTGCAGAAGCTAGCAGGCTGTTCCCAAGCCAGAACAGCGAGACGGAGGGCTCCGTCTCGCTGCTCTAGCTTGGGGACGGCTGCGCGCAAACTTCTGCAGGGCAGCGGGGTGCCTTCACCCCGCTGTCCTGCAGAAGCTAGCAAGGCTGTTCCCAAGCCAGAACAGCGAGACGGATCTCGCTGCTCTAGCTTGGGGAGGGCTGCGCGCAAACCTCTGCAGGGCAGCGGGGTGCCTTCACCCTGCTGTCCTGCAGAAGCTAGCAGGCTGTTCCTAAGCCAGAACAGCGAGACGGAGGGCTCCGCCTCGCTGCTCTAGCTTGGGAGGGCTGCGCGCAAACCTCTGCAGGGCAGCGGGGTGCCTTCACCCCGCTGTCCTGCAGAAGCTAGCAAGGCTGTTCCCAGCCAGAACAGCAAGACGGAGGGCTCCGTCTCGCTGCTCTAGCTTGGGGACGGCTGCGCGCAAACCTCTGCAGGGCAGCGGGGCGTTGCGCTCCAAAGGCTTCAGGGATCTTTGAGGCTGGTGGTGGGGGAAAGCAGCGCTTCCCCCCACCGCCAGCCCCACAAGCTCTGGTGAATGTACCTTGAACGCACCTTGTTTTGGAGGGGGAGAACAAGAAAAAAAAATCTTTTTCCCTGTTCTCCCCCTCCTATGATCCGGTGCGTCCTATGGTCCAGTGCGTCCAATGGAGCGAAAAATACGGTAGCTCTCTGTCTCCCATAAAAGGTAATAGGAAATGGGTGTACCTTTTATGATTGGTTCTAGCAAACAGCCAATAGGAATTTCAACCAGGCTGATTGGACAGAGGCAGCCAAAGGAGGAGCAAGGGGGCTGGGCTGAGGAAATATAAGTGCTGGGCATCAGGGCTGGAGTAGGCAGAGCTTTGGTATCCATATACCACTGTGTCTCTCATTTATTTGTCTGACAAATAAATTATTATTTTAATTTCTCTATTGCTGCGTTGAATATTTCATTCCAGCTAAGCGTTAACCACAAGCAGGGTGCTACAAGCCCATTCACCCAACATATACATCCCCTATATTATTTATCCTGGCACCAACTTTAGCCCTTTTACTAGCCCTCATAATATGAACTCCAGTACCAATACCACACAACCTAGCAGACATAAACATAGGCCTTCTATTTCTTCTTGCCCTCTTAAGCATAATAGTCTACACAATCTTATGTTCCAGATGAGCATCTAACTCAAAATACGCCCTAATAGGGGCGCTACGAGCCATTGCACAAACAATCTCATATGAAGTTACCCTGGGCATTATTCCACTTTCAATTATTAGACTGACTGGCACCTTCACACTACACACCCTTATCATTACGCAAGAACACATTTGACTAATCCTACCCGCAAGACCCCTCGCAATAATATGATTTGTATCAACCCTAGCAGAAACAAATCGCGCACCATTTGATTTAACTGAGGGGGAATCTGAACTTGTCTCAGGGTTTAATGTTGAATATGCAGCAGGACTGTTTGCACTTTTCTTCCTAGCCGAATACATAAACATTTTGATGATAAACACACTCTCATGTATTTTATTCTTTAGCCCTACCATAACCACACAAACAGAATTATTTACAATTAACCTAACAGCAAAAACTACCACTGGATTCTTATGGGCTCGAGCCTCTTACCCACGATTTCGTTATGATCAATTAATACACCTCCTATGAAAACAATTTCTCCCTGCCACACTAGCACTATACTTGTGGTATATCTTACTTCCAATCTCACTATCAGGGTTCCCGCCACTAAATTAATAACTGTTACCAAGATGTGTGCCCGAGAAATTAGGGATTACTTTGATAGAGTAAATCACAGGGATTTATAATCCCTCACCTCCTCTAGAAGAATGGGATTCGAACCCACACCTGAGACTCCAAGACCCTCTGCTCCCACTATACTACCTTCTAGTAAAGTCAGCTAATAAAGCTCTTGGGCCCATACCCCAAAAATGTTGGTTAAACCCTTGTAGCCTTATGAGGCTTTGCCCTCGGGTGGGGAAAAATATTGCGCCCGGGAGAGGGAGTGGGAGTCAAACACACACTCAAGGAATAGTTTCGGAGAAAAAGCTTTATTTCTACCATCCATGAACTGGTAGAAGGAGCAAGTGTGATAGTTCACAAACAAGCACGAGTTCACAGCCATTTGCACAGAGTATATATTTCCCTTCCAGTTCCCTCCCCTTTCTCCTCTTCAGGTGTCCTGCCCCATGAGTTCCTCTGAGCATGAACAGAAAGCTCCTGTCTTGGGACTCTTCCCAGGAAAGGGGGGGGGTGAGAAGCCAAGGGGTTTCAGAGTGTTCAAGATGTTGCAACTGAATGAGATAAAAGTCAGTTCTCAGGCTTGAGTATTCTTGGCAATGACAGAGCCTATTCATTAGCCTTTTGAAGCCTTCTTGTACTGATAAAAGAATAACATTTTTCCTATGCATCTTGTGAGAAAACAGAGGAAAACTTTAGCTGTGGATTTTTTAGAAGACAGAAATGAATTTTGGACAGTTTTGAGGCCTGGTTGGGGGGGTGACTTCGGGCCTAGGTGGGGTCACCTGTCATCACCTCCTTCACCCTTCCTTTACTAATGAGCCCCTACATCTTATCCATTTTAATTTCCAGCTTGGCCCTCGGAGCTACCATTGATTTCTAGCCTGAATTGGACTAGAATTAAACACCCTAGTCATTAACCCAATCCTGGCCAAACAACATCATCCACGAGCCACTGGAGCCGCAACAAAATATTTTATTATTCAAGCAATGGCCTCATCCATCATTTTATTTTCAAGCATTCTTAATGCGACACACTGGAATTTGAGATATTACTCAACTCACCACGCAACCAACCCCCACCATACTAACAATTGCCCTAGCCATAAAATTGGGCCTGGTTCACTTCTGACACCCAGAAGTCATACAAGGCATAACAACTGCTCTAATTATTGCAACATGACAAAAATGACCACCAATATCTCTACTATATATAACTTCTAATCAACTCCCAACAACAATTTTATTACTACTAGCGATTTCCTCTACCTTAACTGGAGGATGATCTGGACTAAATCAAACCCAACTATGAAAAATCATAGCATTTTCGTCAATCGGACCCCTAGGCTGAATAGCTGCCATCTCCCCTATCTGCCAGAAACTTCTTCTTCTATCCTTAATAATTTATCCATTAATAACTACCTCCATGTTCCTAATTTTCATCACTTCAACTGCAAAAACCGCCAAAGATTTTGGAACAATATGAGTAATCTCTCCAACACTCTCCACCATCACAATAATTACCCTTATAGCATTAGGGAGACTCGCCCTATTAACTGGCTTCTTACCTAAATGATTAATTCTAGAAGAATTAACTACCAACCACCTCATCCCTCTAGCAACTGCCCTGGCCTTAACCACTTTACTAAGCCTAATATTTTACATGCGCTTAACTTATACTAAGCTTCCCGTTTTGGCCGCAGGAATTACAATGCTACTAACAGATCGAAACCTAAACACATCGTTTTTTGACCCAGCAGGAGGAGGCTACCCAATTCTCTACCAACACCTATTTTGATTTTTTGGTCATCCAGAAGTATACATCCTCATTCTCCCTGGCTTTGGCATAATTTCCCATATCGCCACATACTATGCAGGAAAAAAAGAACCATTCAGCTACATAGGTATAGTGTGAGCCATAATATCAATTGGCTCTCTAGGCTTCATTGTATGGGCCCACCACATATTTCCTGTAGGTATGGACATTGACACCCGAGCCTATTTTACCTCAGCCACAATAATTATTGCCATTCCTACTGGAGTAAAAGTTTTTAGTTGACTCGCAACCCTTCATGGCGGAACAATTAAATGGGATGCCGCTATATTTTGGGCCCTGGGATTCATTTTTTTATTTACGGTAGGCGGCCTTACAGGTATTCTTTTAGCCAACTCCTCATTAGATGTTATTCTTCATGATGCCTACTATGTAGTTGCCCATTTCCATTATGTCCTATCAATAGGAGCTACATTTGCAATTATAGGTGGATTTGCCCACTGATTTCTGCTCTTTACAAGTTATACTTTGCATTCCTCATGAACAAAAATTCAATTTGGCGTAATATTTACCGAAGTCAACATAACATTCTTTCCACAACATTTCCTCGAATTGGCGGGCATGCCCTGACGTTACTCCGACTATCCAGACGCATACACCTCTGCAATACTATTTCATCAGTTGGCTCCTTAATTTCACTGACAGCAGTAATTATAATATTATTTATTATCTGGGAAGCTCTGGGAGCTAAACATTAAGTACTTACCCTCGAATTAACAAACACAAACTTGGAATGACTTCTCGGCTGCCCGCCCCCATATCATACCTACGAAGAATCAACCTATGTACAAATCTCAAGGGAATGGGGGACTTGAACCACCTCTAACATGATATTCTTGTAAAGAAGCTGGTAAAATGCGGTCTTGACTATGCTACCAGTCAGTGGATTTGTAACTGGCTGACTGACCGAACCCAAAGGGTGCTCATCAATGGTTCCTCTTCATCCTGGAGAAGAGTGACTAGTGGGGTGCCACAGGGATCTGTCTTGGGCCCGGTCTTATTCAACATCTTTATCAACGACTTGGATGATGGACTCAAGGACATCCTGATCAAATTTGCAGATGACACCAAACTGGGAGGGGTGGCTAATACCCCAGAGGACAGGAACACACTTCACAACGACCTTGACAGATTAGAGAACTGGGCCAAAACAAACAAGATGAATTTTAACAGGGAGAAATGTAAAGTATTGCACTTGGGCAAAAAAATGAGAGGCACAAATACAAGATGGGTGACACCTGGCTTGAGAGCAGTCCATGTGAAAAGGATCTAGGAGTCTTGGTTGACCACAAACTTGACATGAGCCAACAGTGTGACGCGGCAGCTAAAAAGCCAATGCAATTCTGGGCTGCATCAATAGGAGTATAGCATCTAGATCAAGGGAAGTAATAGTGCCACTGTATTCTGCTCTGGTCAGACCTCACCTGGAGTACTGTGTCCAGTTCTGGGCACCACAGTTCAAGAAGGACACTGACAAACTGGAACGTGTCCAGAGGAGGGCAACCAAAATGGTCAAAGGCCTGGAAACGATGTCTTATGAGGAACGGCTAAGGGAGCTGGGCATGTTTAGCCTGGAGAAGAGGAGGTTAAGGGGTGATATGATAGCCATGTTCAAATATATAAAAGGATGTCACATAGAGGAGGGAGAAAGGTTGTTTTCTGCTGTTCCAGAGAAGCGGACACAGAGCAATGGATCCAAACTACAAGAAAGAAGATTCCACCTAAACATTAGGAAGAACTTCCTGACAGTAAGAGCTGTTTGACAGTGGAATTTGCTGCCAAGGAGTGTGGTGGAGTCTCCTTCTTTGGAGGTCTTTAAGCAGAGGCTTGACAACCATATGTCGGAGTGCTCTGATGGTGTTTCCTGCTTGGCAGGGGTTGGACTCGATGACCCTTGTGGTCTCTTCCAACTCTATGATTCTATGATTCTAAGCACTTTCAAGCCAGTCACACAGCCTCTTAAGTTTCTCTCCTTATGAGGTCCTAGTAAATAAATTACATAGCTCTGTCAGCGCTAAATTATAGGTCAATCAAGCCTATGTGGCACACCCAGCACAACTAGGCTTCCAAAATGCAGCCTCCCCCATTATATAAGAACTTCTTCACTTCCATGACCATGCATTAATAATTGTTGTTTTAATCAGTGCCTTGGTACTATATATTATTAGTCTTATATTATCAACAAAACTCACACTAATACTATAGATGCCCAAGAAGTGGAAATAATCTGAATTATCCTCCCTGCAATCATTTTAATCCTAATTGCACTCCCTCCTCCAAATCCTTTATTTAATAGATGAAATTAACAACCCTCTTTTAACTATTAAAGCCACTGGCCACCAGTGATACTGAAGCTACGACTATACAGACTATGAAAATCTGCTGTTTGACTCCTACATAGTCCCAACATGCGACCTACATCCCGGAAATTTCCGCCTACTAGAAGTTGATCATCGAGTTGTAGTCCCAAGAGAATCCCCCATCTGAGTTTTAATCTCAGCAGAAGATATCCTGCACTCATGGGCAATTCCAGCACTCGGCATTAAAACAGATGCAGTCCCAGGTCACTTAAATCAAACAACCTTAATTACATCTCACCCGGGCCTATTTTATGGCCAATGTTCAGAAATTTGCAGATCAAACCACAGCTTTATACCTATTGTAGTAGAATCAACACCCCTCAAATACTTCGAAGCATGATCTAAAATAATAATCTCCTCATCACTAAGAAGCAAATTTACAGCACTAGCCTTTTAAGCTAGAGAGGGACATGCCTCAACTTAACCCAGACCCCTGATTCCTCATTTTCATGCTAGCCTGAGCAACCCTTATAGCTACAATAATGACATCAGGGCAAGTCCTTTGCCCATGCAGTTTGAAATCAAAACTGGAACCCAGTTTCCTGTGCCTGCGTGGTTTGAAATCAAACCACGTAAGCAAAGGCACAGGACTTTGTTGGCACTGCCAATCAGCTGATTGGTGGTGTCAGCAAACCTGCTTTCAGTAGGGAACTGCACCTTTACCTGTCCCACAGGTGTACCCAGTTTGAGGAAGGTGGCCTTGCGGGTCAAATTAGGATGCCGGAACAGGCCAGAAACTCCACAGAGCTGCTGTAGACCACATTTCACTTGGACACTCTCCCATTTTGCACCAACTGAAGCCTTTTGTAATCCCCACTCCATGCTATGTAAATATTTTGGTCTCACAGGCTTAGAGTGCTTATTATTCATTTATTATTAAATTAATCCCACCTGGCCTCCAAAGGAGCCCTGGAGAACACAGGACTGTATCATATCCAAGTCTGAACCTACGTGGGCCAAGGTACCATTCCGTTATGGGTTCTCCTAGGCAGTATATAAAAGAAGTTAGGGACAAACTTTATTGGAGAACCAGACCACCCATGAGGAGTTTGGATTACCCAGCAATAGACATTCTATTCCAGGCATCCCCAAACTCGGCCCTCCAGATGTTTTGGGACTACAATTCCCATCATCCCTGGCCACTGGTCCTGTTAGCTAGGGATGATGGGAGTTGTAGTCCCCAAACAGTTGGAGAGCCGAGTTTGGGGATGCCTATTCTATTCTGTTGACCAGTTTCTACAGAACAGAACAGCCTCTGTGAATCCAGAATCCAGCCACATCCAAGTTAGAATTTGGGATGTGCAATAGCCAATTGGCTAGAACAGGCTTCCTCAACCTCGGTCCTCCTGATGTTTTGAGACTACAATTCCCATCATCCCTGACCACTGGTCCTGCTAGCTAGGGATCATGGGAGTTGTAGGCCAAAAACACCTGAAGGGCTGAGGTTGAGGAAGCCTGGGCTAGAACACTTATAAAGGTTAGGAATACCAACTTTCAGTCTACACAGTATAAAAATGAATGTGATCTACTGGGAGGAGAAGCGAGATGTGAAGATAAGCCACCCACTGGATCAAGGCAACTTTAACTTTAGCAAGGGCTCCAGTAAAATTTAAAATCTAATTAATATACTCACTCTAAGACAGACTTTCTAGCAACAAAAACTTTTCCGTGTTCTGGAGGTGCTCTTAATTCCCTGTGAAAAGAACAAATATTCAGCAACAAATCAGCATATCAACTCTGCTTCAGGCTCAGCCAAGAACCAACATACTTGCTTTTGAAGCCACCGTCTTTCTCTGAGCATGCGGCTGGGAAGGCAGGGGGCGAAGTCTCAAGCTGCACAGACTTTGCAATCAAGCCATTTACAAATTCTGTAAAGTGGTTGTCGATCCGCTGCATGAAAGCTGGCTTCATTTGCTGATAAAATTTGGAGGGAGGAAGGAATAAAAAAGAGAACACCTTAAGTATACAGTGGTACCTCGGGTTACATACACTTCAGGTTACACACTCCCTAACCCAGAAATAGTGCTTCAGGTTAAGAACTTTGCTTCAGGATAAGAACAGAAATCGGGCTCCAGCGGCGCAGCAGCAGCAGGAGGCCCCATTAGCTAAAGTGGTGCCTCGGGTTAAGAACAGTTTCAGGTTAAGAACAGACCTCCGGAACGAATTAAGTACTTAACCTGAGGTACCACTGTAATTGATAAGTATTGCCTGGAATTTGCCTGCTAAAATGGCATGTTACTCTTTACCTTCAAATGCAAGGCTGACTTCCTAACACCATGCTAACAACAAATCATGAACATGTCTCATTTCCTGACAACTGACGACATATTCTTGGACCCCAGTCAAAGTCACGGCCAGTGGGGACAATGGTCAGCGCTGATGGGACTTCCTAGTCTAGCAACATCTGGTTCCCCATTCCTGGTTTAAACCACCTATCAGCAGCTCCCCAAGAATGAGGAAGCAAAGTCGCCAACTGCAGAGCCTTTCTAAGAAAATCATAGTTAGCCTAGCTGCCTCCCATCTTGCTTACACTCAACATATCTGACAGAAATCTGACCAGAAAACTGACTTGTTCTGCAAGAGCTTTTTGTTTTGTTTTTGTTTTACTAGTCAAATACCAACCATATGCAAAACACATTCTATTAGTCTATTCAATTTAAGGAAAGCTGAGAAGTCCAAGAACAGGATATAAGAAGGCACCATGGTCACCCACAAAATGCTCAGTTCTGGTTAACTCCACACCATACACACACAGATTCTTTAAAAATGAACAGCTAACAGTTTAATGAAGTTGCTTCAGAGGTGGAGCCCTGGCTAGCAGAACCCAAGAAAAAGGTCTCTCACAACTATTCCCATTGGAGGGAGGAATGTCTTAAGAAATTAAACAGGGAAACACATTTCACTTAGGATTTCCCACGCATTTTTAGAAGTTTAGCACTAAGATTGCTTTGATGTGGCATTTTATTTGAGCGGCAGGGGCAAGGGCAGCAACAGCAGAGAGGAATACTCTTGTACTTCCAGAGTTATTAAAAAACAGAAGCTGTGATGGCTAACATTAAGCAAGAAGAGCAAACAAGTGTGATAGGAAGTTTCTGGGCTGCTTTGCTCAGCGCAGGGTGTTCACAAAGCACAGGGTGTTTTGTTTGTTTGTTTGATCTGCCATTGCCGCTCCACACAGTCAACAAAGAATGATGCCAAGAGAGAGTGAAAAATAAACAAAGAGAAAGAACCAAGAGAAGGGAAAGCAAGCTACAGGGTTTGGGCTGCCCAGGGCAAACAGCACCTTGAGCAACAACAGAGTTCTTGCTTTCAATGTAGCCCTGGGAATTTGCCTGGGGAATGAGGTCACCTGCTGTTACCCATTCACATATTGCAGACACAGCCCCAAAAGGAAAGTAATGTGTGTACTTTGCGGCTCCTTTTCCCTGTGGCCGTTGACATGCTGGCAAGACCTGTTGGGCTTCACTGCTGCCCCACCTGAAACTAGGAAGATGTATCCTGCTCTCCTCTATCTGCTCACTACCAGGAAAAAGCCGGTAGGTGGATAAGCCGATTCCCAGGGAAGCTTCTCCACCATCCTCCCACTATTAAATTCCTGATAAGTTCAAAGACTCAAAAGGGTACCCAGCAATAGTTCCAGAGCCACATGTGAATCTTCCCTACAGTCCAAAGCAGTAGCATGCCGGAACAGCCTAATCCCACAGCCTTCCAGTCCCAGTTTACCAAAACATGGATATGCAGCTATTGTGGCTCTAGCTGCACTAAATATGAGCGGCAATGCTTTGGCTAGTGATGGATAGCCAGTCTGTGAGATGGATAGCCAGTCTTCTTAAAATAAAAGACTTTTATTTTTCACATACAACAGCAAATATCAGAGAACTTATCTGCTTTCTCATGCACTCACAATTCTCTTTTGTCCTGCCTTTTCTTTTAATGCAATTAAACACACATTTCTAAATGCATTTTGATATGCTTTCTTAGCGAAGAGCTGGAATATTTGAGAAAGGTGGAAGTGGGTGAATGGTTTAAGTTTCAATCTGGCCAGGAGGTGCAGATCAGGTTGTTATTGTTGGCATCCATCTGTCTCAAGAGACAATGGAGTGTGCCTCCGGGGATCAAACCAAATCAGGTTATTCATACTGGAATTCACAAAGAATGAATTCCTTAAGCATCCCACTTGCTAACAGACTAGAGGAGGAAAGCAGCCTAGCCGCCTCCTGTGCCCTACAACAGCAGCTGAAGGTTTCTACGGCATCAGAGAAAAGCATGAACATTTGAAGGGTTGGGGATAATAAAAGTACAAAGGACTGTAATGGTTCAAATAAAATAAAATGTCAGAAGCCCTAGTTTTGATTTTCTGAGGAAGCATGATTAGATAGTTCTCCAGTTTATAAGAGCTCACAGGAAAGTGAGCATTGTTTATAATTTTTGCATTTGAGGAAATCTTTCAGCAGCCCCAGTTTCAGTGACTCCCAATTTACCAGATTTAGGATTTCTAACAGGCCCATTCTATGCATAGATCTGTCACAAATGGGAGGTTTCTTTTGCTGTCTAGGGATTCCTCCTTGTTAACTCATATTAACTACAATTCAGATAAGTTTACCTCAGCCTCCACCAAAAGCTGCATCTTTCGAGTGACCGAATGGTCAACGTCAACATGACCTAAGAGGGAAAAAACAAACCGTTGCTGTATTTTCAATGATAAATACAATCAATCAATCAATCAATAAATAAATGTTGTCTGCAAGTATGAAAGGCAAACAGGAAAAGCATGCAAACTGGAAATTTAAAGTATTTTAATATCAGTGCTGCAAATAAGTCCACAAATGTTACTAGCCCTCAAAATTTCACTTATTCCCCTACCCAGAGGTACCTGTATTAGTTGTCCGCTACTGACCAAAAGGAAAAACAACCTATTCCAATTTCCAAGGCTTCGCTTCCTAGAGTGCATTAAAACCATAGTTAATTGGGGCAGATCATTTAAACTTATCTACCCAAATACTTCCTGCCAACCTAGCCGTTTGAAAGCAGTCAAAGTGCAAGTAGATAAATAGGTACCGCTCTGGCGGGAAGGTAAACGGCGTTTCCGTGCGCTGCTCTGGTTCGCCAGAAGCGGCTTAGTCATGCTGGCCACAGGACCCGGAAGCTGTACGCCGGCTCCCTCGGCCAATACAGCAAGATGAGCGCCGCAACCCCAGAGTCGGTCAAGACTGGACTTAATGGTCAGGGGTCCCTTTACCCAAATACTAAAAAAAGGAGGTGCTAGGGAGAAGGATTCTAGCTTGGCCATCTGCCGGACATCTGCATGATTCAACCATCCATGCACCGCTTGCCCCCTGCACCCTCAAGTGGTACAGCCCAGGCACCAGTTCACCAGCCAAGTGAGAGCAAGACGGCAGAGACGGTGCACACAAGATATTCAACTGTGACAAAACGAGTGTACAATGCATAGAAATAAGTTTTTCTGAAAACAAAAACAAATTTGTTTCTGCAGAATTGCAGTTAGATGGTTCTTCTTGACATTCCTCTCATTAAACAATCATTCAGCAATTGTATTTGGGCATATCTTGAACAAAATTCCAGCCAAACTAGGGAAGGGAACATTCATATTAATCAATGAAAAATAAAAATCCTTTTTATTGATGAAATCCCCTTTAGCTTGGTTTTGCTGAGCTCTAAGTAAGTGTGTAGGAATGTGCCAGGAATGCCTGAGATTCTGCTTAAACCACCAGCTTGATAAGTGAAGAACTTGCTATGTGAACTATTGGGCTTGCTATATTACTGGAAACTAGGATGACAACTTGGGCAATGCTTGCTTAAGCAATGTATGACAAAATAAGGAGTATCAAAGTGCAGCTGCCTACAAGTTGATAACGCAAGAGCATGTTGATCACAATGTGCATCCCTCAGGAGTTGGCATGATTGGTGCCTTATAAAGGTCACGTATACTAGAATGCTATAATTGGAGGTATTGAATCTTTCTGTGTTCTGTGAAGCTATAACTGTTTCCTTTCACATGTTTGGGTGTGGTCTGAGCTTCTTGCACCCCACAATAAACTGTTTTCTCCTCCAAGTGTGGGACCCCAATCATCAAACAGTAAATATCAAGTAAACAACAAAAATACACTAGATCACTAAACTCTGGCTGGATGTAGACACATCAAAGAAGCATTTTAGTTTAAAGCATTGTAAATTTAAAACAGGTAGAGAAAAACAGGACTCCACGTCGTCATCTGGTGGCAAAATGTTACATTGCACATACAACACATATAAATTGCTTTTTCTCTATCAGTCTAACTGAGTCCTCTGATAGCATGCCTTTTTGAAAAATCAAAAACACCATCCCTGGAGCATACTGTACTTACCGGTTGTTAAATCCCTGGTTATGGCATCACAAGATTCATTAAATACAGATGAAAAGATGGGCTTGGTTACTGCTCATTACACCTAACGCTCACCACCTGTCATTGCTATCATTTCAGGTGAAGCTTTGCTTTCAGAAAGTGATTCCAGAACCTCAAACCACAGTGATGAGCTTTGCAAACCAAAGGTTCATACATGTTCATACTGGGCTGTTTGAAAACTGTCTCATTTCTTTCAAAAACTTCCAGATTTTGGAGGTTCAAAGGGTAGCACTGAGTTGTTTGAATGCCCTTCCTTTCAGTAAGATTCCAGTGCCAACCATCTCCTAAATCAGGAAGGGGTTTGCATTGGAATCCCTTGCTAAAACAAAGCAGGGAGTTTTCATGCAAAGCCCTTCCTGAATCCAGAAATGGCCTTGCAAGCCACATTGGACCCCTAATGGGCAAATCTTATTCTACAGGCTGAAAAGATAGAGGCGGCTTTGCCCTCCCAGACTTTAAATTATATTATGAAGCTGCATGTTTGGTATGGATTAGGGACTGGATGAAGTTGGAAAAGCAAGAAGCATTAGAACTGGAAGGACATGACAATAGATTTGGTTGGCACGCATATCTATGGCATGGGAAAGGGAAAGTACATAAAAGTTTTTATAAGCACATAATTAGGAAATCACTAATGAGAGTATGGGAGAGATATAAAGATTTATTAGAACAGAAGACTCCTTGGTGGCTTTCACCACATGAAGCTTTACAGCTTAAACCACTTGAAAAGAAAGGAAAGTGGCTTACGTATGCTGACTTGTTAAAGGATCAAGAAGGAAAATGGAAATTAAGAGATCATTTTCAGAGTTGGTTACATTATTGGCAACTACATGAGATATACAGAGAAGATAACAAGAAAGGATTTAGTTATACAACATCTAGATTTCAGAAGGAAGTTGTGGAAGGGAAAGTAAAGTTGCTGAAAGGCGCATATAGGATTCTGCTAGAATGGGAAACAAATGATGAGGAGGTGAAATCAGTCATGATTAAATGGACACAAGATATAGGCCATAACATAATGTTTGAAGATTGGGAAAGATTGTGGAAAATTGATTTAAAATTTACAGACTGTTCTTTACTGAAAGAAAGCTACAGTGGTACCTCGGGTTACATACGCTTCAGGTTACATACGCTTCAGGTTACAGACTCCGCTAACCCAGAAATAGTACATCAGGTTAAGAACTTTGCTTCAGGATGAGAACAGAAAGCGTGCTCCGGCGGCACAGCAGCAGCAAGAGGCCCCATTAGCTAAAGTGGTGCTTCAGGTTAAGAACAGTTTCAAGTTAAGAACAGTCCTCCAGTACGAATTAGGTACTTAACCCGAGATACCACTGTATATGAAAATGATGTATAGATGGTATATAACACCAGTACAGATAGCAAGAATGTACAAAACTGGCTCAAATATATGTTGGAAATGTAAGAAAAAACAAGGGACTTTTTATCATATGTGGTAGGATTGTAGCGATTTTTTTTAAAAAATTGGGAAATGATATACAATGAATTGAGGAAAATGTTCCAATTAACATTTGTAAAAAAGCCTGAAGCATTTTTGTTAGGGATTGTAGGAAAAGACCTGCCAAGGAAATTGAAGAACATATTCATGTATGCGACAATGGTGGCAAGAGTCTTAATAACACAAGGATGGAAGAATGAAGAAATCCTGACAAAAGAACTGTGGCAAGGGAAATTGATAGACTATGTGGAACTGGCGGAATTGCCACACAAACTGCATGATAAGGACAACTGTGACTTTAAAGAAGAATGGGAACCTTTTACAAAGTACTTAAAGAAACAACAAAATGAACTGGACTCCTTGGCAGGTTTTGAATAAACAAACACAAATTTATTATTGGTAACATATAGACAGATAAGTTAAGGATCTTTACAATTTTATAATATGCAGAGAATAACATGTGCTGAAAAACCAGAGAGAGGAGCTGAGGGAAGTCCGGGCGGGGGTGGGAGGGTGGGTTTTTCCTGGGGAGGGGAAATTAGGGGGGAAATTAGGATGATATGTCTTTGATAAATTGTTATGCTGAAATTCTTAATAAAAATTATTCTATAATTTCAATTCCCCGCTCCTCCACATGCAGCTGCTGGGTGACCTTGGGCTAGTCACACTTCTCTGAAGTCTCTCAGCCCCACTCACCTCACAGAGTGTTTGTTGTGGGGGAGGAAGGGAAAGGAGAGTGTTAGCCGCTTTGAGACTCTTTAGGGTAGTGATAAAGCGGGATATCAAATTCAAACTCTTCTCTGGGTATTGAAGGTCGTCTTTCACAACAGTCAGAAATGCAGTGGCCTCAGCAATTAGTTCCAAGTCCTCCACAAAACGTACTGTATCATTGGCACTGTGACAAACATCTTTGAAGATCATTTATTGCTACATCACATACATTGCCAAAGGTAGGTCTTAATTATTATTAACAAATATTAATTAATTGTTGCAACAAGCTCTGCAGACATGTGCAAACAGGATGGGTAGCCACTGTTAACACACTTGTAACAGGGAAGACGTGCCAGAAATGTGCGCACATGATGCCTCCCTCTTCAACAGTTTCTGATGAGCATAGTTCCAAGAGGCAGGGGGAAAGAGGCTGCTTATTTATGTTCCACTGTGCATACAAGACACTCCAAGCACCATACGCCTATGAAAGCTCATTTCTACATATCCCTCTATCTCCAAGCTCAAGAGGGCTGCATCAGGGACACTCACCTGGAACGAAGATGCAAGTGCAATTTCTCCTTGCTGTAGGCATGGAATACAGTGGTACCTCAGGTTACAAACACTTCGGGTTACAGACTCTGCTAACCCGGAAGTAGTACCTCAGCTTAAGAACTTTGCCCCAGGATGAGAACAGAAATCGCACGGCAGCAGTGCAGCAGCAGCAGCAGGAGGACCCATTAGTAAAAGTGGTACCTCAGGTTAAGAACGGTTTCAAGTTAAGAACGGTCCTCTGGAACAAATGAAGTTCGTAACCAGAGGTACCACTGTACCTAGATGCATCTTATATCTTTTTGTATCATCACCTACTTTTGAGAGGCGTCTTCCATGAATAGGGTCTTAAGAGTTAAAAGTAGGATTCCGTTCTGGTTGCTGTTGCCAATTCCTTCTTTCCCAATATTTCCGGGCCACAGATCAAAATCTCACTCAACTCTTGCATTAAAATCACCCAGGAGGATGATTTTATCTTTCTTAGGCATCTCTGTTAAGATGGTATCCAGCTCCCTGACCACTAGCCATCCTGGGAGTTGGGAGTCCAACAATATGAGGACAAGTGGTTCTGCATCCCTGCCAGCTATGCCTCTCACCCTCAGAGCCCTCTGCAGTGATTTTAATCCATACAAACAAGATGGGAGCAACTACACGTCATCCTTCTGTGACAGAAGGCTCTAAAAAGTCACGTACCTTGGCAAGAACCTTTGGGCAGTCACTGCCAGCAAGGGCTTCTCCTCTCCAACAGCTAATTGCCCAGTTGGAAGGTATCATGCAGAGACATCAGCACACACACACACACACACACACACACACACACTGCAAGCCCTTTAGCCCTTGTAGAATGTAAGCTTTAAAGCAAAGCACACAGACACCATTCAAAGAAATTGTTTTGGGAGATTTGAGCCTGCTCCTACATTTTAGTGATTTTAGCCAATGAGTGAAGTCAGAGCTGTAACTGGCAAGTGCTGGAAAGAACTTTATCACACAAGCAATATCCATGTTGCAGAGGGAGTACTGTGCCTGAGGAAGCATGGGCTACTACCGCCCTGCAATGTAGCCTATTGTTGCTATACAGTACTAAAATTACAGGGGAATCATAGAATTGCAGAGTTGGAAGGGACCACAAGGGTCATCTAGTCCAGCCTCCTACAATGCAGGCAGGAATCTTTTGCTCAGCATGGGGCTCAAACCCACAACCCTGAGATTAAGAGTCTTGTACGTTACCAACTGAGGAGAAGGCAGAGAAGGAGGCAGAAGTGCATGACAACCTTCCAGACTCTTGTGGGGAGGAATTTTAGGAAAACCAGGCAGGGAGCTGTTAAACAGATTGCAACAGCAACATGGGGGTGGGAGGAGGTGATTAATTGCTTCCCCACCCATGGAGGGAAGCTTGAGGGTGGTTGCTGCTGGTGTGAACACTTAAACGGGTATATTCACATCAAAGGCTCAAAGGCTTTTTTTTACTCAAGAAAAGAGTGGCCATGTGACCTGAGTTAATAACATTGCTAAAGTTTTTTAAACTTCATAACCAACAAGAAATCCTGATGGAATGCACTGGTTGCTTTTTATCAATTTAATCCTGAGTTTATCCAAGCGTACAGAGGAGGGCAACCAAGATGATTGAGGGTCTGGAAACCAAGCCTTATGAGGAACGGTTGAGGGAGCTGGGTATGTTTAGCCTGGAGAAGAGGAGACTGAGAGGAGATATGAAAAACCTTTTAAAATGTGGGCAATTCCAGAATTTACATCATGTAAATGCCAGGGGAAACAATTTTAAGTTGGCACCAAAGGGAAAGGACTATATGTGTCCCACTGTTACTACACAATGCGCTGTGGAACCTCAAGAAGCACCTCTCCTAACGATCTTTATAACTGGAGATAAGATACATGGAGATAAGAGGGTTCATTACGCATGACAAACTCAATATGTCCCAAAATGGGATTCCATAAACAATTATTTTGGAATTTGCATTGATGGGTATTCCCCGCTCCCCTTTACACTGCCTTTCAAGACCTAACGTGGAGTCTTTCAAGTCTATTTTGTTTAGGACATCAAGCCAAGGAATTTGTGAACGAAGTAGTAATGATACAAAGGAGTACTTAAGAGAAAAGTCTATGAGGAATGATATCAGTTTTCTGAGCAAGGTGTCAAGCTGCTTGCCCAGGAATGTGTAAAGACAAGGGAATGTTTCTTACTGTCCACTTTTTATTCAGTATTTACAGAGAGAGGCTATAGCACCCAGCCTCTTGGATAATGGCACTGTCCCGAGTGAATCTCCACCCCACCCATCGTCTCTCCCACTTCCTCATTCACCATTCTCATTGTCTCTCCTACAGGTGCTGCTATGTGCCCTCTGTCTTTGAGCTCTTTGCTCTCCTACTTTTAAGGCTCACCGGGTTCTGGGAGATGGAAGGTCTGGGATGCTTTCTAATAACAACCTGTCAGCTGAGTGTTGTTCTGTCTCTCCCATGATTTCCCAGCTTTCCCCCTCATCTGCCTCTGAGCTGTGACCAAACCCCTGTTGTAAATCTATACTGTCTTCCTCTTCCTCCTCCCCGGAAGGGTCAAGCTAGAGAGGCGGTCTCCAACACCCTCCTCTGACCAGTCTCTGACACAAAGTTGGTGGAACATGATGCTGAGGAGATGATAAAAAATGTAAGAAATTATATATGTGATTGAAGATGGGAATGAACTGTGTGAGATGTATATAGGGCACTGGTTAAATTGTGGAGTAGGCACATGTTTCTTCCTCCTGTGGTTTCAGCATCCCATCGCTGGCAACATTTCCTTCTGATGCTACAGCCTTCGCCAACCTGGTGCCATGACAGGTTTTGGACCACAACCCCCCATCCAAGCACCTGGAAGGCACAAGGTTAGTGAAGGCTGTCATAGTGCAACAATGCACATCTGTACACATAGCCCACCAGAAGTAGGACACTGCGCAGGCTTCACATGCAGCACAGAAATTTATAGGAGCAAAAGCAGTCCAGAGAATGAAGTAAGGAGATGCAGAGGAGTCAGCTGGGGAAGCCTGGGATGAGAATCAACACCCTATACCCCTTTTAAATGTGTTTTATTTTCAAATTGACAGACCACAATTAGGGCCATCGCTCAGCCTCCCAAAGGTCCTGCTCCCTGAAGACAGATTCAGAGCTTTCAAACAGGACTGAGCTTACAATGTTGAGTGCTGTGAGGATAGAGAACAAGAGCAGCTTGAAACACAACCCACACACTAAAACCTGGCTTGAAAGCAGCATTTTTTCCTATCATAAATGATAAAATAGTTTGCAAGATGTGCTTTGTCATGCAAGACAAAGATAGTTTACAAGATGTGATTTGGCGTAGGGTGTGTGTAGCAACACAACAATCAATCCACTTTACAGATGTGCCAACAGATCCAAAAAGATTGGAAAGCCAAAATACATGTATTGGGTTGTAACAAAGTTTTACTCATAGTAGACCCATTGGACATGGTGAACACTGGAAACAATCCATTATTTAAGACCTGAGGAAGAATTCGTATTTACTGTACTTCAGAACTTTTGTTCATTTGCATATTCAAAGTAAATCCACTGATAAAATCTTATATTTATTCAGATAGGATTTCTGCAGTTACTGATAAAGAAATCTCATAATTGCATCTACACCAGGGATTGGCAACCCGCGGGCAGGGAAAGGGTGGTTGGGCGAGTGGACCTCATTCTGCACGCACAAAGACTTGGTGGAATCCCACCCGACCACAATAACGTGGTCTGAAGAGCAACTGCCTGTCAAGAGGAAGCAGTACTGAGTGAGATGAACTGCTGGTCCAACTCAGTAGAAGGCAGTTTCACACCCAGCTTGAATCTGAGTAAACAAGCTTAGCAATGAATGCCAGTATTCATATTTTGAGGCAAATATATGGTAGCTGTTGAAACAAAAACTACAACACGGATAATTTAGGTATAGATACGTTTCCTAGTCAGGTCATAAAAGTTCTCTAGAAGAATCCCCTCCGCTGGCTTCACAAATTTGGCACTAGTCAGGGAACAAATACAGTGCTAAGGTCAAGTTATTAGCAAAAGGCAAACACGCTCAGAACTGGCTGAGTACCACGTTGAACTACACCACCAAGATACATGCACTGGGTTGTAGTCAACAAAGTTTGATTCAGAGTAAACCCACTGAACATGGTGAACACTGGAAACAATTGGATTCATATTTACTTCAGATCTTTTGTTCACATGCAGATTTAAAATCATTTCACTGCTTATCATTTCATCTGCTAAATCAGATAATATCTCTGCAGTTACTGATGAAGAAATCTCACCATTGCTTGATTGTGGGAAAGACCAGTCTGCTTCATGCCTCTTTGACACGTCTTCTTTCTCTTCTGCAGTCTCATAAGTTGATCGGCGATTCCTTACGGAGATATTTTCTTCACCCGCCATGGTGTCAGGATAACGCACTGTAGAGGAGAAAACTTACTCTTATGAAGTACCTCAGCTTTTTATGACCATGCACTTATCATTCTTTATTATATGATGTATAATTATAATCATTCTAAGAACCTCAGTGCTCTCTCAAACTTTCTTTTACAAAATAAGTCCCTAGGCCTCCTGGCTGCCAGAAAACATTTCTAAATACACCACTTCAGACTGATGAAAGTTGTGAAAGTAGAGGATAGGGTTTGTTCAAAACCACAAACTGTTCCCTTCACTCTCTGAACCAGCCTCTCTCAATCTTGGTTGGGTCCCCAGATGTTGTCGAACTACAATTCCCATCATCTTTGACCACAGGTCTTCCTAGGTAGGAATGATGGGACTTGTATACATCTCAGGATGTATGGTTAAAAAGCTGCCTTAAACTTGTATCTTTCAAAAGATTTGTTTTGGTTGATTATTAATGGAAGTTAAAATTGCAGGAAATGTTATCTGACCCGATCTTTGTTCCTTTAAAATCTTCCATAAGGATAAGATTTCGCCACTTGCAGCCCTTGTGTTTAAGGTGACATCTCAGTTTGGTGGGATAAATCACACATACACAGCACTTTTTTGCTGCCAGTTCTGATGATCCTTAACAAACCTTTTGCCCAACTACACAGCCCTTTCCCCAAGCTGTAATTAAACCAGAAATCAAATAACCAAAGTTTTCCATTTCATCCAAGTTAGAAAACTATGGCTCCCACTTCCCAGCTTGGAACCCGGTGGGCTCAGCCTTTACGCACGGAAAGGAGAGGAGGAAAAGGGGACCAGCAGGCTTCCTTCGCGCCTTCTCCTCTCCCCGCACGCCATAGCTCCCTCTCGACGGCGACCGGGAGATTCAGGAGGGGTACCTGCGCCCCCTCTCCCGGCCCTTCGCCGCCCCTCGCCCTTCGCCCCAGTCCGAGTCCCATCACCACCGTCCCCGGAGCGCCCACCTGAGTCTCCGTGTCTCTCTCCTCCTTGCGTCTTTTGCAGCTCCGCAAGCGGAGGGGAGCGCTATATGGCTTGGCTCCTCCTCTGCCTTCGTCAGGGCATGTAGGCGAAAGAGGAGGCGAAGTCGGAGGAGGAGATGGGAACAGGATACGTCGCTGCCCCCTTTGGAAACAGAATGGGGGATTAAATCACGCAGGGGGAACCTTTAGTCCTCCAGATGTTGCCAAAGGACAACTCCCAGCATCCTTGGACATTGGCTATGCTTGCTAGAGCTGATGGGAGGTTGGGAGCTTTGATGGGAGGTTGGGAGCTTTGAGGATGGGAGGTTGTTCAGCAACATCTGGAAGGACAATGGTTCAGCACACCTGGGCTAGTTAGCTAATCCAGCAGTGCTTATGTTTCAGTCGAACAGTGCCACCTAAAGGCATTTTGCAGAAAACTGTACAGTTGGGAGATAACGGTAATGATTCAAGGCAAGCTGACGCAGGAAACTGTCCCACAGCGTTTAATACAGCTTGTGCCAAGGGAAGTGTTCGTAGTATGGCAGCCAGCCTCATGAGATTTTTTGTGGAACTAGAATATGGCAACCCCATTTTGGAACCAGGATATGGCAAGCACCTTGTCACACGGGGCAGCCAAAGAGGGCAGTTTTAATGGTAGAAAACAGCAGACCCATTGCTAGTCTGTAACATGGGGACAAGGGCACTAACTTGTGCAAGCTGCTTTTATTTCTATTTTCGATTAAGATATATGCTTATTGTAAACCACCCTGGAATCTACTGGATGAAGTGTTTTAAATAGTAAATACAGGCTCCACACACACTATATGTGGGAAATGACTTAACTGGTTATCTTGTATGTCTCCTGAATCCTGCCTTCCGTGGAATATGCTATTGCATACATGGAAGCCATTCTTTTTACAGGAGGTGATAATTAAAGTTTGCTGGTAACACAAAAGCCCTGTGCTTTAGGTCTTATGAAGTCAGGAATGTCATGCATGCCTTCCAGGTCACATGTAAGATAAAGACTAGCACCAGGGTCAAGAGAGTTCATTGGGGAATACATTACATATCAAGTTATGCCAACTTTGTAAACACCATGAAACTCCACATCGCCTTCCTTCAGGAAGTATAAAGGTAAAGGGACCCCTGACCGTTAGGTCCAGTCGTGACCGACTCTGGGGTTGCAGCGCTCATCTCGCTTTATTGGCCGAGGGAGCCGGCGTACAGCTTCCGGGTCATGTGGCCAGCATGACTAAGACGCTTCTGGCGAACCAGAGCAGCGCACGGAAACGCCGTTTACCTTCCCTCCGGAGTGGTACCTATTTATCTACTTGCACTTTGACATGCTTTCGAACTGCTAGGTTGGCAGGAGCTGAGACCGAGCAACGGGAGCTCACCCCGTCGCAGGGATTTGAACCGCTGACCTTCTGATCGGCAAGTCCTAGGCTCTGTGGTTTAACCCACAGTGCCACCCACGTCCCGCGTATACAACCCACGTATAGGAAACAAGCTGCAGAGTGAACCCTGCTTCAGCCAAAAATGGGTGGCATCAGGATGAGGAAAATCTTGCATAATACTCAGTAGAAGAGAACTGAATTTTCAAGCCACAACAATACTGAAAGTTATGCCAATTTTAATGATGCCACAGTCTACAGAAATAAACCATAGAATAAGTTCAGATTGGTGCCCATCATGACAGGCCAAGCACAAGCCATTTTGCATATACAGTGTATGCCTGCACATATTGTGTCTCTTTAAACCAAAACACAATTTTCCAGGCTTGTTTTGTACCTAGCCAGCACAGAGTCTTTGGTAGACCCACAGGTTGACAACCCCACCCCCTTGCTTTGGTTCCTATTCCTTTAACTGTAACACAGCATGTAGGAATTAAGCATAAGAAGCTTTCCACATTGCCCTGCAATTGCATGATAGGTTGGTAGCAAGAGGAATCATTGCAGTAAAAAAAGGGAAAGAAAAGAACAAGTAGATGGCAACCCTACATATCTCAAGGAGGGGGCAGTGGAGCTCTTTCACAAAGCTTGCCTCCACCCCAGGCCAAATGATCTCATACTACCACTACAAATTTGTCTTCCCAAAGCATTTGGGCTCCACACAGAGTGGCAGAAACAAAGGGGGTTTAGTGGGGGGAAACCCTTGCCATCTGTTGCCATAAATGAAAACATCTGAACTAGGGCATTCTTGCCCCAATCTCCTTGCACTGCTGTTGCATTCTTTTCCACTATCTGAGCAAAAACTGAACCTACTACCACTACATTTAGAGCAACAAAGCCTGCAGAAGAGCAAAGAATGAAGCAGCTAGGTAGCCAACAGCCTAGGACACCCCTGTTAAAACATCTGCACTGGTTGCTCATTGGCCACATGTATCATTATCTCTCAAGTATACATATAGTTTTCTGCAAGGTGCCATTAGGTGGCGGTATTTGACTGAAACATAAGTGCGGGTGGATTAGGTAAAGGTAAAGGTACCCCTAAGCCTTAGATCCAGTCGCGGAGGACTCTGGGGTTGCAGCACTCATCTCGCTCTATAGTAATAATAATAATAATAATTAATAATAATAATAATAATTTATTTGTACGCCGCTCATCTGGCTGGGTTTCCCCAGCCACTCTGGGCGGCTTCCACAAAGACCAAAAATACACTAAGATGTCACACATTAAAAACTTCCCTGAACAGGGCTGCCTTCAGATGTCTTGTGAATGTCAGGTAGTTGTTTATCTGATGGGAGGGCGTTCCACAGGGCGGGCGCCACTACCGAGAAGGCCCTCTGCCTGGTTCCCTGTAGCTTTGCTTCTCGCAATGAGGGAACCGCCAGAAGACCCTCGGTGCTGGACCTCAGTGTCTGGGCAGAACAATGGGGGTGGAGACGCTCCTTCAGGTATACTGGGCCGAGGCTGTTTAGGGCTTTAAAGGTCAACACCAACACTTTGAATTGTGCTTGGAAATGTACTGGGAGCCAATGTAGGTCTTTCAAGACCGGTGTTATGTGGTCTCGGCGGCCGCCCCCAGTCACCAGTCTAGCTGCCACAGTCTGGATTAGTTGTAGCTTCCGGGTCACCTTCAAAGGTAGCCCCACGTAGAGCGCATTGCAGTAGTCCAAGCGGGAGATAACTTGAGCATGCACCACTCCGGCAAGACAGTCCGTGGGCAGGTAGGGTCTCAGCCTGCGTACCAGGTGGAGCTGGTATAAAGCTGCCCTGGATACAGATTTGACCTGCGCCTCCAAGGACAGCTGTGAGTCCAAAATAACTCCCAGGCTGCGCACCTGGTCCTTCAGGGGCACAGTTACCACATTCAGGACCAGGGAATCCTCCACACCAGCCCGTCTCCTGTCCCCCCAAAACAGTACTTCTGTCTTGTCGGGATTCAACCTCAATCCATTAGCCGCCATCCATCCTCCAACCGCCTCCAGGCACACAGAACCTTCACTGCCTTCACTGGTTCTGATTTGAAAGAGAGGTAGAGCTGGGTATCATCTGCATATTGATGGACACCCAGTCCAAACCCCCTGATGATCTCTCCCAGCGGCTTCATATAGATGTTAAAAAGCATGGGGGAGAGGACGGAACCCTGAGGCACCCCGCAAGTGAGGGCCAAAGGGTCTGAACACTCATCCCTCCCCCACTTTCTGAACACGGCCCAGGAGGAAGGAGTGGAACCACTGTATAACAGTGCCCCCAGCTTCTATAGGCCGAGGGAGCCGGCGTTTGTCCGCAGACAGCTTCTGGGTCATGTGGCCAGCATGACTAAGCAGCTTCTGGCGAACCAGAGCAACGCACAGAAACGCCGTTTACCTTCCCGCCAGAGCGGTACCTATTCATCTACTCGCACTGGTGGATTAGCTCAACACAAAGATGGCCAGTCAGGTTCCTCCATAAATTCACAAGCAGCAGGGTATCAGCAGAATAAAGGTCCCAGGCATCCGGCACTCAGGGGTACATTGCCTCTGAACATGGAGGTTCCATTTCCTCTCATGGCTGAAAGTTGTTCATAGACCTACCTTCCATAAATCTGCCCCAAAGTCTTTCTGAACTATACCAAAGCCACTGCCTAGCTCAGTCAGTAGAGCACGAGACTCTTAATCTCAGGGTAGAGGGTTCGAGACACACATTCGGCAAAGAGATTCCTGCACTGCAGGGGGTTGGACTAGATGACCCAACTCTACAGTTCTATGATTCTGCTATGCCCAGTGCTGATCCTAAAACTCAGCAGAGGAAGATGAATACGTCAAACATTATCACCACATCTTGTTGCATAAGCTCATCTACACCTTGCCAGACAGACTAGCTTGTCAAAGAGAAGAATCTAGTTAGCCTTCTGTTTGAACACATGCCTGTTGCATCCCAAAGCAATTCTGCTGTTTACCTGGATGGCTGGGTGACAGTGAGGTTGGAGGATGCCCTGGAGTGCGGAATTGCTGGTGGCAGTTCCACTGGTGCAACTGCACAGCCTCAACCTCACCCCTTCCCTATTCAGATAAGCAGCAGCAGAGCCACTGACATCGGGGAGGCGGCTTAGCCTCTCCACACACATTGCTGCGGATTAGATGAAACCCAACTGTTATGTAGTGAGTTGAATAGGATCCAAACTGCAGCAGTCTGATTGGTCCTAGAACAATAGGATCCAAATTGCAGCAGTCTGGTCCTAGAACAATAGGATCCAAACTGCAGCAGTCTGATTGGTCCTAAAACAATAGGATCCAAACTGCAGCAGTCTGGTCCTAGAACAATAGGATCTAAATTGCAGCAGTCTGATTGGTCCTAGAACAATAGGATCCAAATTGCAGCAGTCTGATTGGTCCTAGAACAATAGGATCCAAATAGCAGCAGTCTGGTCCTAGAACAATAGGATCCAAACTGCAGCAGTCTGATTGGTCCTAAAACAATAGGATCCAAACTGCAGCAGTCTGGTCCTAGAACAATAGGATCTAAATTGCAGCAGTCTGATTGGTCCTAGAACAATAGGATCCAAATTGCAGCAGTCTGATTGGTCCTAGAACAATAGGATTCAGAATGCAGCAGTCTGATTGGTCCTAGAACAATGCAGCAGTATGATTGGTTGGCAGGAACCACCCAATCATGCTCCAGATATAAGTGAATCCACAACCTGATTGGCTTACAGTAGAATTCCAGAATTAGCCAATCATGGGCAGCCCATTGTGTAAATAATGTATATAAAGCAGATACTTTGAGGGGACTTTCATTCATTCCTCCTCACCACTATGAGCTGAATAAAGAGCATGAAATCACTTTGCGACTCTGAGTATATTTCACCAACCCTGCCAACAAAATTGCTCGAAATACATTGCTGGATGGAGAACTTCCGAGTGGGTTCATCCAACTTTGTTCAAAGTGCTTTCAAGCTGGAATGGTTTTGCTGAACTCGTGTCTCCAGGATCCTGTTGTCCCCCAGGCAGTATTTCAGCTCTGTTTCTCTCATTATCTTTTAAATGTTTCTTTTTAAAAAAATTCTCTTAGTGCCCTGATGGAAAGGCAGCTTTATCAATCTTATTTATATTATTTCTTGCCCACATAGCCCACCTGTCCACCAAATGTTGCTCAGGGCGGTTCACACCACCAGAAACACGGTTTTTGAAACATAATAAAACACAAAGTAATCTATAAGGATTACTTATAGTAATCCTTAAGGATTATAGATGGGACGTGGGTGGCGCTGTGGGTTAAACCACAGAGCCTAGGACTTGCCAATCAGAAGGTTGGCGGTTCAAATCCCCGTGACGGGGTGAGCTCCCGTTGCTCGGTCCCTGCTCCTGCCCACCTTTTTTTTAAAAAAAATAATTTTTATTGAATGGTTTCATGTTACAAAAAACAATACAGCCATACTACCACTAAATATTATTAAGAAATAAAAATTACATACATCGATATGCTCCTGCCCACCTAGCAGTTCGAAAGCACGTCAAAGTGCAAGTAGATAAATAGGTACCACTCCGGAGGGAAGGTAAACGGAGTTTCTGTGCGCTGCTCTGGTTCGCCAGAAGCGGCTCAGTCATGCTGGCCATATGACCTGGAAGCTGTACGCCAGCTCCCTCAGCCAGTGAAGCGAGATGAGCGCCGCAACACCAGAGTCGGTCACGACTGGACCTAATGGTCAGGGGTCCCTTTACCTTTAATCTATAAGGAACAGGGTCTTTTCCACACGGGCCTGCTCAAACCTTACGGTCATCTTCAGAGGCCTTCCTGAAAGGCCCCCTCCCTCACAGTAGGTAGTGACTACTGGAGCAGGGCTTTCTCAGTCATGGCCCCCGGACTTCATACAATCCTCCCCACCACCACCACCCCGCCAGGAGGTTTGCCTGGTGTGACAGACAGCAGAGCCAGAGAAGATTGTCTGGTGATGCAGTGCCTCAGAAATCCCACCAGATGGCTGTAGCCTCTTTCTGATTGGCTACCAAGGCATCCAGTTGGGGGAGGGGGAGCAGCACTTTTGGAGGGAAAATAAAAGGAACCGTTTCTGAGGGAATGTCCAGCTAGCATGGGCAAAGCCAGAATGTATGTTGGGGGGGCAGAACCTCAGTTTGTATTGATTTAATTGATTTATTTGAAGGGGGGCAGCTGTCCCGCTCTGCCACACACACACACACACACACACACACACACACACACACATGGCTGCGCTCATGCCAGATAGATATAGATAGCGATAGGGAGGTGGTTTAAGAGAAACCGTGAGGTAGAGTTTGGAAAAGTGTGTTTCACATCCACCCTGAGGGAAATATCTACAGCTAGAGAAAGGAGTCTCTAGACTGAGTGTCTAGGGAGTGAAGTGGAGGAGCTGAGTTCGAGTCAGGAGGGGAGAGATCTTCTAGAAAGAGAAGACTCCCGAACCAGTTAAGGGATGGTGTGGGGAGATGCCCTGGCTCCGCAGTACTTTTTGGAGTACCTCAGTGAAGGAGGTGAGGACAGGTGACCCCACCTAGGCCCAAAGTCACCCCCCCCAAAGCAGGCTCAAAGCTTCTCAAAGCTTTTCCAAATCATTTTCTCAGCAGCTAAAAGGCATTAGCTAAGCATCAGGCGCATTTTGCTCTGCTGTAGCAAAGGTCGCTTCTCAGGCTAGCTGACCTTGCCAAAAGGTGCATTCAACTTGCCACTTTTCTTTCTGGGAACTGTGCCAATAGAGCAAGAGAAAAGAAACATATATTGGACACGATGGAACGCAAGGCTTCTCATCCCCCTTTCCTGGGAATAGTCCAAAAGAGTCCCAAGACAGGAGCTTTCTGTTCATGCTCAGGGGAACTCACTCAACATGGGGCAGGACTCTTGAGGAAGAGGAGAAAGGGGAGGGAACTGGAAGGGGAATATATGCTCTGTGCAAATGACTGTGAAGCCGTGCTTGTTTTGTGAATCTATCACACTTGCTCCTTCTGCCACCCCGGATGGCAGAATAAAGCTTTTTCTCCGAAACTATTCCTTGAGTGTCTGTTGACTCCCATTTCCCCGTCCTGGGCGCAAAGCTGTTCTCACCCGAGGCTAAAAAGGCTACATTTCTTGGTGCATCGGCCGGGAAACAGCATTCCCCGAGGACAAGGGACATGGGTCCAAGGCGTCCCTGCGGTGAACAGCTCGGATCGGTGTCAGCAGTTCCAGTGCACAGTGCACATCCTGCCAAGTTCGTGGGAGGAATTGCCACCCGTTCCTGAGTGGAGACACTGCAAGGACCGGAGAAAAAGCAACGGCCGAAAGAAGGTACCTCGAGGAAAAAGGTAGGCTCCACAGGGTATATGTGGGAGCAAAGGGGCTTGATCAACCCCGACCAGTAGGGCAGAAAAGGTGCCACTGGTTTTGGTTCCACCTGGTAGGAGCAGTAAAGGTGCTGCTGGGCCCGGTCGAAGCCGTGAAGCGCTGCCGGTTGGTTTTTGGTAAAAGGGGGATTGAGGGAGGTGCATGGGTTTCTGAATGTGCGTGTGGGGACACTCCAGTGAATGTTTTGAGTGCATGAGATGTTGGGGGCGCAGCGCCACCGGCGGAGCGGTGTGTGGTCTTTGGCAAGTCTGTACAGGCCACTGATAAGACGCGAAGAAAGGTGACTGAGTGAGAGATAACAATAGGAGGACAGAGTGTCCCAGTGTCCCAGGGTCAAGGGGGAAAAGCAGTAAAACAACTCCCCCGCCCCCCCCCTGCAATGTTTCCTGAACAAATTGGAAAGACGCCACGAAAGTAGATGACTGAGGATTCAAACTGAAGAAAAATAGACTCCAAACACTTATGTGAAGTTGCCTGGGTCAGGATGGACCTTTGATGCAAACTTAATCAAACCCCTATGGTGCAACATCCACAAGGTCCACACAGATCAATATAGACCAAAAATCCCCCATGGCTTAGGAAAAGTAGAACTGTGACTACTCAAGCCAAACTGTGCCCAGTACGGCAGCAAGTACAAGTTAAAAAAACCACCAGTCCTAGGAGAAAAGGAGGAAGGACTGCTTAAGTTGTTGAGGGCTGATTTCTTGTCCTGTGATAAAAAGCCTTCTGTTTCGACCGCCAAACCTTCCAGGGGAGCATTTGCAACTGTTTGGCACCATTTTGAGTGAATTGCCGAAAGTCAGATTTTTCATGCAATTGTGACCTTACGGATTGTGGCTTACGGATTTTTCAAAAGAAACTTTTTCTGCCGGTTAAGTTGTCGAGGGCTGATTTCTTGTCCTGTTATAAAAAGTCTTCTGTTTCGACCTCCAAACCTCTCAGGGGAGCATTTGCAACCGTTTGGCACCATTTTTGAGTGAATTGCCGAAAGTCAGAGTTTTTAGGAAATTGTGACACCTGGGCTTAGGGGTATTTTCAAAAAATTCTTTTTCTGCCGGTGAAGTTGTCGAGGGCTGATTTCCTGTCCTGTGATAAAAAACCTTCTGTTTCGACCACCAAACCTTTCATGGGAGCATTTGCAACCGTTCGGCACCATTTTGGAGTGAATTGCCGAAAGTCAGATTTTTTAGGAAATTGTGACCCCGGGAATTAGGGATTTTTTCAAAAAATTCTTTTTCTGCCGGTGAAGTTGTTGAGGGCTGATTTCTTTTCCTGTGATAAAAAGCCTTCTGTTTCGACCGAAAACCTTTCACGGGAGCCTTTGCAACTGTTTGGTACCATTTTTGAGTGAATT